AGAGAGGCAGCCAAAGGCTGGGAAGAGGGCCGTCCGGTGAGCCCATTGGTTCCTTCTGGAGCTGGAGAGAGAAAGCATTTTTCTTTTTGAGAAACCCAGGCTTTTTGGTGAGAGAGCAGACAGGCCCTGGCAACTGGCACAAACAGCCACAAGTCCTTCAGAGAGAGAAAACCCCCATAAATGAGCTGATTCCAACAGAGCAGAGCAAGTCCCCTCCCTTTAAACAAGCAGGTGGAATGGAGAATGTTTCTGGCAACAACTGTTTTGAAGAGTTTCCCACGGAAGATACCCTGAAAATCCAACAGGTCGCTAAGATAAGCGCCTGGATCCACCGGCAGAATTCGGCTTGAGCTTCTGCCTGGGAGAAACTGGAAGCCCCAAACCTCAGATATCAGCAGGCAACAAAACCTCCTCAGGCGGGAGCAGCTATCTGACCTCGACGCGGACCCCGCCCCCCCGCCTTTGAGGGTGGCTTCCGCAGGCCTCCTTTCGCTCTGAAGGCGATCTGCTCCCCCGCCCGCGGACTGAGGCCTCCGGGCGGCCCCCTCGGGCGGAGGGCAGGGCAAGCCGGGCCCCTCCCTGACCGACCTTTGTGCACTTCGCGGAGGGAGCTGCTGACCACCGCCCACCAGGCCTGCGCCTCCTGCTCCTCCTCGAAGTGGAAGACCAGCGGGTCGTCGGGCCGCGCCAGGACCTTCAGCTCGTGGCAGGTGCCGCTCTTGGCCTCGTACGAGATCTCCTTCAGGCCGTACTCCACCAGGCTCTGCCGGGGAGGGGGAGGGGGAGGCGGGAGGGAGCGTCACTCGAGCCGCCCGGACGGCGCCCTCCCTCTCCCTGCCCTCCCGCCCCTCCCCCCTCCTCACCGTCTCAGGGCCCGAGTCGGGGCCGCCGCGCAGGCCGAGGCGGAAGCGCTCGGGGCCGGGAGCCGCGCTCAGCTGGAGCCGGAGCTGGCGCCGAGTGTCCCGGGCGCCAGGCGAGGACGAGGCCTGCGGCGGCCGCGGCACCCAGGCCCGCGCCGAGGCCAGCACCACCAGCCCGCCCGGCGCAGCGGCCGAGTCCGGCGCTGCCGCCATCGCGCCGCCGGAAGCGGAAGCCCCGGGCGCCAGCTTCCCGGAAGCGCGTCGACCTCTTCCGGCGGCCACCGCGGGGCACGACGGGAACCGTAGTCGCGCGCCCCGCCCACCGAGCCTGGAGGGAGGGGAGCTTGCGGCGTCCTTCGGCGGAAGTCCTCCGGCCGCCCCCCCCCCCCCGGAGGAACCGACGCCGCCCAAGACCGCGGGGCGAGCCGGAAGGTGGCCGAAGGGAGCGCTCCCGCCCACCAGAGCCGCCTCTCCCGCTTCTCCTCAGGGCCGCCTCCATCGCTGGAGCCCCGAGGGAGGGCCGGGCCGGGCCGGGCCGGGCCCCGCACGGATGGGATGCCTCGCCTGGGCACCGAGTTCTGAGCAGCCTCCTCCAAGCCCAGGGGCATCGACACTAGTCCTCGACTTACCACACTTCGCTTAGTGACCGGAAAAAGTGACTTAGGACCGTTTCTCACACTTACGACCGTTGCAGCATCCCGGTGGTCACGTGATCAAAATTCAGACGTTCATATTTCTGATGGTTGCAGTGTCTCCGGATTCCCTTTTGCAACCTTCTGACAAGCAAAGTCCATGGAGAAACCAGATTCACTTAGCAACCGTGTTGCTAACTTAACAACCGTGGTGGTTGACGTTAAGTGTGGCAAGAAAGGTCATAAAATGGGACAAAACTCAAAACTTAACAGCTATCTCACTTAGCCACATAAATTTTAAGCTCAATTATGGTCACAAGTAGAGGACTGCCTATACTCTTCATCTCCTTCGTATCTTTGTTACGGGACTCTTCCAACTGGTTGTTGTCCAGATTTCCTGGCGTAGCACAGTTACAAACGTGGCTGCTGCTGTTTCTGTCTCCGTTGGCTCTTGTAGCCTTTTGAATTGGTGATGATGGCCGGACAGGGGTCTCTCTTGGTCTTCTAGGGCTTAGAGGCGTCTTCTGAAGCCTCTCTTGGGTGCTGACATCTCTGCTGCTCAGGGTTTCTGTGCACTCCTTCCATCTTCCTCGGATCTCCTTTCAGCCGCTGACTATCTGTCCCTTGGTGCCTTTATATGCCAGTTTGAAGTCGGAAGTCCCTTCTGAGTTCAGGGATCTTTTGAAAGACTTTCCTTGGTTTTCCATGTCTGTTGCTGTCCTGAGCCGTAACACTGTTTTTTTGTCTCTCCTAATAGCTCTCTGGAACTTTGTGACGCTCCTTCTTGAGAGTTCTTGTCTTTCCTCGCTTTGGCTTCGGTTCTTTTCCCTTCTTGGCAATTTCCATGGTTTGTTCTCACATCCACTTTGCTTTCTTCTGTTTCTCCATTTTTGGCAGTCTCTTTATCACATTCCTCCTTAAGGATTTCTTTTGAGTTCATTCTACAGGCCCTCTGCTTCTCTACCAATGAGATTCTCAACCTCACAAGGATTCGTCATGTTCTCCTTGAAACTATCTTGATTCTCCCCACCCCATCAATATAGCCATTGCTTCTTGTTTCTTATTCTGCCTTCAAGTGCTTTGGAGAATAGGTTGAGCCCCTGTTCTCCGTGGCAGCTCCTCAAATATTGGAAGACTGTTTTCATGTCACCTTTGGTCCTTTCTTTTCATTAAACTAGATAAACCTAATTCCTGCAACCTGTCTTCAGATGTTTTAGCCTCCAGCCCCCTAATCATCTTTATTGCTTTTATCTGCATTTTATCCAACATCTTTTTTATATTGTGGTTACCAAAACTGGATGCAATATTCCAACTGTGGTTTTACCGAGGCATTATAAAGTGACAGGCCCCAACTCTCCTCACGCTTAGGAAAGCCCTCAGGATCTTTCCTCCCCCCCACCCCCAATTAGGGGCCAGTGAGTGGGAATCCTCCCTGAAGTTGTTCGTTCTGTGCTGAGTTGCCATTTCACATATAAAAATAGCCAGTTTGGTCTAGTGAAGGCACTGGGCTAGAAACGGGAAAAGGAGAGTTTGAGTCCTGCCTTATACATGGAAGCCAGCTGAGTAATTTTGACTACTTGACAGGATTGTTATGGGGAAAAAGGGAGGAGGAGGATTATGTACAATGATCTCTTTGAGTAATTGATAAAAATATAAATACAATTTATACTTCAGATTTTAGAATTTATATTTGTATGTTTCATGCTGTTTTTTTTCTTTTTTGATTATGTATTTATGCTATCCTCTTTATGTACAGCATAGTTTGAGTTGGGCAGCTTTATAAAAACCTGTGTGAATGAATGAATGAATACAATTTAGTCATGGAAACCAACTGAGTTTCTTGCTTGCCTTAACTTGAATTTCTACATGAGTGGTTGACGTTCTGTTCCACAACTCAAAACTCAGCCAGGGGTTTGGTGTTGTAGTTGAGCTGCTCAGCCTCCTTTTGCCAATCAAGGGAGGCTGCTTTACAGCCCCTAAAAACACTTCTGGGCATCATAAAACATTCTCCTCCCTCCAGTCCCATGACTGCAAATCGGTGTGCCCTCTGATCGTGTGATCACCATTTGCAATCTTCTGAGGAAGGTTGCAAGTGGAGGGGGGGCATTGGATTTGCGGTCAGTTCCCCCAGTGCACTGAGGGATTTCCCCTCCCCTACATGCAGGGAGGAGAAAACCTCCCACCCGCTGGAGCAACTCCACCGTTCTCATGATTGTTCTCCCTGGTGGGGCTGAGAGAGGGCCCGTGTCTCCTGGGTGTGGTGGGAGGCCCAATATCAGATTCCAAAAGCCAAGACAAGCCAAGTATCAACCATGGTGATGCTTCCAAGCAGACTTCTTTATTCGTCCACATCTCTATAGACAGAATCTTTCCAAACTGGGCATTGAGCAAAGTGATCGTGTGGCACTTGCTTAACAACGGCTTCACTCAATGACAGATTCTGGACCCAATTGTGATTGTAAATGGAGGACTACCTGCAGTGGATACCTTTGTCTGTTTCTGTGACGGGGATGGGGGGGGTCCAATGCTGGCCACTGGTGCTCCTTTGTCCCTTGGGGAGGTCACCGGCCTGGCAGATGCCTGAGCTGCTCCTCTCTGAAAAGCAGTCATCGAATTCTGAGAGAATGAAGGTGTTCCTCCCGAAGGTTTGCTCAGCAAAGAAGACACATCAAGAGGCTGTGGGGCACGTTTGCTGCTCTGGCACTGCCCACCTCGTGCCAGCCAGGCCCCAGAGGCATCTTTTGCATTCTACAGGAAGTCCTCCACTTATAATAGTTCGTTTAGTGACATTTGAAGTTACAAAGGCACTGAAAAAACTAACAACCATTGCAACATTCCCATGGTCACGTGATCAAAATTCGTATTTGTGACAATAACAGCATTACGATCAATGGGAAGCCGGATTCACTTAACAACTGTCTCACTTAGCAACAGAAATTTTGGACTCAATTGTGGTTGTAAGTCAGGAACTACCTAAATTCAGAGAACTCTCCCATTTCTTACTAACAAAGGAGGGAGAAGAGGGGGAAAGTGTTTTCTGGAGCTCTACGCAATTCCTGAATTCTTAGCAAGGCCGGTGTGTCTTTGTGTAGTCCGCTTGGGGGTATGACACAAACACGCACCCTCCGCCCCACCAGGACTCTCTTTATCAGCAATGGCGTCCAACCAGCTGCCCCTGAGCGCCCCCAGCCCCGCCCCTTGGAGGCCCCTGCGGGAAGCTCCTCCTTCCAGCGGCCCCGCCCTACCTCAGGAAGCCCTGGCGAGGGGCGGGACCTGCGTGCCTTGAGTGGCAGCCGCCCCCTCGCCTTTGTTCCCTGGCCGACACCGCGCCCTTGAAGCCCCGGCCAATGGGAGGCAGCCTCTGCCTCGGAGGCGGGCGCTGAGGCGGAGTGACGCGGAGGGCAGCCACTGAGTCCTCCCTTCTCGGCGATTGGCGTCGGTTTCCTCCAATCGGAGTGGCGAGTCGGGCGGGCGTCCAATCCTTAATGGGAAGGGCGCGGCTTCCCGCTGCTGTTATCGTCCGCCGTCCGTCCGAAGAGAGGAGTCCGGTCGGGAGCTTTGCTCGCGGGAGCGGCAGGCGGGCGGTTACGGCGCGGTGGCTCTTCCAGCCGGGGACATGTCGAGGCGGGTGGGGCTCCGGCAAGCCGCTTGGAGGAGACGAGTGGCCGCCGAGGCGACGGCGGCGCCCGACTCGAGTTCCTCCGGGAGACTGCGCCGCTCGACGGCACCCCGGCCCTGAGCCCAGGCAGCGCAGGCGGACGCGGCCCGCGGAAGGCGAGTAACGGCCCTCCGGGAAGCCCCTCAGCCGCGGGACTACATCGCCCGGCATGCCCCGCTCCGAGGCGGAACCAGGCGGCGCGCGCGGCATCATGGGGCTCGGGGGGAGGGAGGGAGGGGGGTGCTGGGCGCGCGGCCTCTCGGGAAGTGTAGTTTTGGCCGGCGGAAGAGCCTCCCGGGCTCTGCCCCAGCCCCGCCGCCTCGGCCTGCGGGACATTTGCGCCACCCCAATCTTCCAATATCTGAGGGGCTGCCCCAAAGAAGAGGGGGCTCCCACTGTTCTCCAAAGCACCTGAAGTCAAAGACAAACAGCAACGGATGGAAACGAATCAAGGAGGGAAGCAACCAAGAATTGAGGAGAAACTTCCTGACAGTGAGGACAATTAGTAACCAGAGGAACGACTTGCCACAAGAAGTTGTGGGTGCTCCATCACTGGTGGTTTTCAAGAAGAGACCAGATAGGCATTTGTCCAGGATAATGTAGGATTTCCTGCCTTGAGTAGAGGGTTGGACTAGAAGACCTCCAAAGTCCCTTCAAATGCTGTTATTCTGACTCCACCAAGTGGACGTCGTCCCATCTTGGGTTTCACAGAACCCATTGAATTGAATTGCTTTGGAGTTGCACGCTAAATGCCCCCCAAATCGATGCACCCTAACCAGGCTTGCCCCGCTGCTCGGAGTGCTGACTTGAGTGGGGCCAGCCCAGCCTGGCTTTGCAAGGCAAGGGGGCTCCACAGGCACTCCTCAACTCGGCTGTGGCTTACCACAGAGAAGCCACGCAAGATGCTGCTGAACCACAAGCAGCCCTCCTTGGCTGCTTAGCCCGCAGGACATGCCAGAGGTGCTTTCCCAAGCCAGCCTGGAGTCCTTCCAAAGCATCCATCGGCTCCCCGGAGGAGCCTTGTGGCCTGTCTGGTCCTCTTGCAGAAGGCTAAACTCTCGAGCAGGGAGGGCTGCTGCGGGAAGCCCAACTAGCAGCTTTCCTGCCACCTCTAAAAAGTTGCCTGGGGTCCCCTGAGTGACTCTCAGCCATGGCTACTCTGGATTTTGCTGGTGATGCTAAGTTTAATCATTCTGAATGGAGATGATTAACGGGGAGCAGGGGGCAAATGTTTTAAGTGGGGAGGCAGATGAAGGAAGCTCTTCTCTGGAGAGACTGGGCTGGGGCTCCAGCAGCCTCCTTCCGATCCCAACAAGGGAGAGCTTTGCTACTATCTTGAACACAAATGTGGACTTTACCGACTGCAGAGAAGGATGTCAGATGCAAAGTTGCATGTGGTCTGGTCTGGTAGCATTTGGGGGGGGGCAGCAAAGGGGATCTTGGGGGGCACAGCTGGCATGAATTCTTCTTGAGGCTTTTGATGATCGCCACAGCTCCCTTTGTGGCATTTCTCGGCCCAACCATTTCTAACCTCCCCTCCCAAATCATCTCTTTTGAGGTCCGGTTTTCAGACCAAAAGCTACTAGGACGCCCCTCCCAAAGTGTTAAGGAGACGGCCCCGCTGGGGATCCCCCTGGCTGAGCTGCCCAGCGCTCTCTTCCATTTGCCAAGGTATAACAGGAGGATCCCTTTTCTTTATCTCCGCCAGGGAATTCAACTGCACAGCTAAGTACCGAAGGCCTCTTTGGCACCAGGAAGTGCAATAATGAAGCTGTTGGAAAACTCCAGTTTTGAAGCCATCAACTCCCAGTTGACAGTGGAAACGGGAGACGCACATATTATTGGCAGGTGAGGGTGCTTTGGAGGAAAGGGCTGCGGTAGTAGGTTTGTAACAGGAGTCTTCAGTTATGGTTTCCCTAATTAATGTGACTTTCTATGTCAAATTGGTGTCAGTTCTGGGCCAGAACCCCTCTTGCGAAAGAGCCCCTCCTCCCCACCCCCCTGGTTAAACGATTCCCGTGAGCAGCCTTTGAACCAAAGCAGCTGCTCTGCCTTTTGGCCGCCTCTCTTGAGAGCCGTGAGATTCTCCTTTTGTGGACATGCCTGATTGCAAATGTTTGTTCTTCCTTTTGCTGCCTTCAGCTGCTTTGGCGGCTTCTCTTTTCTGAGAGCAGCCTCTACCGTTGGGGTCTCCTTTCTGTTCTTTTCCTCCCGGCTCTCTTTTCAATTCCTGTCAAAACCTTTTGTTTTCATACCTTTATCAAGCCCTTTGTGTAATCACGCTGGCAACTTCGCATTTTCTCCTCACTGGAATCCTTTATCTGCTCTCGGGGACCACCTAGGTAGCTCCCCTCCTTCCCTCTGCAAGTTTTTAATTGCCTCCTTAGGAATCATGGATTTGTCCCCCGTTGCACCTGCCTTAAAATTGGGCTGTGAGAAAGAATTGGCAGAACCCTTGCGGAGCCTCTGGACCCTCTTAGCTGAAAGAACATCTCCATGCAGAGCAGTCAATGATTTATTATGATTTATTAAATTTACATGCTGTCCATCTTGCCATTTGAATGAATGGACGGACGGATGAATCAAGAATTATTCTGATTTATTGCTGACTTGCCTTGCTGGTGTGTTTAAAGATCCAAGAAGAGCCCCGAGGCGGGAAGAGGCTGTGGGCCCCTTTGGTTCATGTCCTGGTCTGCACAGCAGCCAAGAGGGGCCACCGTCTGGCACCTGCCCTGTTTCTGGCAGCCTTTATAATCTGAAAAGATAAACTGCTAGAAAAAGGGTCCTTCCCTGAAAAGCAGGTGCCAAGCGACCTTGGCTGGGGGTGGATATGGGGCTGGGCTCAGAGGGATCCCTTTATCTCCCCGCAGGATCGAGAGCTATTCGTGCAAGATGGCCGGGGACGACAAGCACCACTTCAAGCAGTTTTGCCAGGAGGGTCAGCCACATGTCCTGGAGGCTCTGTCGCCGCCCCAGACCACCGGCATCAGCCCTAACCGGTAGGTGCACCCAGCCAAGCCTCTTGTGCAAAGGCCACACTCCCCCAAAGGTGCATTTGGTTTGCACCTCCTGTCAGTTGCACAAGCACCCCATTGGAGACAGGAGGAGGAAAAACAAGGGGGCAGGGGGGTAATAAAGGGGCCTCTCCCCAGCCTCCCCCTCTAGGCCAGGGCAGCCGGCTGGCCGGCCTACTTCCTTCAAGCACTTTACCCAGTCCCTGTTGGGAGACACGGGCAGCATCTCTCCAACCCTCCCAATTGAGCTAAGCAGGACCCAGATTGCCAGGGGACCCTGGCTGCACCCTCCAAGGCAGGTATGGGGCCAAGCGGTGTGTGTCTCTTGCCAGGCTCAGCAAGAGCCAGAGTGGAGATGAAGAAGGACCCCTCAGTGACAAGTGCAGCCGCAAGACCCTCTTCTACCTGATTGCCACCCTGAACGAATCTTTCCGCCCGGACTATGACTTCAGCGCTGCCAAGAGCCACGAGTTCAGCCGGGAGCCCAGCCTCAACTGGGTAAGCGGGTCTCTTGCCTTCCGCACTGGCAGGGCAGCCGATCTTGCAACCTACTGGAAGCCTCTGTCCTGGGTCTGCTTGCCCTAGGAGTTGAGTGGGCGCCCGGGAGAGACCCCCAGGGATTAGTGGGCTGGTAGTGCTTAAGGAGAAGAAAGTTGTAGCTGGAGGGCCCTGAGGTTGCTTAGGGTGCAGGACGTCACGGAGTCTAGCCCAGCAGTGCCCGAGGAGTGCCTGCTCCACAAAGCTTCATAACGGAGGCCCCTCTCACACTGGACGTCTCCCAGCAGGGCTACCACTCTTGTTTGGGGAAGTAGAGGATTGGGCTGCTTTGTCCCGCTTCCCACCCAAGTTCCTCCCACTATAATCAGGCCTGGCCAGATCTCGGAGAAGGCGGCTTCTCCCTCCTTCCTGTTACCCCCTGTACCTAGTCCAGCGGTGGGGCGAGTGTGCTGTGCCAGGCCACTTCTGAAATGCTGCATTGGCTCATCCACCAACTTCCCCATCCCTTGGGAAGACTTTCTGGGAACCGCAGGATGCGCCAGTTCCTCCCCGTTTGCAGTCCCAGATGTGTCCATTTGGGGGCGTTTTTCAGGTGGTGAATGCCGTGAACTGCAGCCTCTTTTCTGCCGTCCGGGAGGATTTCACTGCCCTGAAGCCTCACCTGTGGGACGCAGTGGACCAGGAGATCTGCCTCTCTGAGTGCGACATCTACAGGTGGGAGGCCGTGGGGGTGGGGGTGGGGTGGGGGGGGTGGGCTGTCCCCGAGCAAGGCCCCTTCAGCTCCCCTTCTGTGCTGCAGCTACAACCCGGATCTGGATTCGGACCCTTTTGGGGAGGAGGGCAGCCTCTGGTCGTTCAACTACTTCTTCTACAACAAGCGCTTGAAGAGGATTGTCTTCTTCACTTGTCGCTCCATCAGGTGAAGGAGGGACGGGGGAGGCCCCGGGGGTCCCTGGCTCTTCTCCCGGCCCCCGGGGTGTGTTCTGAGCCCCCTTTGTTCCCCCCCTTCCAGCGGCTCCACCTACCCTCACTCCGAGGCTGGGAACGAATTGAACATGGACCTCAGTGAGGACGATGCTGAGGAGACCCCCGGCAGCTGCGACAGGGACGGGGGCAGCATTGAGGCGGAGAAGTGAGTTACACCCCACCCCGCTCCTGCCCCTGCCCGCTGAAGTCTGGTGGGGGTCATTCCTGGGCCTAGCCTGGCCACCTCTCACCAGGGCTGCAGAAGTGATGGCTGCCCTCTTCTGCCGACAGGAGGCAGGTGGTCTGCATGTGATTCCCCACGCCGGGGGCTTCTCCCACGAAGGACGGCGCTGCCAGCTCTTTCCCCAAACATCTTGGCGTTGTTGCATTGCTCTGCCTGCCCTGCGGATGCTGCGTGAGCAGTTGGTGCCTCCAGATGCCCAGGATAGTGCCAGCAAGTCCTCTGCCCACCCGCTCAGCCTTCAGGGATCCGATTCTTGCCCGTCAGCGGCCTTGTGACTCTGCGTCTTTCCTGCCGTGCCCAGTGGACACAACATTTTGCAGGGTGGGAGTCGCAGCCCTCACGCTGGCTAATGGGAGGGGCTCCTTTTAGCCTTGAGACCCTGGAAGGAGAAACCGAATTAACCCGGGAACAGGATGGAGAGACTCTCTCCCCCACCCTTGTGAAATTCCCCCTCCCAAGACTTTTGGCATCGAGTAGCTGGACTGGCATTTGGAGCCCGTGGCTCTCCCGCTTCCCCCAAGGGCTCCTAGAGATTTTATTTTTGTATTCCTGCTAAGGGTCTGCCTGCGCCTGCGCCCCTCCCCAGCACTTTCACCAGCTGCAGCAGCAGCAGCACCGGCTCCCCCTCCCCAGAGACTGATGGAGGCTGGCTTGCCACCCCCCAACAGGAGCCCCCAGCAGCGCTCTCTGCTCTGAGGGGGCCAGGGCTGTCCGTCCATTTACCCGTCCATCCATCGGAACAGCAGGCCCCCTCCCCTTCTGCCCTGCTCTCCTTCTGCACTGACTCTGGGGGGGGGGTGTATCTTTGTCTGTCTGTTTTGGGGGAGTGGGCAGGTGCCATCATCTCTGTTGCAGACATTTGAACAGCCTGCCCCCCCTCCCCCCACTAGAGCCAATGGTGGCCAAAGAATGGTGGGGGACAGCAATTTCCCACAATTCCCTGCCCCTGCCTTCAAATAGGGTGCAGTATAAAGGGGGGGGGCGCTATCCTCCAGGGCGCCCTCCAAAATTCAGCCTTGGATAAAGACACTCCGAATCTGCCCCATTGCAGGAGCACTTAATGGTTGGTCCCTCCGGAAGACGGGTGGGGGTGGGAGTCCCCCCAACATTCAGTTCCCCTCCTTGTTCCCTCCACCCCCTTGTTGGCTAGTGGTTCTGTTGGCCAGGCTATAAAAGGTTTTCCTCGCTCTGACTTGTCTCTGGAGGGCTTTGTCTCGGCGTCCTTGTCTGCTTTGGCCCTCGAGGGGGAAAGGCCGGGCAGCCCCTCCTCTTGTTGACAAGAGTTTTCAACCAACGAAACAACCCCAAGCGGCTGGGTGAGCGAAAGGGGCACAGAATGGAATCGGGCTGCAAAGGCCGCCGGCGCGCGTGGACCTCCGGGCTCCCTGCTCCACTTGCGGATTCGGCCGCGGGGCAGCCGGGGCTGGGGCGGGGGGGGAAGGGGGGGGGGGCGAGCCGTCTGCCCGGGAGGACCGGCGCCGAGGCGAAGCGTTCCGGCGCGGCCCGTGTGCGGAGGGCGCCCGGGCTGGAGGAGGCGGCGCAGCAACCGCCCGCCCGCCCGTCGCCAGGGAGACCCGCCGCCGCCAGGTGAGCCGCGCTTGGCCGGGGGGAGGGTTGGCTAGGCTTCGGGCGAGGAGCGCTTCCTCCAGCCTTGGTCTCCGGGTGGCGGGGATGCCGGGCGAGGCCGCCTGAAGGGCCGTTTCGTGGCGTGCAAGTGGCGCCCCCGGTTCTTTTCTCAGCCCCCGCGGCCCCCCAAGGTAAGCGGCCGACCCCCGGGAGCGTGGCGGCGCTGGGCGGGGGCAGAGCCGTGCAGGCCTCCTCCGAGGATGGGCGCAGTGCGAGTGATCCGAAGGCGGGGGCTGCCTTGGGGGGGGCTCGCCCATCATCCGCCTCCGGGCTGCCGGGGACGGGGGCGTGCCAGGAGGCTGCGCTCCGGAGGCTTCTCCCTGCCTTTGCGCCTAATCCTCACTTGCCGACCGCAGCTACGAGGGTGTTGAAAAGACGACCATCCTGGCAGCCTCCCTCCGTCTTACGGTGGGCATTACAGCGGTGGTGAGATGTAAAAGTTGTTACTACCGGTTCTGTGGGCGTGGCTTGGTGGGGGTAATATGACTGGGTGGGTGTGGCCAACTTTTTTCTTTTTCACTTTTAAAACCATTTTTTCGGCCAAGGAGGTTGTGGAAGAAATGCTTTTAAAAATAAAAAAAAAGCCTCCGATGATAGATCGGCTCAGCTGGGCAATGGGGGGGGGCAGGGATTTTTGCTACCGGTTCTCCGAACCACCCGCCTCCACCGCTACCGGATCAGGTCCGAATCGGAAGCATTTCACCCCTGCATTACAGTCTATAGGGGATGTCCTCTGCCTGACCTGTGTTTTGGTCTTTAGTTCTAAAAAAAAAAAAGTGGGTCCTTGGTGATCTCTGAGCTTCCTTGTTTTCTTGCAAACATTTCATTACCCAAACTAGGCAGCATCTTCACTGATGTTAGCACTGGTGATCTTACCCAGCTTGACTCATGTAACTCTGCAAGAACACAGCCAAGCTCAAGGACACCCCCTCCTGAGCTTCAAGTGTTTTCCTTTATTGGTTCAATTCCCCCTGCAGACGAGAGAGATTGGAGAAAAAGGGATTGCAAGAATATGGTTGTACCCCAGCCTGGACTGGCAGCAAACATCTTCCAGTACTCTTTAAAAAATCTTTTTCTTCCATCTCTCTGATCTGGTGGTGGGGAGAGAAAAAATTTCTGTGGGCATTCTCTCCTTTACCTGATCCTTTCCATTTTCATCCCGTGGGGCAGAGAGTGGAGAGGAAGAGATTTCAGGAGGCTCCTGTAAGCGGTTTGCTCTCAGCCCCAGGCTATAGCGCGGTCACGTTGCTTTCAATATGTACAAGAAAGTAACCAGGCATTTGTGCCTTCTAAAAGAGGGGTCTCCAACCTCGGTAACTTTATGACTTGATGGACAACTGAGGAATTCTGAGAGTTGAAGTCCACGAGTCTTAAAGTTGCCATGGTTGAAGACCTCTGTTCTGAATGGCAAGAGCGTTAGGATACTTTCAGATAGGCCATCTGAAATGATAGAGGTTCTCCTGCTTGAGCAGGGGGCTGGACTAGAAGACCTCCAAGGTCCCTTCCAGCTCTATCCTGTTCTGACCTCTTATTCTATTCTATTCTATTCTATTCTATTCTATTCTATTCTATTCTATTCTATTCTATTCTATTCTATTCTATTCTATTCTATTCAGCAGATATAGTCAGCAGGTGCCATCGCTGACTATTGGGGGTGAATCCTTGCCCCCCACAGAGAGGGCTCGCAATCTGGGTGTCCTCCTGGACACATGGCTGTCTTTAGAAGAGCACATGACGGCCGTGGCCAGGGGAGCCTTTTATCAGGTTCGCCTGATTCGCCAGTTGCAGCCCTTTCTGGATCGGGACGCCTTGCGCACGGTCACTCACGCCCTTGTCACCTCCCGATTGGACTATTGTAATGCTCTCTACATGGGGCTCCCCTTGAAGAGCACTCGGAGGCTCCAACTGGTCCAGAATGCGGCCGCGCGGGTGGTTATGGGTGCAACCCGTTGCGCCCACGTGACACCCTTCCTGCGCGAGCTGCACTGGCTCCCAGTGGTCTTCCGGGTGCGATTCAAGGTGTTGGTTACCACCTTTAAAGCGCTCCATGGCATAGGACCCGGGTACCTTCAAGACCGACTTCTGCCACCAATAGCCTCCCACCGACCAGTCCGCTCCCACAGAGAGGGTCTCCTCAGGGTGCCATCGGCCAAGTTATGTCGGCTGGTGACACCCAGGGGGAGGGCCTTCTCTGTGGAAGCCCCAGCCCTGTGGAATGAACTGCCCCCCGAAATACAAAAGATTTCCGACCTCCGGGTGTTTCGCTGCGCTCTGAAGACCCTGTTGTTCCGCCAGGCAGGGCTATTAACATAACGTTTTAAATTGGGGTATTTTAAATTTCTGGGATTTTAATTGGAGCCTAATTATTTAATGATTTTAAATTTTAAATTGTTGTCGTGTTTTTTGTGTTTTTAAATAGGCTGTACACCGCCCTGAGTCCTTCGGGAGAAGGGCCGGTATAGAAATAAAATTATTTATTTATTTATTCTATTCTATTCTATTCTATTCTATTCTATTCTATTCTATTCTATTCTATTCTATTCTATTCTATTCTATTCTGCAGCGCCTGAATTGGCCAAATCCTGGTCTTGCTCTACTATAAGGCCAGCAAGGTCCCCCTTCTGGCTTCCCCAGAGGCAGCCAGTGGGGCAGCCTTCTTGACCAAAGGGGGCCTGGATGAAAGCCGGAACTGCCCACTGCTATCTGCCTGAAAGGGAGGGAGGGAGGCTCGGAGTGTAGCCTTGGGGGGGGCTGTTTTTTTGCACATCCACCTCGGGGAACTGCAGGACCCCCCCCCCCGAGGACCCCAAGCAGCACAAGGGGGCTGGTAGCCAAAGGGGTGTCCCAGCCACCTGGGATCATCTGTGAAAGATGAAAAGAAGAGATCAGCTTTGATGGCAACCTTAGATGACTTTCTTGACCAAGCCCTGGCTGCACCTCCACTTATGTGTTCCAGAGTCAAATCCAGCCCTGAAATTTGGTTGGAAACCTTGCATTGGGGGCCTTCAGCCCCACACATCCCTCCTTCAGCAAGAGGGCGACTCTTCAGACGTGCCCGGCTGCCAAGATGGTGGAGTCCTCGGGCAGCAGCTGTAAGCAAGCCACCCCCCCTTGGCCGGGCACCTGCCAGACAGCGGGGGGCCCTCTCCTCTCCCCCTGAACTTCTGACCCCCTTCTGCAGCCAGCCGAGTGGGGCAGAGGAAGAGGCCACACCAGCAGTCCCCGCCCGCTGAAGAGAAGATGATGAAGGAGCGAGGAGCTCCCCTCGGAGGGGGGCAGGCAAGGGGGCGCAGGCTCTGGGGCCTCCTCCGGAGGGGCTTCCGGCGGGCTGTGGAAAAGGTATGTTCCTCAGGCAGAGGGTCTGTCTTCTGGGCCGCCTGGCAATTCCCAGGGGAGGTGCAAGCACGGACAGCCCCCTCAGCAGGGGAGAGAAGCAGGCCAGCCCTTCCTCTGCGGCTTCGTGGGCTGGAGACCCTCCCCACCCCTGGTAATTCTGTGGGCTGGTAGAGGAAAAATTAAGAGGGGCTTAAAACCTTTTTTTTAAGTGCACCATAAGAATTAAAGGACATTTATGTTTGTGATAATAATATATAAAATTGGTAGGAAAAAAGAAACAATTTAATAAAAGAATCACCTCTGCTGAGATGGGCAGCATACCAGTTTAATGATGAAAAAAAAAAGACGGAGAAAAGTGAATAGGCCAGGAGAAGCAGCCCCTGCCTGCCCCGATCGTCCCCAGCTGTGGAAGGAGGGAGAACAGCATCCAGAGCTGGAGAGGATGGGGGGGGTCACCAGTGAGGAGGCTGGCAGAGCAAGGAAAGTGCCCCCTCGTCCCATAGGTGTGCAGCAATTCAGCAGAGGGGCGCAGGAGCCCTGGGGTAATAGCACCCTTTGGGTCTCCTCTTTGACCCCTGGGATTGGGGGCCAGAGCAGCCAGGGAGCAGACGGCGTAGAGATGAAGAGGGTTGAGAACTCAGTGCAGGGTCCTCGCTGGCACCGGCCAGTCCTGCCACAAGGCCCCCAGCCAGCCACAACCTCGCAAACAGCCGTCCCCTCCTGGCAGATCCCAGCCACAGACTTTTCTTTCCGGGTCAGATGAAGAACGAGGAAATGAAGACCCTCCACCTGAGCCATGGGCTGCAGCACCAGTGCCGCATTGTCCTGCCCAGCCCTGTGCGCCACGTGACCTACGACCTGCAGAGAAGGGCCTTCGTGGTGCTGGATGCAGCCAACACGCTGCACCTATTGACGGAGGACGGCTGCTGCAGGGACCGCGTGAAGGGCCTGGCCACCATGACTGGCATCCTGTATGCCTCCCACGTCAACCAGTTTGTGGCCTGGTTCACAGGAGGCCTGCAGGTCCTGGACTCCCACTTCCAGCTGCTCTCGCAGGTGCCATCCGCCCTGCCCATCCGCTGTGGCATCTACAGCAAGCAGCTGAACAGGATCGTGACTGCTGGAGACGGGAACTTGACCCTCTGGAGCTTCCGTTACGGCTCCCGCAGCCTCCAATGCCGAGCCAGCGTGAGCGCTAGCCTGGGGCCCACTGACCTCTTTGTCCGCCTCGCCTTGGACACGGGCAGCACCAGCGAGCCCCACCGCTGCTTTGCCTCTTGTGCCACCGGTGTGGCCACCTTTGACATCTCCAGGGGGAATCTCCTGGCCTTCAGGACAAAGCTCCATAGCAGGTGAGGTTGCCATGGCTGGGGAGGGGCCCCTGTGTTCCCATGGTTTGGTTCAGCGCTCTGTGGTCCAATGCTTCTCAAAAGCTCCAGGAAGGTCAGGACAGAACAGGGGTCCAAAGGTACCATTCTCCTCTTGCCGTTTGCCAGGTCCCCAGCATCCCCCATTTGTGTGGGGGGGCTGAAGGAGAGATCTGGGCACTGCCCCCACCCCCTCTGAGGCTGCTGTGTTCATGAAGGAGGGGGAGGCAGTATTATGGCACAGGGCTGGCCTCGGGCTTGGGCCAGGCGCTGGTGGTGCCAGCTAGGCGTGAAGAAGGCGCCCTCCTGCTCAGAGACAGGTGGGGGGGCTCAATTCCAGGTGCCCCCGTGTCTCTTTGCAGAGAGATCACAGACCTTGCCTATTGTGAAGCCATTGGCTGCGTAATCACAACCTCACGGGACACCACCATCAAGGTGTGGAACAAGGAGTGGCACATTCAGATCGTCTTTGTGGGGCACACCGGTGAGTTCAGCTGCCCAGGTGCCCGTCGGTTGAGCAGGAGGAGGAGCCCCCCCCTGTCCTTGCCCTTCCTTTCTGCCCTCTTATGCACAAGGAAGATGAGGTGGGCACAAGTGTTGCCGTTTTCAAAAGAGCTGCATGGCTGCTAGAAGTTCAACAGGTGAAGCTTCTATTAGCCTGAAAGTATGTGTTGGAAGAGCTGCACCTCTTGTCTGACCTCTGCTGAAGGCAGGAGCCTGGCTGCTCCTCTGCTCTCGACTGCTGAGCCCACAGCTACTTCTCCCCAAGGGCCTCTGAGCAGCCATTTCCTCCCCCTCCCCAACTCTGGAAAAGGTCTCCAGCTCTGAGAAGACATTTCTTCCTCTTTCTGCCTCCAGCTCCAGTCATTGCTGTGACCATCTACCCCCACCGCCCCCTCATCTTCTCTGCCTCCCAAGACGGGACCATCCGCACCTGGAACCTCAACACCGTTGACCAGGTAGACCAGGTCCACGTCTCGGAGCCCGTGGAGTCCCTGGACACCCACACCAATTCGCACGTCTTCTCCATCTCGGGCTGCACCCTCAACCTCTGGAAAATCAACCAGCTGTACTCGCTCTACACCGTGCTGGGTTCCCCTGCCAGGCGGCTCAGCTGCTTCGACCTGAGGCTGCTGGGCAATTTCCCTGTTCGCATCCTCTGCTTATGCCAGGACTCCACCGTGCAGCTGCTGGAGGCCCAGGGTGGCGCGCCCGTGTCTGTCCTCTCCTTAGACGAGTATTCCCCGGCTCGGGAGGTGGCCTACTGCTTGCCCCGGGAGACGCTCTTTGTGCTGCTGAAGCAGGGCCACGTGCTGCGTGTCAACGCTGCCACCAGCCTCATGACGGTGAAGCGGTGCTTCAGCAGCAGCCTCTGGGAATCCAAGCCCTGCTGCATCCTCCTCTACAGCCACGTGGTGGAACCGGACAAGGTGTATGCTACGTGGCTGGAAGTAACCCAGAACCAAGGCTACCGGAGGAAGTGGCAGAAATCCACCATCAACATGCAGGACAGGAACAGGTAGGTGGCCTCAAGGAGCACCAGCTCTCGCTCCCTTCATTCCAGTCTGCAGCTGCTGCCCAGCCTGGTCATTGTATCCTGTAGAGTCCCCATGGGGGGGGGGCTTCTCCAGCCATTGCCTGGGGGGGGGTGCTGCCCTGGCTTCTCCGGACAGGCCTTGAATTTCAGGGAGTGGCATCTGCACTGGAACTCTTGGCTGAGTAAACACACCCTGAAAGGCCAGGCTTGGGAGGCACTGAGAGGCCGAAAAGGGCCAGGCAAGCTGTCTCCTGCCACGGTTCTGAGCTGGGGATACCTTTGTCCCCTCGGTATGTTTCTCCACGCCAGATTCCTGCCAATTCTGGGGCACAAAAATGGTTCCCTCAGTGTCATAGATTGGTTCTCAGGCCGAGTCCAGTACACCGTGGAGGCGCATAACCCTGAGCGTGTCACGGCACTGGCTGAGTACACCACGCAGATATGTGTCTTGTCAGCAGGTGAGTCTCAGAGCCCCAAGGGGGAGAGAGGAGCTTCAGGGAGTCCCCAGAAATGACCTAGAGAGACCGGCCTCACTGGGTAGAGTGGAAGACAGTATTACGTAACTCCCTCCAAAGTTGTTCTATCTTTGACGATTTTGAGAGAGCAAGCCAGGAGGGTCAGCTGGATCTCCAGGTCTGCCAGCAACCTGACTGAGGTCGCCAGCCACCAGCATCAAAAGCTGCCGCTTCTCACAGGCTGCCCACAGTTTGGTGCCAGTTCACCAACAGCCCTGGGAGGAAGTCGTGGGCAGCATTACCACGAAGCTCCCTGTGGGAGTGCTTCCCCCAGCCCTGTGCTGAGCTGCCTGAGGCTCTTCCACAGCCCCCACAAGAAGGCAGCTTTTCCACTGGGGTGTGGCTGCCTTCCTCTATGGGGAAAAGCTGCCTCTAGGGGTGACTTGCCGAGCGCAAAGGCTTTGCTGCTGCCGCCAAAGGGGTAGGAGAGGCAGGTGTCCTTCAGGGGACCCAGGAACTGATGGCAGAGGCCCCCCAAAGAACCCTCCTCTCCCTCTCCTGCTTCTGGGGTAGCAGAATCTCCTGTCCCACTGAGAATGCAGTGGTCCCTCTTCCTTCCTGGGTGCTTCATCACTGGAGGTTTCCAAGAAGAGAGTGGGCGGCCATTCGTCTGGAATAATACAGGAATTCTTACTTGAGCAGGGGTTGGACTAGAAGACCTTCAAGTTCCCTTCCAGCTGTGTTATTCCCACACTGGGGAGCAGCATGTGAGAGCCTTTGCTCTCCCTACACAATTTTTTGAAGCTGGTATTTTTTTCAGTTGTGTTACAATAACACTTGGGGATTCTTGGCGCTTCTTCTCTGTAAAAATCCCAGTTAAACCCCCCCTCTGGGCATCCGGCCATTCCATTTCTCATAAAAGAAGAGTGACTCCATCACCCTTTGGAACCAGTGATGGGCAGAGGAGGAGTCAGCAATGGGAAGCAGAGAGGACAGGCGGGGGAGGGGAGGGGGCTTAGCGAACCTAACCCTTCTGAACACGAACAGAATTGAATCCCTTTGGATCCCAGCAAACCCTCCTGGCTTCCACCCTGCACGCATGGCCTCTGGGTCAGAATCTGGTCATTTGGACTGCCTCATGGTGCTCCTCATGGGTCCATTTTTATACTCCATCCACCTCCATCCGTTGTCCGTTTGCTCTTGACCGCCCTCCCCCCTCCTTCCCACTGCAACGAACTTCCTTCCCCAACCTTTCCTTCTTCGTAACAAAATGGAGGGAATCAGAGTCTCCTGCTCTTCATAAGCTTCCTCTGACAAAGACGCGTTGCTTTCAGCCGTCCATAGTCCACCCGCTGTCTTGCTACCAGCCTTTGCACAACGGAGGCATTTTCTACCCATTTCCCCCATTTTTAACCATCCTCCAGCCAACGGCACAGATTTACTTCTTGTGGTAGTTGGAGGGTCATCAGATGAGGCCATGGAGCCCCGAATGAATGAGTCCCCCTTGAGAAGAAGAGGGCGTGTAATTCCCCCACCCTTTGCACCCACCTGTGAGCAGAATTCTTTAGGCAGAGCTCCGTAAATCTCAGGTGGTCAGCAGAGGCTGGGAGCTGGTGGTCAGCCTGGGAAGAGGGAGTGACAGACCCAGGTCACCAAGCGGTGCCCTTGCCCAGAACAGGTGCTGACCTCACAGTGAAGATGTGGCGCCTCTTCCCCTACACGGAGGAGAGCCTCCTCCTCCTCCTGTGCTTCTCCTGCACCTCCCCTGCGTGGCACATGTGCTTCCTTGGAGAGACCCTGGCGGTGGCCTTCCAGGACCCTGAAACGGTCACTTACAGCATCGTCCACTACAACCTGATGGAGCAGACGCGCTCTGAGCACAGGCCTGAGGATGATGCCCAGGATGACATCACAGGTGTGCGATGGGGGGGGGACCAGGGGAGGCAGAAGAAGTTGTTCCCCCAGGACCGGGTAGGTCTCAGCTCCGTCCTCCCCCCCAGCCTCTCAATGTCCTCTTCCCAGGACTCTGCTGCTGCCCAAACCTGCAGCTCTTTGCCTCGTCCAGCCGGGACGGGTCGGTGAAGATCTGGGACCACAAGAACAGGCTGCTCCGGTGAGGGCCGGGGTGGAGGGGGGTCGAGGGACTGGTCCCCGGAGGGCAGTGGGTGGGTGCAGCTTGCCCCCCCCAACCCTGCCGCAGCAAAGGGGAGTGGCTGGACCCAAGCCTCCCCCCCCCCCAAGGCGGGCCCGGGGCGGGGCTGGGCTTTTCTCCTGGGCCCTGCTTGCCTTCCCCTCCCCCAGTGGCCCCGTTCTGGGGGGTAATCCAGCTTGGCTCCAGGCAGCCAATTAGTGGGGCTGCTCTCCAAATGCCACCTCTGCTTGGCCTGGTTGCCTCCAGCCTGTCTGCTGTAGTGACTGGAGAGGCTCAAGGCTGTTTCTGTGCTTTCTTGTGAGTCTCTTACAGCCGAGAGGGTGGTCTCGCACGTTCTGTGGGATTTCCTCCTCTCCCTCCCATCTGGGGGTCCAGGGCCCCAGCCCTGCTTGCCTTACCTGCAGGGTTCCCTTACCTGCAGGCACCTGAAGCTGAACACCATCCCGGAGAGCCTGGCCTTCGCCAACCACAAGGGGGACCTGCTGGTGGGCCTGGAGCAGCACCTGTACCTCATCCCCCACACCAAGTACCTGCCCAGCTACTACCAGATGCAGGTAGGTCCAGATGGCACCGTTGCCGGGGACTGGGGCGTTCTGGTCCCCCGAAGGTCCAGGGCTGTGGGCCTCCCTCTCTGGATCTCCTCTTCCTCCTCCAGCTGCTGTGGGCAAAGTTCCTGGAGCCCCTCCAAGAGGTCTCACTGCCCATGAGCCCATCCAGCTTTGAGGCCCTGGTGCAAGAGAACAACCGTCGCTTGATGCAGGAGCTGCCTGTGAAGGAGTCCGAGTGAGCTCTTGGGCCAAGGGGGCTCGGGTGGTAGCAGTCCCTGAGCATCAGACCAGAGGTCCCAGGACCCTGCCCCATCGCAGACTCTGTCCCCATTGCCCCGGGTGCTCCTCTGCCTTGGGGCACTCTCTGCTTCGAGCCCTGCGTCCTCTTGGCAGCGTTTCCAGAGACAGTCTTGCCCTTGTCACCTTCTTGGCAGAGCTGGGGGGGGGGGGCTGGCATAGAGTCACCCAGCTGGGTCTCATGCCTCAGGGGGGCCCCGGTTTCTAACTGGGAAGTCCTAAAGGTCTGAGGTGCCTGAGGGAAAAGGGCCACTATGTCTCCCCCACGGAGGAGAGCCCAGAAGAAGGGACGGGATGGGGATGCAGCCGTGGCTCCCCTGGAATGGAGAGCAGCCCGGAGACAATGTGGAGGGGAAGCCTCCTGGGGGATGGAATTTGCTGGAGCTGCTTCCGGGGTCCTCTGTGGCCTCTGTGAGGAAGCATCTCTTGTGGCAGAGCAGCTCCAGGGCAGGAAGGTGGGGGGGGAAGCAGGCTGGGAGCCGCCAGGAGAAGAACCTGCTCCTCTTTCTGCAGGTCCAGCGTGTCCGACATCTTCCAGGTGCCCCTGAAGGAGTCCAGGGAGGTCAGGGAAGCCAAGCTCAAGCTCGAGGTCAGTCACGCTGGGATGAGAAAGGCCAGGTGCAGCTGCAACCGGGCGGGATGGCGGAGGGAGCGCAGCCCAGCATGAGGCCCTGGGAGTTTGCTGCGCTGGGAGGCCTGAACAGGGGGTCCTTTGCAGGGCATTGCCCAGCTGGCGGAGAGGAACCAGGACCTGCAGCTGCTGCAGGAAGGGAAGATCAGCTCGGCCAAAAAACGGCCCCTCACCAAAGAGATGCGGGAGGAGGCCTTCGGGCGCTACCTGGGCTTCTTCTACAAGGAGCAGCTCAACCTGGAGGTGGTGCTGCGGCTGGCGGGGCTGCTGGGGACGGGGTGGGAATGCATGGTGGGCTCTGGACCCCAGCCCCCTGCCGTCCTCAAGAGCACTCCCGCAGCTCTTCCCTCCCCAGTGCCAGCCCCCTTCTGTTGGTGGGCTTCCTGGGCACCAAGGGACTCCTCCAGTCCTGTCCCCCCCAGGCCATGTCTGTGCCTATGGAGCCCCTCCCATGCCCTCCCCTGCAACAGCCTCCTCTGGGCACCAAGCATCGGGGACGGGCTGTTCTCTGCAAAAGGCTGGGCGATTGCTCACCCGGGCCAAGACTGGCAGTCCGCTGGTACTTGGAAGCTCTGGTGGACTACCTCTGCCCTCGCAGACTCAGCTGGGCATCCTGACCTGGCATCATCACCAGCTCCCCTCCCTTGACCAGGTCTGGCAATATCAATAACGGGCAGCTTTTTCCCCTGTCAAATGGGGGGGGGGGGGCTTCCCTGGGTCCCCTGTGCTTGGTCCCAGCTCAGCCCCGCTCCTTCTCCCCACAGATTCCTGAAGAGGATCCCTTCGATGCCGATGAAGTGCTGGAATTCCTGGGCCAGATGGATCCCATCTCTGCCCTCCACGGACCCTCCATTTCCCACATGTTCCTGAGGGGCTTCACTAAGCCCAGGAGTCTCAAAATGAGCAGCTCCCTCTTTGCGGTAATGGGCCTTTTCAGTCTCTCTGTGGCTGCTGCGCCCCAAATGGCTCCTTGGGTTTTCTGGCTGGACCCCGACAAGGCCTCCCCTTTTTCCCTCTTGGGGGTGCCTCCAAGGCTGCAGTCCCTCCCCCTCCGGGGACTCCCCTGGGCAGCGTCACCTAGCTGCCCCGCCTCTGCGTCACCCTTCACCCCACGGCTGTGGCAAGGAGCAGCCCCCACGCAGGATGTTTACTGAGCTGTGCCCCCCGCCCCTCCCCCCCTGCTGGGCCTGCTTACAGAGGGATCTTTCTTCCTCTTCCCCCCCCCCCAGGATATCAGCCCCTCCCTGCGTTTCACCTCCTCCCTTGCAGTTCCTGGCTCCCTTCAGGTGAAGAGGAAGAAGGTGAGGACAGTCTGCTTGCCCAGGTGCCAGATTTGGGGGGGGGGCTTTGGAGGTATGCTGGGGACTTCATTCCAAAAAAGAGGGGTGATAATTAAAATGTGATCCAGCTAATAGGATTATTTTTCAACCCCAAATGTAATTACGTCTCCCCTCAGCAGGTTTATATTTGCAAACTGGGAAATGGCTTCTGGCAGCCGGGGAGGAGGGAGGGGGCCTGGGCTGTGGTGGTTGGGGCCCCTGAAGCCCCTCCTGCCAAGGCCAGGCTCTGAAAGCCCCCCCCCCCGGCTTCTCTCAGGTGGATGCTGGCGCTGCCCCCTCCTCTGCCAGGATGCAGGAGACCCCCTCCCCGGGGAGGGCTGAAGCTGCCCTGACGCAGGAAGCTCCGGAGACCACCCGGCCCCTTTCAGCAAGAGGCGGCAGGCACGGCTACCAGCCTGACCTGAGAGGGCCCTCGGAGGAGGCGCCCATGGTGAGGGCCCGGGCGGGCAGGTCTGGGGGAGGCCGCTCAACCGACAGAGCTGCCCTTCACCTTTGAGTGCTGGACCCTTCCCCTTCCTTTTCCTCTGGCCTTTGCTGCAAAAGGGTCCCAGCACCTGCCCACCCCCAAGACCAGGGCTCCAGGCCAACACCGCTCTGGCCCCCGTCTTCCTGGCTTCCCTTCTGAGCTTAAGGATCCTGAAGAGCAGTGGCCAAAGGGGGCCCTCACGCTCTGCCCACCCTTCCTGGTGGACGTGGGCGTTTGGGTAGCAGACGTGCGTCTTAAGGGTCTGCTTCTGCCCCGGGAAGATTGAGGAGGGGCCACAGGGCGGGGAGGTCAGTATGGGAGGCTGGAAGCAGGTCTGGCCATCCTGCAGACCAGGCAAAAGGGAAACATCAGAATGGCGGTTAGATGGGCTCGTGCCCAGAGCCCGCTAAAATGCCTGCTTTCCCTCAGCTTGCAGAGCGCTTGAGCCCAGTTAAAACGTTTGAAGCTCTGGTCTCGGTTATCCCAGAAACCCCCTCGTCCCCCAGCCCTTCCAGGCGCTTTAAGAGCGAAAAGGTAAGGGGCCTGGCTGCGTTGACCCCGCAGGTGTTGGGGCTCCATGGCGCGTTTCAAGCCCCAGAGGTGGAAGAGAGCGCCAGGGGTGGAGAGGCAGGAGAAAGGAGGGCTCTGGGGCAGCGTCCGTGAGTGAAGGCCTGCTCTCCCACAGGGGGGAGGGGGAGGGGGGACTTTGAGCTGCTGATTGCTCCCCTTGGCTCAGCAGCACCAAGTCACCTGCAAATTCAGGAAATGTTGACCCAGCAAATGCTTCCTTCCCCAAGCCCCAGTGGGGCTGGCCCATTGCGGGTCTCTAAAGGAAGCCTCAGTGGACAGATTCTTCAGATGGCAGCCACAGAATCCGTGGCACCGCCCCCCCCCCCCCCGTGATTTCACCCCCTCCACTCTCTGCCACCAGGAGCCTTTCAGAGCAAGGCCTGGGGCTCTGGGCTCCTGGTGGAGGTGGGAGTCCTGGGTGGCCTTTGCAGCGAGAAGGGTGTGGGTGGGTGGGTGTGAAAAGGAGCCCACCTGGCCTCTTGTGGTGTTTTGCACCCAGAGCGTGCTCTTCAGGGGACCGGTCTCAGTGCAGCCGAGCCAGGAGACCCAGACGTCTCTGGCCTCCACCTCGCGTCTGAAGAGCCCTCAACCGTCCGCCATCGTCAAAGGTTTCTTCCCAGAGAGGCCCAGCAGCCCCCAGGGGTCTCTTGTGGTGAGCAAGCCCTTTGGGGGCAGCTGCCGTTCCCTTCCCTGAGCCAGCAACGGGCTGAGCCAGGGGGCACCCTGTGCAGGAGGAGGGAAGGCAGCGTTGTCCCCCCCGTCCTCAGCAGGGGATCTGCAGGTGGCCCACCTGTTCCCCCCCAGCTCCATGCTGTCCCCATTAGCCCCTGTGCCAAGAAGCACTCCGGGCCCCCTTGTGGTTTCCTTTTGGGGCTCACCTTGCCAACTGTACTCGCCCTGCGGCCCCTCCCCCTCTTGCTCTGCAGCAGAACAAAGCCGGGTGCTGAGCTGCTCGCCCGTAAAGCCAAAAAGTCGGAAGGAGCTTCTCAGGCCTCCTGGCCAGAGTGGATCGGGCCTTGTGGCCCCACATTTGCAGCGGCTGTTGCATTCTGGGGTTCCTGGGCTGCTGCCTCTGCTTTATGGGAACAGATGGGGGTGCCTTCAGCCCCCCCCCCCCAGCCAAGAGCAAGAGGGTTGCAAGCCCTAGCCCTTGATGGTGATATTAGTGTGTGTGGGGGGGGTGGATTTTCCAGGGGGAGGTGAAGGGTTGGGTGGGCTGCCCAAATCTTCTCCTTCCTCGTCTCCAGGCGCTCAAGAGCCAGCGTCTTCAGCTGCCCAGACTATCCTCCGGCTTCATCCCCAACTCCGTGGTCGTCCAGCAGCTTCACACCCTGGACCTGCTGGAGGCGGAGAAGCTCGTGAAGGTGATCGGACCCAAGAAGGTAAGCCCCTCGGGGGTGGCTGGGACCCTTTTGCCATGGCACGCAGGGAGCCAGGTTGCTCTTCTTTAGAAATAAGAGTGGGGGGGGGTGCCTGACCCTTTCCCCCCATCCCAGGGCAGTCGGAGGCTGTGCCCCCAACTCAGCGGGTGCCATTTCCTGGCTACAGCCCCTTCCCTGGGAAGACTCGGAACAGGCTCAGCCACCCATTTGAAATATCACCTGGTTTGGCCAATGCATCCCCCACCTGCAAGGAATGGAAACGATGAAAGGTCACAAGTAATGTTGAGGGAGGTGATTTGAGAAGCATGCAAGGTGCCAGATGGCCTGAACCCTAACCCTGAACGTCAGAAGGCCCGCAGCTGAGCTGGCCACTCTGCCGTGTTAGAGACTGGCCTGGGGCCTGCCCTGGTACTACAGACCCCTCCCCCCAAGGGCGGTTCCCACTGCAGAATTTGCACAGTTGAGTGCCCCCACCTGGAAATTCATCCCCTTTTCTCAGCCCTTTCAAGGAGCAGAGAAACTGAGCCTCTGGGAAGGCCGGCCAGCCTTGGGGCTCTGGGTAGGCAGACCGTCTGGCTGGGAGGAGTAACAGTAACAGAATTGGAAGGGACCTTGGAGGCCATCTAGTCCAACCCCCTGCTCACGCAGGAAACCTATACCAGGGATTCGAACCACTGACCTTTCTGATTGACAAGCTCAGCATCTTAGCCACTGAGCCACCTAGCTTCTCTGCCCCTGCTCTTTGCTGCAAGGGGTCTGAGGACCCTCACTGGCTGGGATGGGCAGTAGGTGGAGTGTCAGCTTCTTCAGCGTCCTTCCAGGTGTGTGGACATAAGGGAGTTGACCTTGATGGAAATGAGCAAGAACCATTACTAGGTCAGGGGTGCCCAATCCTTGGCAACTTTAAGACTCCTAGAATTCCCCAGCCCACAGTTGCCAAGCTGGGCAAAAGGCTCCATTTTTTTAAGCCCAGGGAAGACAATATGTGGAAGCGGCTCAGATTCACTGAGGTATGAGAGGGGGAGGCCATGCAGCACCATCTGACTTGGGAGGTTCGGTTATTCTAGCCAATTTCAACAAAGTAATTCCAGCCTTCCTATGATTTCAGGTCTGGCTGGCATAGCAAGGCCTGGAAGAGAAGGGCTGCTCTGCCTGCAGCCTGTGGGCACAGAGAGGTGGCTGGGTCTTCGGGGGCCAGGAAGGGGGGCTCTGGCTGTAGGCTCTCTTCCCAGGAGAGGCTGTGAGGGATCCTTTCCCTTCCTCTGCTGGCCAGGTGTCAGAGAGCTCCTCGAAGGCCAGTTTAATGTGGACATTTGAGGAGGATGAACTGTCCGAGGAAGAACCGTGGATAGTGGGCCCGGAGACCACCTCCAAGTCCTGGATCACGCCAGCCAAGGAAGGCGCCCCCTCCACAAAGCAGGTGCCTCTCTCCTCCCAACTGCTGGGCTCCCCTAGCTGGCATCCCAAGGTAGTTGCCTAGTGTCAGGGGCACCCAGGGCACAGCGAATGTACTTGCAATCCTCACACCGTCACCCCCCCCCTAATTTCAGAGCGTGCCTGGGATTTTCCTGACTCAGCTGGATGAGTCCCAGTATGCAGAACCACAAGTGACGGTGCCGGGATTTGTCTTGCCCTTTGTGGACCAAGAGTGGTTCCAGAATCTTTTCCCAGAGGTGAGAGGGCCCCCTGGAGACCCAAGGACACCAAGGGAGTTTTGCCCCCACATCTTTTACTTTCCAATCCCCCCCCCATCCTTCTTGGGGATGGGCTAGCCTTGGGATTGCCTTGGGTTAGTGACCTCCATTGATAGAAACGGGGTCACGATGGTTCAGTGGTTAAAGACAAAAGACGACCGCCCACTTTCAAGACCTAAGGGCTGCGTGAAGGGGTGAGCTCCCGTTATTGGCTCCAGCTCCTGCCCATCTAGCAGTTTGGGAGCATGCAAATGCGAGTAGATAAATAGGTACCACTTTGGTGGAAAGGTAAGTGTGTTCTGTGCGCCTTGGCATATAGCCATGCTGGCCACATGGCCACTGAAGCATCTTTGGACAATGCTGGCCCTTCTCAGCTAGGAGATGGAGATGAGCCCCTCCCTCTAGAATCAGACACCCCTGGCAGGGGAAACCTTTGCCTTTATTGATAGAAAAATTGCACCCGTTTCGTTGAGGCTCAGCCTTGAGGTGACCCCAATCCCCTTCCAGATCCCGAAGAGCAAGTCACCGATGACCACTCAGTGCCCCAATGCAGAAGTCAACCCATGCATAAACAGTGGCCATGTTGGCTTGCTACACTGAACTAGAAACCAGGCAGCCCGAGTTGAGCCCAATGTGCAATGTGGGTCATGTGGATTGGAGGATTGGAAGATTGCATTCTTCCCCTTAGGAATGTGGGGGTTGCCCCCCTGCTTGTGTTTCATTAACATTTTGGCATGGGGCCAGGTTCCCTGAGGGGAACCGCCCCTTCCGGATTACAAGGACCCGTCCCATCCGTTCAAGCAGAAGAGGTACCCTGTTCTAGGTCCCCTCTCCAAGGGGGCTCCCTCTGGTGGGACCCAGGCAGTGGGCCTTTTTTTGCCACGGACATCATCCCTCCGTCCCCGAGGTGAGCTTAGCCCCAGCTGCCTCCACCGCCTCTTCCTCCTGAGCGGGGCTTCCCCTCTCCGCAGGGTGTCCGCCCTGAGATGCCCCTGAAAGCCTTGGTGAGGAAGCTGCAGGAGGCGCTGCTCACCTCCGACTTCCACACCAAGACGGAAGTGCTGGGCGCCATCGCCTACTTGGAGGACCAGCTGGAGGACAAGACGAAGAGGTGGATCCAGTACACCCTGTTTGAAGTGCTGAATCAGGAAGGCAACACCCCCTCTTTGCAGGTGAGGCTGCTCTGCCACTGGGTACTCGAGGGGCAGACCGGGGGTGGGGGCGGGGCTGGCGAGAGGGCCCCGGATACTCCAGGTGGGCTCCCTCTGGGATGCGAGGCGTCTGGGCAGAGTAGGGGTCCACGTGGGAAAGGAGGGAGGAAAAGGTGGGCCTGCCCTGACCCCTCCCCCATGAGGGCTGCCAGCTAAGGCGTCCCCCTCCCCTGTCTAGGAAAAGAGCCAGAAGAAGTTCATCCTGGCCGCCCTGCGCGTTCTCCTGCACCTGGACAAAGACAGCCTGGACTTGATGGTGGAGCTGATGTCCTGTTACCTGCTGGCTCCTCCCTCCATCCGGTGAGAGCCCCGCGGGAGACCCAGGCCTGCAGGTTCCTGCCTGGGGAAAGTGCCTTTCCTCGGCCCAGGAGGAGGGGGATGGAAGCCCCCAGGGGCCGGGCCGGGCACTGCAGGGGGGTTCCGGCCTGGACCTTCTCAGGAGGGAAGGCTGGACCCTCTGTGAGCTCAGGCTGCAGGCGATCACTTGCTGGTGACAAAGAAGCCACCGTGCCAGCTCTGAGGCCGGCTGCTTCCCGACTGTGTGGCACGTGAAGCCTGGCACTCAGGACCGGTTGTGGCCGAGTCCTCTCCGAGGTGCAGAGAAGACAGATGCCCTCGTACTGGTAGACCACCTGAGCTGCTGCCCCACGGCTGGCTGGCCTCTCTGCAGTCCTGGGCAGGAGAACCTCCAGGGGGCACCTCCTGGCAATCATCGAGGGCTGCTCCGGAAGTCCCTCTCCTGCTGCGGGTCCTGGGGCAGCATTCTGCACAGGGTGATGCCCAGTGGTGAAATGTAAATTTTGTAACTACCAGTTCTGTGGGCGTGGCTTGGGGGGGGTACTATGACTGAGTGGGCATGGCCAACTTTTTTTTTTTTACTTTTAAAAGCATTTTTTCTACAACCTCTTCGGCTGAAGAGGTTGTAAAAAAAATCCTTTTAAAGCCTCTGGCGATCCCAGCTGACTTGCCTGATCGGCAGAGGCTTTTTTTTCCTTTTAAAAATATTTTTTCTATAACCTCTTCGGCCAAAGAGGTTGTAGAAAAAATGCTTTTAAAAGCCTCTGAGGATCCCAGCTGAGCAGCGCAATCATCAGAGGCTTTTTTTTTTACTTTTAAAAGCATTTTTTTGGCCAAAGAGGTTGTAGAAAAAATGCTTTTAAAAATAAAAAAAAGCCTCTGATGATTGCGCAGCTAAGTTGGGCAATGTGGGAGGGGGCAGGGATTTTTGCTACCGGTTCTCCGAACCGCCCGCCTCCATCGCTACAGGATCGGGCGATCTGGTCTGAACCAGGAGCGTTTCACCCCTGGTGATGCCCCTGTCATTATTTTCTTTGTGGCAGGAGGTTGGGGCAACGCAAGGAGTGGGGCACTCCCTGTGTGTTTTGTGGGTGTGCTGTTGATATGAAACTCCAGGTAAGGAATGCTCTCCTCTCCCCCCCCTTCCAGGGCAGTCTTTAAGGAGATGTTCAAGGAGTTGGGGCTTCAGGACCCCCACAACTTTTTCTTCAGGGAGATGAACTCCTGGATGGTGGGTATGGAGGACTCCAAAGAGGCTGTGCGGAAACTCAGCAGGGAGTGGTTGGAGGACAAGATCAGGATTTTCAAGGTGCTGCCCTTCACCGCTCTTTGGATGTCTCTCCCCCCCACAACCCAAACCTTTGCCACTCTTCCCCAGCAAAAAGTGAATGCAGGTGTTGCACGTTTCTGCTCCTCCGGCCTCTGAATGCTCTGGAGCCCAGAGAGGCCTGGGGGAAAGCGTGGCTGCGGGAGGGTTGCAGGCAAGGGGTGGGTCTTTGTCCTGCCGCTTGGGACCCGGATTCAGAGCCGTCGGAGCCTCCTTCCCCCTTAGGGAAGGGGAGGGAACTGGGCCATGTGGGTCTCCCCAGCGGACTCCCTCCGAGGGGACGGCAGTGTGCAGGGAACGGTTCCTCTCGGCAGAAGAGCCACGGCTGGGAGCCTTGTGAAGGGGGGGGGTGTCCGGTCAGGGTGGTCAGTGAGGAGGACCTGGCAGGAGAGCTCCTCGGGCCTTCGCCAGTTCTGAGTATGTGTGTGGGGTCCCCCTTTGCTTTCCTTTCCCCAGGAACACAGAGCTCGCCTGTGGGAAGAAGAGGCCACCTCTGGGATGAAGCTTTCCGTGGACACTGGCCACAAGGTGGGCTCTAGCTCAGACCCCCCCCCCAGCCCTGCCCAGTTGGTGCAGCTTGGCTCCCCCATCTGCTTGAGGAGGCTGGTTCTCCCCCTTGTTGGTCAGCCTCAGGCAATGCCAAGAGCACCAAGGAAGAGAGCCCTCCCCCCGCTCTCGGGAAAACAGGCCACATCCACATAGAGAGACTCTTTCATTGGCACTTATGTACGTAGAAGCTCCTGAGGGGGGGGGGGGCTTCCGAACTTGCAGACCACTGACAGTTGTGCTCTTTAGACCCAGGAAAGGAAGAGGCCGGAGAAGAGCCACAAAAAACCCAGGAAGCCGGCTGGAAAGCCAGCCAAGGCTACCCACAAGGTAAGGCTCGGCCTTCCCTTGAGACAGGGGCAGAGGACGTGGGGGGAGAGTTAGGGTGCACAGTGGGTGGTCTGCTGTGAGGAAACACCACCACCACCACCCTGCCTCTTGCAGGCCCAACCTTCACTTCCTCTTTTGCATTCAACAAGCAAAGTCAGCAGGAAGTTGTGGGTCCCAGCCTCACAGGCAAATAAGTGGCTGCTGCCAGGTGGGGGAGGGAGCAAGGGGATGTGTGGCGGGGCACAGGAGGGTGGGGGAGGGGTGCGCAAGGGTCAGGGAGGAGGTACAAAGATTGGGGGGGGTGCGGGAGAGGTCGAGGAGGGCAACTGAAAGGCACTGTGTGGGTTGAGGAGGCTCAAGGTTGGGCAAGAGGTGCCACAGGCTCGGAGGGTGCGCTCAGGGAGGGCGTAGTGTGGGTTCACTCTTGTTGGGGAGGGGGTGTGAGGGGGTGCATGAGAGGGACTGTGCAGGTGGAGGAGGCTGCACAAGAGTTCCTAAGAGGTTCCACATGGACTGGGGGGATTCGGGAAGGGTGCGCAAGAAGGGAGGGTGCAGCAGTGGCTGGGGTGGCGCATGGGTGGAGGAGGAGCAACTTGTGACCTCTGGTGGCTTCCCCATTGACCTTCTGGGGAAGCCAGCAAGGAAGGCTGCAAATGGCTATCATGTGATTGTGAGGTGCTTGGCAACCGGTTGTAAATGCACACAGGTTGCCAAGCATCTAGATTACGATCATGTGACCATGGGATGGGATGGCCAGAACTCCGAGAACTGTTCATAGCTGCCATTCTGCCCTGACTTCTAATGGTCATTGACTTGGCGGGTCAGAGGGTGGGGACTTCTTGGATGCACAATTTGTCGTTTGATTATGTGCCATTACAGCTGTTTTTAGATGATGCCTAACCCGACTTTCAGCTCACCCAACGGTTCTCGGGGCCACCATAAGGGAGTCCATTGCCTTCCAAGTGGCCGTATCTCACCTAAGGGGGCGTCCTTTATTCCGCATCTCCGATTGGCTGTTGGGAGGGGATGAAAAATGGCAAAGATGGGCTCTCACTGTCTTGTCTCCCTATTTGGACTCAGGAAGAGACGGAAAGCGAGGAGGAGTGGCGGGGGACGCAGAGCTTGGAAGACCACCAGAAGGTGAGGCTTCCTCTGGCCCTCAAGATCCTCCTGTCACTTCAAGGGCCCGTTAGCACCCTGTCTTCCTGGCAGGAAGCCCACCCATGGTGCACAGCCCAGCATGGGAGAGGCCTTTGGCCAGGCTGGGAGATGGCTTAGAGGGGGGCTCTAGGGACCCTTCCTGGGTGCATCCTTGTGGGAGCAGCTTGAGGTCCCCTTGAAACCTTCTTTTCCAGAGCAGGAGCTTTGAGGATCGTGACTTCTTGAACCTTGATAGCAGAGTCGTCCCGTCCCCCCCACCCATTCTGAGGGGCAAATACACGCTGCAGTTATTGTATTTGCTGTACAATAACCATCAACCGATAAAGGCAAATGTTTGTAGCTCAGGGTTGAAATGAGGAGTCCTTGGTGCTCTCTGAGCTTGGCGGTTTTCTTGCAGATGTTTCATTATCCAACTAGGTAACATCCTCAGTGCTGATGGTGTTACCTAGTTGGGTCATGAAACGTCTGCAAGAAAACCACCAAGCTCAGAGAGCACCAAGGACTCCTGATAACCATCAAACAATGTTCTCCATATTCTTCCTGCACAGTCACACCACACTCACAGCCCCTCAAACCTTGGGTCACTTCCTATCTGGACTACTGTAATGCGCTCTGCATTGGGCTGCCCTTGAAGAGCATTTGGAAGTTCCACGAGGTTCTGGATGCAGCGGTCCAGCTGGCTCTCGTGCTTCCTGTTTTGGCCTCAGTGGCCGTTGTGATTCGAGGCCAAACGAAGCAAAGCTCAGAAGGGCAGCTGACTCCATTTGGGCCCTGCTGACTTGTGGCGGCCATGTGCCTCTCTCTCCTCCTTCAGCCCATTCGCCCCATTGATGCCATCCAACATTTTACGGAGCAGCAGCTGGAGAGAGACCTGGAGAAGCTGAAAGAGGCTGTCCCTTTGAGAGCAGATTCCCCCCGGGACACGGTCTTGGCGTTGCCCCCCCCTCAGAAGTAAGTTGCAGGATCTGAGCAACCTGCGGCCCAGGTGCCCACTTGAGGGCCTGGGCAACCCGGTGCTGCTGGGGGTGTGGCTCTGCCTCTACAGGGCTTCCGGGTTGGTGGGAGTTTTGAGGCACCAGCTTAGGGGAACTGGAGACCCCCCTCATTTGCTCTGCTGGCCAAATGAGCTGCTTCTGTTGCAACGAGACTTCTCTGCTGCTGCCTTGTGCAAATCTTCTTCCCCTTGGGACACCGAATGCTCAACGGGCGTGAAGTTGGCAGCCCCTGATTTCCCCTGAGGAAATGGGCAAGAAAGCCCTGCAGGTCCAACCCACCTTCAGGCTGCCCTGGGATGGTTCTGGAATAAGAGGGAAAGCAACACCCAAAGGCGGTGAAGGACGGCTGGAGTTTGTCCCGCTCATGGCTGAAAGGAAAGCCAAGTCCCAGGGGAGCAGATTAGTCTGCTGCTTAAGGGTCAGGTGGGCACACGGTTCACTCTCTAAGGCTGCAGCCCCTTTGCTGCACTCCGATTGGCCCCTCTCAGCTGCCCAGGAAGAGCTGCGGCCCATGGATACCGGGCAACAGTGAGGGGATTCAACCAGTTCGCACCACTTCGGGAGAACCGGCGGCTAACTTTCTGAAGAGTTTGGCAAACTGGTTGTTGGAAGAAATCATTAGGGCACAAATGAGCCTTGGTGGCGCAGCAGACTAAAGTGCTGTTAAGTAGCACCAGCTGCCTGCAATTACTGCAAGTTCAAATTTCACCAGGCTCAATAATAATAATAATAATAATAATAATAATAATAATAATAATAATAATAATAATAATAATAATAATAATAATAATAATTTTATTTCTATACCACCCTTCTCCCGAAGGACTCAGGGCGGTGACTCAGGTTGACTCAGCCTTCCATCCTTTCGAGATAGGTAAAGTTGACTTTGTATAAAAAAGAACACCACTTAGGGGGGGCCAAAAGCCCTATTAAGCAGGTATATAGAAAAGTATGAAGGCTATTGCTTAATGCATTGTAAGCCACCCTGAGTCTCCGGAGAAAGGCAGCATATAAATCGAACCAATAAATAACCGGTTGTTAAATTACTTGAATCCCACCACGGCCGGGCAACATTCTGGTGTCTAGCTCATAAGCGGACCCCTGGTGGCATCCGGCCAGCCTTGGTGAGAGCAGGAGAGCCCATTTGGCCTTCTCTGACCTCCTCAGTTGGTGGGTTCTACTGTGCTGGGTTTCTCCGAGCTCTTGCTTTTCTGTGACAGGTCCAAAGCGATCCTGCGCCTCGGAGAGACCAACGCAATGCTGAGAACGAGAATTGCTTCGCGTGAGTGTTGGGGTTGCTCCATCGCTCTAACGGGGCTCCTCCTTTCCTCCCTCTGGCGGGTGAGAAGGCTGCAAAGTGCATGGCACCCTCCTGGGTGCCTCCTTGCCAAGCCTGGTGCTGCTGCTGCACTCTGGTGCTGCCTGTGCCAGGGCCACCTAATGTCGGACAGTCAAAGGGCAGCAGCCGGTGGCTTCCTCTGGTTTTCTGACCGGTCCACATGTGGGCTGGGCAGCTGCTCAGGGAGGGGAGTCAGTGTCTCCTTCAACAGAAGGTCCAGGAAAGCCAGGAGTGTTAAAAACCACCCCGTAGATGCTGATCTACCCCATAGAGTGGCCTGGCCAGCCATGTAGGCTTCTTCTCAGTTGCCTCTGGTTCATGGGCCTGGTGGCTCAGCAGATGGATAGCATTGTGATTAACACCAGCTGTCTGCAATTACTGTAAGTTCGAATCTCCCCAGGCTCAAGGTTGACTCAGCCTTCCATCCTTTCTAAAGTAGGTAAATTGAGGACCCAGTTTGTGGGGGCAATAAGCTGACTTTGTATAAATACACAAAAGTATGAAGGCTATTGCTTAACTCCTTGTAAGCCACCCTGAGTCTCCGGAGAAGGGTGGCATATAAATCAAATTAAAACAAACAAATAAATAAATAAATCCCGATGGCCCCCCCCGATAGGAGCTTGTCTCCGGCCTGGGGTGAAGCTGCTTCCCTCCTCTGCTGTGTCCTTCCTCCAATGCAGGGTCCTACTTCCCCTTCATCTTGCCCCGCTACCTCATGAAAGGCTTTGTCCCCTTCGTGAAGCTTCCTCTGCCAAAGGTCACCTTGCAACCGTTTCCATCCCTTTCCAAGAGGCCGGAGCCGCCAAGGACCTTCACTGCTAGGCAGCAGCTGGTGCACAAGTATTTCATCCCAAGGTTTTCCTACGCCAACAGCTACCCGTGAAGGCAGGGCTGGCTGGCTGGCAGAGGGCGGGAATCGGACGGGTCCCTTGCTGAAGAGCCTGGCACAGGAGCCCAGGAGCCAGCCGACCAACCTGGTAGCAATAGTCAGAGACTCTTCAGAGATGTTTTCTTGTATTGATTGAAAGTGGCAAGGACAGAGGGAGGGATAAGCACCAATAAAGAGGAAAGCGTGCCAGTTGTAGCTCTGCTTTCACGAGGGAGACTCTTGGCAGCCGTTCCTTGGGTTCCCTGCCGAGGGAAGGGGGAAGAGGGGCATGGAAGGGGGGCAGGCAAAGCCAGGGGCACCGGGCCTGACGCTTGGGCCGCTCCTTCTCAGCCTCACCAGGTGGGCAGCTGCACCAGCCCCCTCCAGGCCAGCTCCGGAAGGAAAGGGCGGGGGAGAAACGGATGGTCCCGCATGTTGGCATCCGGAGGGAGAGCTCCGGGGCGTCTCCTCTCCTTGAGGGGCGAGCAGAACGAGGCTCTTTCTGCGCAACGGGGGTCCGCAGAAGACGCCCCGGCGCCTCCGGGCAAGTTGCTTCTCTGCAGCCGGGGCGGTCGGGCAGAGGCACTGAAGCCTGCGGGAGAGGCTCGGGGGGGGGGGGGGGGGGGGGGCGGCCCCAGCCCGCGGCCCTTCATGGGAGGCTGGGCAGCCCCTGCTTTCCTACCCCGCCGCGCGCTAACTTCGGCCGACGCCCCCTGGCGCCCACAGCTGCGATTGCAGCCCCTGCCAGGCGTCGGGGGGGGGGAGGCGGCGGTGCGCGCAGGCGCAGACGACGGTCCCACTTTCGGTTTCGTTTCCCCCTCCCCCGGCCAGGAGCAGGGCGGGTGGGCGGGGCCTCCGCTGTGGCGCGAAAGGAGGCGGGCGTGGCGCAGGAGAGGCCGGCAGCTTCTCGAGGGGCTCCGGCGCCCCTTCCAGGTGGCAGGTGCGGGGAGGGGGCCGCGGGGGGCGGGGCTTGGCGGCCGGTCCCAAGGAGGAGCCCCCTTTTGCCCCCGTCCCGGGCGAGTTCGGGCCCCGGGATCCCCCGCGGGGCGACGGGCAGGGCAGTTGGGAGAGGTGGCCCTTCCCTCGGGGGCCCCGGCGGCGCTGCCCGGGCAGAGAGTCTGCGGCTTGGGTAAAGGTCCCTCTTCGGCGCCCTCCCTCCGTTCCGAGCCCGGCTCTTCCTCCCACTCCTGCCCGGGTGACGCGGCCGGGCTTCTTGGCGGGGGCCGATGCGGCTGGCGCAGATCCGGGCGCCGCTGGCAGCTGCCCCCTTTCCTCGGCCGGGGCCAGGCGGGCGCCGCAGCGAAGGCTCCTCCTGGGAGGGAGGGGAGGCTCCATTCCGCTGCGCCTCCGGGCTCCCGGTTGGCGTCCGAGTCCCGGAGGCGCCGCTCTTTGCGCTGCTGGGCGGCATCAACGGATCGCCTTTCCCGCTTTGCGTGACGTTCATAGTTCACGGAAAGCAGCCCCTGAAAAGGAACAATTCATATTAATACACTTAGAAATAGAAGAGCGATTGGCAAGGCTTCTCCAAAGGGAGAGAACGGGGGAAACGGCCTGGCTAGCGAGAAGTGAAACTCCAGCCCAGGAGGAGTCCCTGAGCGGGAAGGTCCCGGAGGTTCCGGGCGGTTGATGAGAGGTCTTCTAGTCCACCCCCCCCTCCCCCCGCTCAACGGGAGAGCCTCGACCGCGGCTGTGCAACCTTGGCCACTGTAAGCCTTAGCGACTTCAGTTCCCAGAATTTCTCAGCCAGCTGTCTTACGGCTCCCTCCTGTAAGGACATTGGAGACAAATAGCTGTCCAGGCTCTTCTTAAGACCCTCCAAGAGTGGAGCACCCACAGCTTCTCCGGCTCCCCTGATGAATTGAAGTTCCTCCTTCCTTCCAGTTTGGATCTCAACCTGATAAATTCTTATGCCAAACCGCTTCCTGAAATGAGGTTTCGGCTTATAAAGCATAGCAAGATCCTTCTGTATTCTTAGGATATGTAACAGTATTAAATCTTATGCTTCGTAGCTGCTCCTGAAACAAAAGCTTTTGAAACCTGTGTCCTCAGAGACTCAAGGTGGTGAACGAACATTCGTAGAACATCTTCCGTAGTTATGCCCATCTGTGGTTATATTGCACAGATATGCTCCATTCAACATCCAAAGTGGATCAGGGCAGCTTTGTTTGCAAATTGGTTCTTGACATGTAGCACTTTCACAAATACAGTGTTAATAAACTGACAAAGCTAGGGTAAAGTAATTCATAAAATCAATACAAGTGTCTAAAGATCAGATTGGCAACTAACATTTGGCATTATTAATACTGAATTTGAGAAATATGTTTAAAGATGTACATTTCAAAATCTAGCCTCGGGGAGCATTAAGAGCTAGGTAGATGAATTGGAAATACCAGTTTTATTGCCACAAGAGACAAGACTAGACTCATCATGTACAGAATCTGAATAACAGCTTTCCAATTTTTTTTTTTAAATGGGGAATCACCTCATTGAGACTTATTAGTAAGTTTTACATAGAATCCATAGATATTTCAGTTCCACAATATTTACAAAAGGTAGTGGATTACACCAAGGAGAAAATAAACCTCTACGTCATAAAAAGTTCTAAAATATTCTCCATGAAAGTGGGATGTTGAGCCTGGAGTAGGTCAGGCAACCAATCATGCATCTGTCCCAAATCATCAACAGTCCCCAGTATATCAGTGCAGGATCTGATTTTTGTCCTGGGCCAGTTAAGATCTGCGGTGGAATCAATTAGCATAATGTCTTTGCCGTCAACAGATTCCTCTCTCCATGGCAATGGCCAGAGCAGGGGGGGGGTTTGGACTTGAAGTCCTCCAGGGTCCCTTGCCACTCTGTTGTTCTGTTCTACTCTCTAGTTGCCTTTTGACTCCCTGACATCACCGTTCCCTCCGCACTTCTCCACAAGCTCTCAGGGGAGCACATGAGCATCGGCTGGGCTGCCAGGAGCCGAGTCAGATTCTGCGCCACTGGTTGCCTTGGTTCTATCGTGGCATTTTGCAGATTGGGCCTCTGGGCATCTGCTTGCTGCTGGTGTTGCAACTGCGCTGCTGCCAGATGCTCAGCCGACAGCCGGGGGGGGGCGGTTCCCTGAGGATCAGAGGCCGTTCCTGAAGTTCCTCTCTTTGAGAGGGAGCATGAGATTTGCGTGCCTGATGACAGCCTTCCCAGGTGCACCAGATAGGAAACATGACCAGAGGAGATGATTCTTTTTGATGATGATGATATCTTGGCGACTCCATGGGCCAGATCTCTCCAAATCTTCCAATCGTGTTATAATCTTACTTTAGGCTATGTTAACAGATGTTTGAAAGGCTGATAGTACAGATTCCCCTCTTGTCTCCTTGCAGCCTGAGAAGGTAGGGAGGGTCTCTTCTGAGCCTCTTTATCCGCCCATTATACAGTTGAGGGTTATGCCCCCTTTTGTCTGATCTTTTTCTTGGCAGCATCTCTTCACCCCGTCTCCCAAAATGAGCCCCACATACGGCTACAAAAACCTCTGGGATCTCCAAAGAGCACCTCGTAGCTTGACACGGATAACTCTGTTAAGGCCTTTCTGTAATCCATGAGTCACACGCTGACTCCTTTTTGTTTGACTTCCCCAGTTATCCAAAATAGATCGGTGATCGTATGTATTGGCCTTTTCTAAATATCTGGCATCCCTTTTTCCAAATGGGGCTCTAAACATTTTTATTGTATGTGACTTTGTCTTCTTTCTTCAGTATTGATATGTTAGACTGACCTCTTCTAATCGGTTGGCCATTGGGTCAGTTCTCCTCCCGTAGCTCGGTTGGAATCTTCACCTATTCTTTGTCCATTACTTGCCTATAGTCCATAATTCCTGCAGCCTTCCAACTGGTAAAAGGCCAGCCGGGTGACTTTGAGTCAGTGTCTGAGCCCAACCTACCTCACAGGGTTGTTGTTTTAGGGTAAATAGGAGGAAGGATTTTTATGTATGTTCACTGACTTGAGTTACATATAATGTAATGAAGTTGGGATACAAATCAAATAATCCTTGGAGAAGTGACCTAACTGCATTTCTCGGTATTGGAGGTTCTTGTACGTAGAGATCAATGTAGTCCAAGTATATTTTCTTCCTTAATGGTTCCAAATTTGACATTCCAGTCTCCAGGCAGCAGCAGCAGAATATCTTACTTCCATTGATTTCAAGTAGGACAATCATAAAACTCATAAATTATTCTGCATCCGTGATTAGAGCATAAACTTAGCTAATGATATTCATGGTTTGTTCACCAAGTCCAACTTGGCCATTGAGTGCCTTGAACCCGAGAGCTGACCCTAACTGCGTCCTTCCGGATTAGGAAAGCCGGACAGGTCCTCCTTTGTGCTTCATGACTTGGGTAGTAAGAACAACTTCCTGGCTGAGAGGGTCCAATTCTATTTGCTGATGTCTGTCAACGTGTTCTGGCTTCTTAATAGCTAAGATAGGTAGTTGGAGGAAAGAGGAGACAAGGCATTAGTAAAGGATGTGTTCAGAAGCACAGTGAAGAGACCATTGGTGCCGTCATTCCTTTGCTAATTGCAAGGTTAGAAGAGGGAGTGACTGTCCTACTTCTCGTCCATCTGCTGCTGTCTTTAAAATATAACAGGCAATCTCACTGGGACATGTAAGCCATCGAATGGATTGTCTTCTTTTGGTTTGTTTCTCCTTCCATGGGCTGAATTGAACCCAAGAGCTATTGTTCATTCCTTTACATCAGGGGTCCCCAACCCTCAGTCCACGACCGGGTACCAGGCCATGGTCTGTTGGGAACCGGACTGTGCAAGTGGTGGACGAGCATGCAGAACCATCCGCCCTCATCCTGCCACTGCCACTATCAGTCCGCACAGCCGGGAAGGTTGGGGACGGCTGATTTAAATAGTCCTCTGGAATTTGGAATGGTGCAACGGTTAATGGGAGTTTGAGTATTTGAAGGACAATATCCGAAGTTGATCTGAGCAAATAAGCAGCTAAGGAATCCGATTGTTTCGATCTTGGAAGAGCAAACAGGCTTTGTGGATGAATCAAATGACAGCTTTCATTGCGTGCTGCTGAAAGGACCAAATCTGGTTGGCGTGTACCTGCAGGCTGCCTCCTGTAGGCACCCAATGAGTTAGCTCTACCAGGGAGAAACTGATGCAGGTCCCACAGTCTGGGGAGTCTGGGGGTGGGGGTGGGGGCAGGCAGGGAGGCTCTGCTTTTCCATGGCATGGAACAGCCTCCCTGGGAAAGTCAGGGAGTCCCCGGATCTGATGGGGCCCTCTCCATTTTTAAAAAAGTGGGACCTCTGTGGAGTCACGCCAACTCCTGCCCTCAGACCCTGCTACCCCAGGAAAGCCGGGGGGGTGGGGTGGGAATGATCCCTGCGAGAATCCAGCTGGCTCCCGAGGGAGGAGGTGGCGGGCAGGACGGGGCTCTGGGCTAGGTGGTTTCCACTGCAGGGCAGCATCCACACACATAAGAGAGAGGAGCTTCGTCCCGCAACACAGGCAGGAATCTGTCCTTCAGGTGTCCAAAAAGACCCTTTTTTGCTTTTTGTTGACAGGATGAATCTGCCTGGCCGTAGCCGGAGTGAGAGGGAGGAGGAATCTCCTGAGATGGCGCTCTCCTGTCCACCAGGTGGCGAGGGCCAGCGGCTGAGTCACCTGCGCAGCATAGGCTCCTGGGCTCCGGTCCCTGGCGTCAGTCAGGTTATCCAGTAAGTAATGTCCCCACCTGACGGGGGACAGATCTCGTGGTCAGGGGTCCCTCCAAAGGGGGGGGGCAACAATGTTGCCGCGTGGCCACCACTGCCTAACCAAAGACCCCCTGACCCTCTTAGACATGCCGTGTGGGGCTTTGGTTACATAATGATGGCCAACCCAGGGACTTGGTTGTCCCCCTCTCTGCCAACAGCTCTGTTTAGGATACAAGTAGTCCTCCACTTACAACAGTTCATTTAGTGACCTTTCAAAGTTACGGGGCACTGAAAAAAGTGACTTTGATTTGCATTCTGTTCTTCCTCCTCCTCTCCTACTTAAATTCGCATTCCTGCCTATCAGTTGAACCCACATGTGTCTGTCATGCTATTTCCTCCTTCAGTTCTCAGAAAAAGGTTGGCAAAGAGAAGAGAACGAAGAAAATCTTGTTTATCCCAATCCCCCGCTCTCTCTTTCCATCCCTTTCTGATGTCCACGCTTCCCCTGGCCCTGTGCCCGGCTGCTCCTGCCTTTGCCTGGTCAAGCCTTTTGCCCCGGTGGCAGCCGCCTTGGCTCAGGAGCTTTGGGGCAAGGACGCTCTGCCAGGCTTTTGAGAAAAATGATGGAGGATCTCCTTGCCCGGGCCTTCTCATCTGCTGGCCGGCCATAGGAATTCGTTCCAGCTCATTATTTTCTCTCAGCCATTTCCTCCTGATTTTTAAAAATATGACTAAATTAGATGTTTTGTCTCCTTTGTGTCTGATTTTTAACGTTGGAATTAGGCTATTCCTGAACTATCCTAGCATCTGACCTCAATGAAGCTGCTATCTAAAGCAGGGTTCTCAGAACTTGGCAACTTTTAAGAGTTGTGGACTTTAACTCCCAGAATTCCCCAGCCAGCATGAGCTGGCTGGGGAATTCTGGGAGTTAAAGTCCATACTTTTTTTAATAATTTTTTAAAAAAAATTATAAACAAACAAACATACAATACATAATCATCATTCAGTGTATCATCTAGATGTTTCTAATGTGTCTTCATCATCTTACTCCTCCGATCTTCATCGTTTCTTTGTTTTTCCCACTTCTTTATTATAACATTCTTATTTATTTATTTATTTATTTGATTTGTATACCGCCCTACTCCCGAAGGACTCAGGGCGGTGAACAGCCAACAATAAAATACATAAATACACAAAATTTAAAAACCCGATAAAATCAAATTAAACTTTTTTGGCCCAGACAAATTAAAATACCCCAATAATTTAAAAACAGATTAAAATTTACATATTTAAAAAGGGAAGAGATCTCTCCCCATACGTCATTCTCCCCATACGTCATTTATTATAACATTTTCTTGTTTAGTATTAATACATTTATCTATCTCTTCTCTAACCAATTGTAAAATTGCCTCCATACCTTGTAATATTCCGAATCCTCTCTTTCTTTAATTATCAAAGTCAGTCTATTCATTTCTGCACAATCTAATATTTTCTTAATTACTTTGTCTTCTGAAGGGATTTTCTCTACTTTCCATCTTTGCACAAATACTATCCTCGCTGCAGTTATTACATGTATAATCAAATATACCTTTTCTTTGCTAATTTTATCTGGAAGGCTACCCAATAGGAACAGCTCAGATTTTAAATCAATATTCAAGCATTTCTTCCAACCATGTTTTAATTCCAATCCAATAATTTCTCACTTCTGGACATCTCCACCACATATGATGGTACGACCCTGGGGTCTGATGGGAAGTACACACTTCTTAAAGTTGCCAAGTACTGAACCACGCAGGAAACTTACAAACACTTATTTATTTCTCCCAAGCTTTTCTAAGCCCGTCACCCTCTTCGGCCGAAACATCCGGGTAGTGGACTACTGTCTCAACTCTCCTGCTGCTGCCGCCACCACCACGGACCTCAATTACATCTCCCGTATCCACGCGCGGATAATCCGGACGGGCGGTGACTATGTCCTGGTGGATTCCAGCCTGACGGGCATGTATGTCAACGACATCCGCATTAAAGGTAGGTGTGGACAGCAGCTTTAAAGAGGTGCAAGACTACGGCTGTGAGGACTGCCCTGGTTGACTGTCGGAGACTAATAATTATTTTATCAATGGCGGTTGTGATCCCAAATCCAGCACAGTCGTGCCAAATTGTGAGTCTGTGTTGCAAGAGGAGCTTTGTGACAAAACCTCTGAACTTTAAATATATTCTGAAAACTCTTTTAATTGATCATTTTGTGTGCAGGTAGAGTAAATTTGCGGGAAGGAGATACGGTCACTTTTGGCCATCCTGCTGGGAAGAACCTGCTCCTGGGAAGCCACACACGGCAGCCAAATTCTCCCTTTTATTTTCTGGTAAGATTTTTCTTTTCCCTGCACAATGTGCACCAATTGGCCAGAAAATGATTTATTGTGATGATTAACCATCTTATTTGCAAACGGCTCTTAACGCTAAATGAGGAATGGCAAGAGAAAAAGGCAGGCCCAGCATAAATTACAGCCTGACCTTGCAATGTTTTTGATGAACTGATCTTGGTGACCTTTTGTTCCTTCCTACGAGGTCAGGATGCCACTAGCTGGATAGGCAGTCCTTGAGTTTATGACAGGAATTGGGATTTCCATCCCCAAGCAATGCAGACGTAAAGCACAATATGGCATGACTGCATTGCTGTCTTACATGCTGTCATCAACCAAATCCCGCTGGTCATTAGGCAAGGACCCCACGCCAATCAAGTCAGTCTAGATGTTGAGACGTGAGTGCAGAGAAGAGCCACAAGGATGATTAAGGGCCTGGAGACTAAAACATAGGAAGAACGGTTGCAGGAACTGGGTTCGGGCAGTTTAGAGCAGGGGTCTGCAACCTTAAACACTCAAAGGGCCATTTGGACCTGTTTCCCACAGAAAAGAAAATACCAGGAGCCACAAAACCTTTCCGGTCCCTGACTATTTCTTGAGCGGCCACAAAACTAGCATACGTAGTTGAATTAAACGTTCTGTTTTCTTCTGAAACTTTTCTTGGATTTATCCATAGTTGGCCTACTGGGGGTTGAAAAGCTCAATAAATTGCGTGCTGGCAGGTGTCACACATTGGCAGTTGTGACCCATATTTTGAGTGACAGCCATAGCAGAGGGGTGAAAGAGCCACATGCGGCTCCAGAGCTGCAGGTTGCTGACCCCCGGTTTAGAGAAAAGAAGGACTAGGGGAGACATGATAGCAGTCTTCCAATATCTCAGGGGCTGCCACAAAGAAGAGGGAGTCAAGCTATTCTCCAAAGCACCTGAGGGCAGGAGAAGAAGCAATGGGTGGCAACTAATCAAGGAGAGAAGCAACCCAGAATTAAGGAGAAACTTCCTAACAGTGAGGTCAGTTAACCAGTGGAACAGAAGTTGCCTTCAGAAGTTGTGGTTACTCATTACTGGAGGCTTTTAAGAAGAGGCTGGACAGCCATTTGTCTGGAATGGTCTAGGATCTCCTGCTTGAGCAGGGGGTTGGACTAGAAGACCTCCAAGGTCCCTTCCAACTCTCTTATTCTGTTATTCCTCGCTTGGTCTCTCCCAGGGCCGAGCCTTGGTAAGGTAAGGGACTGTCTCTTCTGTCTCCTCTTGAACTCTTTCCCCACCCACCTATTTCCTCCCGCCATCTCTGCCCTTTGAGCACAGTGGCACCCCTCAGTGGTAGCAGCCGTGCTGGGGCTGAATTAGAGGCCCAGGGTCTTCAGTGGTCTTAGCCGGCCTTCGTTGGCCTCAGCTGAATCCACATTCAAATCAATTCCAATTTTGTCTGGCATAGCTTTTTCTTCTTCTGTAATAGTGTTTGCCCCACCATCCGTCTATCTATATTGTTAAATATTCTTAACATTAATTTCTCAGTCCATAAGTGCTAAATCTTCATAAAAGCCTGTCAGGGTTTGTAGATTGAATAGCTGTAAACTGATGGAAGGTTATAAGCGGAAGCAACTGAAAGCTGATGCAATGGAAATGAGGCAGCAGGGTTACTGCCACTTTAAGAAGCCAGGTAAGAAGCTGCCTATATAAGGGAAGCCATGAGAGCAGTGTTTCTCAACCTTGGTAGCTTGAAGATGGGTGGACTTCAACTCCCAGAATTCTGGGAGTTGAAGTCCACCCATCTTCAAGCTTCCAAGGTTGAGAAACACTGCATTAGAGGGTGTGTCCCTTCTCCTCATGTTCTCTCTAGTCGTGTATCTCATTGCTATCCTTCTGTCAGTAGTTGTATGATAAGGTATTTACCACGTATAAGACTGTATGTATTTAGCTGTATATAAACCACTATCGATTGCCTAAAGGCTCTGTCTGCTGTGTGCTGTGTTTTTGCTCCTGGGTTTATCTCATAATACTAGTCACGCTGCCTAAACTCTGATAAAGCCTCTCTTGTTAAAATATTTTTTCCATTTTGTATTGACATATCAATGTTCTTCTCCTTTAAGTAATTTTTATTTCCTTTTGATTCCTTCGGGTGTCAAACTATCAAAGTCCCTTTTTATTGTGTTCTCTTTCCAGCAAACCAAAACAATCAAACGTTTCCCACAGGAAGGATTATTATATTTAATAAAAAAATCTCATTTCAAAACCCATTTAGCCTATTTTTAACTTTCCAAGATCATCACTTTGAACCTCTTTTTCCTGTTTATTCCAAAAGAATAAATACTATTTCTCTAAATCTTTACGCTCACATGTTAAACATCTGTCACAAAGGTGAAAGAAACTCTCCCAAGGAGCTGCTGTGTGGAGTACACGTGGTTTATCTCACAGTCTCCTTGCTCCAGAGAGTTTTTGCCAGTCTGGATTCTGCATCCAGCCATGTTCTCCATGTGGATGCCATCCTGTTCAAAAAGAGACATCTAGTTGGCTATGAATCTTCATCAAAAGTATATTTCTTGTCTCCTGATTGAGGACAACAGTGGACTAAGATATGTCTGAAAGAATGAGGATGACTTTGCAGGGGGTACCAGTTGCTGAGCAAGAAGCCTGGACCAGTTGAGTCTCCTGGATAAGGGAGGCCAAGAGATTGGCCACTTGTGCTCTGGAAGGCTGCTTCTCATGAGGAGACCGCAGGATTTGCAGCCAAGTCATGACTTTGGGTGACTGGAAGCCATGCAAAAGTCGTCAAGCTCACAGCCATAGGGGACAACTTAAGGACACTGAGTTTGCTTAAAACTGCACTTTCTTAAACCACATCTAGATTATCATTATTTCAAAGCTAAAAGAAGCCTTTGGAACAGCAGGGCACAAAAGCAGCGAGCCTTCCTTCCCGATTTTTATCTTTATGACATGTTTGATTAGGGAAAAGACAGCAAGAATGTTTATTAGTGACTGAAAACCTTTTATGGACCTTTTGCTGAAAATGGGAAAAAATGAATTGATCATTGGAAAGGGTAAAATTTGGGAAGAAAGAAATCATGGAAACCACCTTAAAAAGAGAGGATATTAAGTTTATTTGTAGCCGCAGAAGAGAACCTCTGCCGCACTTCAGGGTTGAACTGTGGAGTTCCTGGTGCGTCTCTGACTTTGCTGGTTTTCTTGTGGACGTTTCATGAACCAAACTGGCTAGTTGGTAATTGCCGTAAAGAAGACTGGAAGCTGCTGCTTGTACTTTTTTCTTTTTCATCTTTATTCACCACTTCATTCTTTTCTTTTTAAAAACTTGTATCATTTAACGCTTCAGGGGGGAAAAAACAAACATTAGTAACCCTTTTTCTTTTTTCTTTCAGTTTGAGCATTGCGATTGCTGTCCTGATCAGATGCAGAGTGTTTATGAAGACAGAAGAAATTTCCCTCAGCTGTTAAAAGTGAGAAAGACAAACATGTGTTTTCAGTTAACAGCTGAATCCATGAATCACGTGAAACCCTTTTTTTCCCTTTAACACTTGTTCAATAAACTACAACAATCTCCTGTAAACACAGCAAATAAAGTTGTGTTTACAGGAGAGAGCTAGTTTGGTCTAGCAGTTGAGATGCCAGACTTGAAAATAGGAGACAATGAGTTCTAGTCCTACCTAAGATTTTCAGGAGTCAGTGGTCGTAAATATAATACAGGTAGTCCTCATTTAGTGACCACAATTGGGACCAGCAGTTCTGTTGTTAAGCAACGTAGTCGCTAAATGGGGAATGGTGTGACAGTGGCCATGCTTCCCCTTTTCCTACTCCGGTGCCCTTTGGAACTCTCATTCAGGAACTGGGATAATTATCAAGAAGGGAATTAATGTTTGTATTTACAATTAATGGAGAGGAAGGGATTATAAAACAGTAAGGAGGCATACAGTGGGGATCACACGTAGAAAAGAATGCAGTGGCACCTGCAGCCCTGGGCACGCAAAGCCTGGTGGATTCCCCATTATGTGGGCGCCTGCTTATTCTCTTGTAATCCTTTCCTCTGCAGTCTCTCTGCTCTGCAAGGCAAGGGGCAGAAAAAAATGGGCAGGCACAGGAGAAATTGTCTACAGCAATTGCAACAAAGATGATTAGGGAACTGAAGGCTAAAACCTAAGAAGAACGGTTGCAGGAACTGGGTATGTCTAGTTTAATGAAAAGAAGGTGGCATGATAGCAGCATTCCAGTATTTGAGGGGCTGCCCCAAAGAAGAGGGGGAGTCAAGCTATTCTCCAAAGCACCTGAAGGCAGGACAAGAAGCAATGGATGGAAAACAATCAAGGAGAGAAGCAACCTGGAACTAAGGAGAAATATCCTGACAGAACAATTAATCAGTGGAACAGCTTGCCACCAGAAGTTGGGGGTGCTCCAGCACTGGAGGTTTTTAAGAAGAGATTGGACAATATTTGTCCAAAATGCTATAGGGTCTCCTGCTTGAGCAGGGGGTTGGACTAGAACAGGGGTCCCCAACCCCCAGGCTGTGGCCCACTACTGTTCAGAACTGGGTTGCGGAAGTAGCAGACGAAGGTGTGTGCAGCTCCATTTGTGGGAGGGAGTGGCAGGCGTGGGTGCCCTGCTGCTTGTGCAAATGGAGCTATGCGCTCGCCCGCTGCTTGTGCGGAACCATCCCCTCCCCCACCAGTCTGCAAAGCCGGAAAGGTTGGAGACCCCTGGACTAGCAGGCCCCCAAGGCCCCTCCCAACTCTGTTATTGCTACTCTTTACAGATTTCTTCCCCACTTGAAAATAGAATGTGGATAGGCTCCGAGTCTAGAGGTGGACCTCCATCTCCCAAGGCTTCTTGAAGATTAATAGGCATTAATGTTGTCTGGTAACAGAATAGGGAATGGTTGGAAATGGAGTCCCATCCATGTAGGAAGCTGGGCGGGTGGGATCCTTTCCGGAGTAGCCACCTGGTGTGGCTGAGCCTACAGAAGTGCTCTGTGTTCTGAGAGCTTCAGTTGCAGCGTGTGTTAATTTGGGGCAGCAGGCAAAGGAGACCAGGACAAATTCGAGGACTCGTATATGGGAAACTCTGAGGCCTCTTTACGAAACTCTGAAAGATGCAGAGTGTGTTAATTGCTGACCTCTCGATTTTCTTTCTTCCTGCAGCGTCCGGACTTGGTTTCTGCAGGAGTTTCACATCCGGGCAACCCGAACTTGGCATTTGCACACAACATTTCTGGTCCTCAGATGAGACTACCAGGGGTCCTGCCAGGCCGTGCTCCTCTGGCAAGCTCTGTCACCCAGTGTGCCCACCAGGCTGCTTTGGCCCCATCACCAAACCCAGCACTTTCTGCCTCTCCCCCAATTATGGCTCCACTCCCCACCCCTTCTCAGAAGACCTTGGAGCAAAGGAGGTTTCCTTCCTCATCTGGTCCTCCACTAAGTGCTCCATGGAGACAGGCCTCCCGAGTTCACCGTTCTGCTTCACCCGATTACATCCTTCCCGAAGAGAACCCTTTTGCGGCCCCCGAGTCTCCTCTTCAGGAAAATTCAGAATCCAGCGATTCCGTTTCTCACAGCAGCAGCAGCAGTGAGAGTGCCATGGAGTGTGACAGGCCTCATCCACAGCGGTTGTCTCAACATGAGGATGCCGGAAGTGATCCTGAGAGAGGCTGCGTACATCCTCTCCTTCCCGGTTCCACCTGTCCAGAGGCTTCTGAAGCGGCTGATCAGAGTGGCTCCCAAAAAGCAATTGGGGCCTCTGGACCCTGGGAGGAAATGCTTCAGCTCACACCTGACTTTCCGACGGAGGCGGGAGGCACTTCTGGTTGTGCACCGTCTGTTTTCGGCCCAGAGTCTCCAGCTCTTAGTGAAATTGACCAAATTGAGGAACAGGCCGAGATTAATCTGTGCCCAAGTATGGAAGAAACGGCTTGTGTGGGGGAATCTTTTGCTTCAGAGCCAGACAGCCCAGCGGAAGAAATTGAAGGGGTTGAATTGGCTGGGAGCCGTGCTCAGGCAGTGAGGGGCTCCGTGGATGACTGCAAAGAGCAGCTCATGGAGAAACACCCACCAAAGACCTCCTCCTCCTCAACAGAAGGAGTGGAAAGCAGAGCAGTTGCTGCTCTCTCTTCAGAAATTCAGCCTTCTGAATTGGGGCACCTTCAGCAACATGACTCAGCCAAGAGAACGGCTGAGATCTGCTTGTCTTCTGGGGAAGAACCAATGAATGATTCTTCCACCAAAATCTTGAGTCAAGAGAAATTGGACTCCGAGAGGAGAAATGCACTTTTACCTTCAAGAAGTTCATCGCATGGGACCCAGAGTGGTGGTGTGGACTACACAGTAGCTTCTCCAGAAAAGGTTGCAGCCAGTGAAGATGTGGAAATGGAACCACCAACAGATGCTGGCTTAGAGGGCGTAGATGGCCACCTTGAGCCAGAGATGAGTTCTGCAATTCCAGTGTTCGCTGAAGGCGTTTGCAATAAGGCCAGCACGGTAGACATGTGTGCAGGAATGGGGATGTGGACTGATGGAGTGAAGCCTTATGAGATGGAAGTAGCCACAACAGAGTCTTCCAAGGATGTGGACCCAAACCAGAGGCCAGGCACTGATGGTGCTGACTCAAAGGCAGGTGCGGCCAAGGAGATGATTCTTCAGAAATTGTCTCAGACACTGGTCCTTGATGAGCAATTCAAGGGTGCATTCTTCCAAGGAGAAAAGAAGGATTGGAGTCAAGCTTCTGACACAACAGACGAAAACCTCCATTCCAAAGACCTACCGGAGACGCGTGAAGGAGGAGGAAGGGCTCTTGGAACAGATTGGCTGCAAGCAAGACCTCTTTTGAGGGAAAACATAGTTCTCACAGGGGCCTTAAAAAATTCAGTTCCTGGACCTCCCGAGAATTTGGGTGAACTGATTTCTGAGCAATGCCTCTTCCAGAGCAGCAAAATTCTCTTTGAAAATCAAGTGGGGGAAGGGTCTGAGATGGAGGAAAAATTGGAACGTGAGGATCCCAGAAGTGCTGGATCCAGCAACAACTCAAATGAGGTGACAGATGATTCCAGGCTACAGGATGCAGACGAGATGAGTAAAAGCGGTGATTCTTTCCTGGGAATTGTCGATGTTCCAGTGGTTCCAGTGGTTGGTTTGTCAGGAGGAGAACCACCCAGTTACAGAAGTGGAAGTGAGGGACAACACCAGGGTGATTCTCAGGATCCACCAAGCGAGGAAGAATCGGAGGTGAAGAGAAGCAAAATTGGCACCTCAGCAGCAGCAGCTGCCAACGAAGATGCAGCCAACCAGCACCGAGAGGCTGAAGGTGGCCTGCAGAAAGAACCAACAGGCCTTGTAGAGCAGGAGGAAGCAGACTGCGCTGCTGCTGCTGCTGTTGCGGATGCCTCCCTCACGAGAAGCCCTAGTCCTGAGCCTGCTGAGCGGTCCGCTTTGGGCTCGGCAGGTGGAAAAGGTGATTCCTCTAGAGATGGCCTCCAAGAGGGGAGGATTCCCCACTTAGGTGACTGTTCACTTGTGGGTACACAACTACCTTCTCCGAAAAGCCAAGGTGAAGCAGGAGAGAGATCGCTGTCTGATAGTAACCATCTTTTGGGTTGTCAGTATGTCACAGAGGATGAACGGTTTACAAGTCTGAATGAAGAAGGCCCAGTGAAGGCCACCACAGGAGAAGAGGAGGAGGAAGAGTCAAGGGCCAGTCCTGTGCCAAACATTCCTTTGGCTGTCACAAAGAGGGATTTTGATCCAAGTCCTATGCAAGTGGGGTTGTTGAATGTGCCTTGTAGTGCATTCTCCAGCGGTTCTTCCTATGCGATAAACCAGCTACAGTGTCCTTTAGAGGTTGATCCCCAAGAACTGAAATCTGATATTGTTGAGCCTGAGAATCTGGAAAATTGTTTAGAAATGAAATCCCAAGGAGCTGATGTTGGGGGAAAGTTGCTTTATCTTGAAGACCCTCTTATACAAGACAGAGCTTCTGAGGAACCAGAAGCTCCTCTTGAACAGATCAGCCTGCCTAGTCCAGGAGAACCTGGGCAAGATGTCCTCGTTCCTGAGGAGAGCAGCTGGCCTAATCAAATTGCTAAGAATCCCCTCTGCATGAAGGCAAGAGGCAGCACTGTGCTACCCCTCCCAAGCGTTGGCCTTCTACAGCCTGGCAACGTTGCTGTCAATCTCCCAGTGGAGCCAACAGACGACACTGCTGAGGCCCTGCAGTTGCCTGTTGGGGATGATGGGCTCCATTGGCAGATTCTTGCGTCTGAAGCTGAAAAAGAAGAGATGGGCCAATCCTGTCCTTCCAAGACGGATGGTCTTCACAGAAGAAGGGGCACCTCATGGTTCGATCCAGCTGAACAGAGAGCTAATGCGACCGAGAGCAGGGAAGCATTTAGGGAACCAACTGAGGAATCAGCCAACCAAAGACCTCATGATCTGGCCATTCAAGAGGTCAGTGCTGGGCCACTGAAGGGCACGGAGATGCTGGAGATGAGTCTGGAAGGACAAATTTCCTCCCATCATGACCAAGGCAGTCGTGTAAGGGCTGCATTTTCCACAGCAGGGACAGAGGCTGTAGGGCCCTCCCTGTCATCAAAGAGCCGGAAAAGAGCATCAGAAGCACCGGAGGAACCAGGTGGGGAGGAAATGGAGCTTGATCCTGTCAACTTGGCCGGTCAGCCTGAAAAGTCCCCTTTGGAATCAGCTTCAGAATCAGCAGATGATGGTAGGGTTGCCTGTAAGGATCAGGGCTTCATAGAAAACAGCCGTCAGGGCTTGGTCCAAGAGAGTTGGCCCAAGGCTGGCAGACTTCCTGGGCAACCAGACACGGCAACTGTGGCTCCACCCCTTGGGGAAGCAGTTAAAGAGCTTCCAGGAAGTGAGACGTCCAGCAGTCCCCGTTCAGGAAAAGGGGAATATGCTCAGAAGGATAGGATGGTGCATCAAGACAACAGACTGCTGGGCCAAGAAAGTGCGTGCCAGCTGGGCAACGGCCCAGAGGCCTCAGCAGGGTACAGGGGAGGCTTAGGGTGCTCGGAGCCCTACGAGGCCCTTTTGCAGGAAGAAGAGAAAGCGAACAGCTCTTCTCCTAGAAAAAGACTTCAAAACGAGGAGTTAGATTTGGAAGGCGCTGCCTGCCATCCAAAGAAGCTCCGCAGGGAGAATTTTGCTTTAGTTTGGGGCTCTGCGAGTGATCCAGCGGCATCTCCTGTGGCGCCTCCTCCTCCTCCTCTGGAGGAGAGCATTGAGCAATTAGGCAAAGCGATAGAGAAGTTCCTTCATCAGTGTAGAAACCGAATCCCTCTGTGCTCCGACCCCACGGAAAGAAATGGAGATGTTCTTGCTCAGATGGTGAGAAATTACTTTAAAAGCAACATTTACTCCAATGAACCGGCAACTGAAAACAGGGAAGCAGAAGAGCTTGAAGCTCTGTCTTCAGAAACTGCAGCTGTGAAGGGCATCGGCTGCCGGTTGGAAGGGGGTGCAGAAGACCCCGGGGAAATCCCTGGCTGTGACGGGCCCGGCTCTCCTGAAGGTGCAGAAGAGGGTGCCCAAATCCCCGAAGATGCGTCTGTGTCCCCTTGGGGCCAGTCAGCCGGGTCTGGCTCTTCCGCCAAAGAAGGCAAAGGCTTAGGGAACCCCAGGCAGGAGGATGTCTACTACTTTAAGGAGGAGCCCTTCCCCATGGAAGTGGACTCGGCGCTGGGGGACTCGGACAGCAGCTTTCCTGCTGAGTCGCCAAAAGCGGAACCCCTGGAGGGGCCTTTGGAAAGGGACCCAGACACCTCTTCGCCTTTGGACATCGCTGCTAGTTCTCAAAGCTACGAACCTTCTCCCAGTCCACGCTGGAGCAATTCAGACCACGTGCTGGACGGTGCCTCTGAAGGCTCTGGCACCCTCTCGGAAACCGAGTGGCATTCTCCCTCTGATGCAGACTGTTACAATGAAGACTCGGGGACACCTCCGGACACGGCCAGGCTGTGGCAGGAAGACAGCCAGGCTGCCCCAAGGGACAGCCGGCCAGAGTCTGTCCGTCCCCTCGGTCCCTCTGAGCAGGAGGCTCCCGACCGTTGGCTGCAGCGTGGAGAACCGGGCGGAGGAGATGAACCTGATGGCTTTGCCTGCCGAGAGGATTCTGGGAAGGCCACGGAGGAGAAGGCAGCTGAGGGCGATCGGAGGGGGATCCTGGCCGAAGGAAGCATTTTCCCACAAGGCGGCCTCGGAGGCCCCCCTGGCCAAGGTAACGGCAGGAGGCGGTTTTCACTGTCCAGCCCTCCTTCCCTTTGCTTTGGGTTCTGGGAAGGCCGCTTCTACCCGCCGCCTCTGGTTTATCTATTCCTTAATCAAATTTATACAGCCGCCCATCTCGCCAAAGGCAACTCTGGCTGCTGCACACACTGAAAGCAAATTAAAAGCAGATTAATACAGGTAGTCCTTGACTTACAACCACAACTGAGTACAAAATTTCTGTTGTTAAGTAAGACAGTTCTTAAGTGAGCTTTGCCACATTTGACAACCTTTCTTGCCACAGTCGTTAAGTGAATCTGGCTTCCCAGTTGACTTTGCTTGTCCAATGTCGCAAAAAGTGATTGGGTGACCCCTGGACGCTGCAACCGTCATAAATGTGAATCAGTTGCCATGCCTCTGAATTTTGATGGTGTGACTATGGGGATGCTGCCATGGTCGTAAGTGTGGGAAACGGTCATAAGTCACTTTTTTCAGTGCCATTGAACCTTCAAACGGTCACTAAATGAACTGTTGTAAGTCAAGGACTACTCACACGATAAACACAAGCCTTGAGCAAGGAGGGAATACAAATAGCCAACTCGGCAGCAATGGAGCCGTCTCTCTGGCTCCCGGAGGGGGGGATGTGTCCCGGGTGTGTGTGTCCAAGACCAGGTCACAGGAGTGGCTCCCGAGGGGCTTCGAAACCTCGAAAGGGACAGGGCTGAGAGCGAGGGGGGTTCCACAAGGGGGGCACCAGAGCCGAGAAGGGAGCCACCAAATGGCGTTTCTAGGCTTCCCTCGGGCAGGGCGGGGGAGAGACGCTGCAGTCGGCAGCCCCTTCCTCGGGTGGTCCTCACAGGTGACCCTGGGGGGGCAGCGGAGCAGGTGTGATTGGAAAGACCCTTTAGCTTCCACCCTGGGCAGCAGACCTTGAAGCGGTTCTTTCTTTACAGGTAGTCCTCGAGATATAACCGGTCACTGAACGGCCAGTCAAAGTTACAACAGGTCCTCCCCCCAAAAGCTACATACAACCCTGTTTTGAAGTGGCTGCAGTGCCCCTGCGGCCATTTGCCCTTATGACCCACTGCAGGGATGCTGCAGCAACCACACACACACCCCGAGCCTCCCTCTCTCCCCCCCCCCCCGTCCTGCCCCTAAGGGGCCCCTCAGGCCAATTCCCCACCCAACTGTCACCCCAATTGTCGCTGTCTTCTTACCTGTTGCAGCTCTCCGGACCTCATGCTGGGGAAGGAAGGGAGGCCGTGGGTCCCTGGGCCCCGCATAAGCAGCCGTCGTTTTCAGTGTGAATTCTGCAGGCCATGCTAAGGAACAGAAACGAAAGGATGGCCGCTTCTGGGAGGCAGCCCCCCCGCCCAGGGACCCACGGCCTCCCCTCCTTCCCCAGCATGAGATATCCAGAGATCCTCAACAGGCAAGTGAGGAGGAGGATGTGGGGCCTGGAAGGGGGGGGGGTGGATTTAAGCCTAAGGCCTGCAGGAACGGAAGCGGTGGGGGAGTGGAGCTCAGGGTGTTATGGGGGCAGTGGGAGGCCCGTGCACTGCTTAACCTGCACATTCGTTAAACGTCTTGCTTAATGGCTGTCACCACTTGTGACCATAATGAGCAGGTTCCACTATGGTCCTAGCTCGAGGACTGCCCATAATTGCTTCCCCCAGTCAAGACTTGCTTGGCTTTATTGAAGGAAGGATTTAACATGGAGGCATCTTGCCCTAAATTGGAATACTTGACTCTCCGAATAAACCAGCAAAATCTGACTTATTTTTCTCCGAGTTCTTTTTAAACTGCTATGGTTGCCCTGATGTCAATTGGATGCATAGCTCAGGGCTGAACTGCTGGATTTTGGGGATGGTGGGAGTTCTCTGAGTTAGTTTCCCTGCTTGCAGACATCTCATTACCAAGCTAAGCAACTTCATCAGTGCAGCAAGAGGTAGAGTGGGCTGTCTGCTATCTGTCAGGGTCTCCTCCCTGCCTTGACGGGGCAATTGCTGCTTCCTTGCCCATCCAATGCCGGTTCCTGCTCAGCTGCGTGTTGGATACGGGGTTCGTGATGAGAAGGCCCTGAACCCCTCAAAGTTTAAAGCAGGGGTGTCCAGCCTTGGCCACCCCTGAATGCTGGGAGTTAGAAGTCCGCAAGTCTTAAAGTGCCCATGTTTGGAGACCCCGGCTTTAAAGGGTTGGGTTTGAAAAACAGATGGGAGAATCAGAATTTCTGAAGCCAGAAAAACGGGGGAGGAAGGAAACTTTAGTAAAGAATTTTGTATCTTCTCCAGAAAATAGAACTTTTTTCCATCAAGATGGTGTTTTAAACCCCCAGGGAAAGAGAGTTTGTACCCTCGATCCAGTGACTGGTTGCTTAGTTTGTTCAGAGCTAGTCCTAGAGGTGGGGGCCCAGCTCTAACCTGAGTGGGGGGGTCCTGAGGGCTGATTTCCCACTGAGGAACAACCTGGCATTTGATTGCTATTCCTTTTTCAGCCAGGTGGAGGTTGAGGAAGGGCAGGGACATGCTTTGCATTACTGTCTCTGGCAAACAGGTCTTTTTCTCCATTTTAAAAAATATTCCCACAGATAATATGAAAAGTGCCCCGAGCGAGCCATTCCCCCAGTCTCCGTGGGAATCCAGCAGCCAAATATTTCTGCAGTCAAGTGTGGGTCGTTGTGATCCCCCACTGAAAACAGAGCTGACTGATGAAGAATCTGATGACCAAGATTGCAGGAGAAACGCGTCTCCTCCTCCGTCAGGAAGAAGCCCTGTGGCCTCTGCACAGGCGGGTGACAATCCTGAGGAGGGCCCTTCCACCCCTCACCCCGATACAACTCCTGCCGAGGGGTCCACTTTGCTCCTGGTGAAGGAAGAACCTGTGCAGGAAGATGAGCCCGCTCTCTGCCCCTCCAAGGCTGTCGAGAGGGGCTCTCCTCTTGGGAAGGACTTTGGCAGGTCTGAGCGTGGGGCAGGACAGGCTGCCTCCTGGGAAGCCTCGTGGATCCCAGGCACATCTGGTTGTTTCCCAGCCACCGACGCCTGCGGTGATCGAGGACCTCGCAGTGCCTTGCCGTTGCAGGGTGATGGATCCCTCCTGGCACGGAGTCCCTTGGCAGATAGAAGGCTCCACTCTCAGGCGTTCCAGGAAGAAAATAACCAGCTTTGGCCTCTCCTCTCTTATCCCATGTCTTCTCCGCCACCTCCCTCGGTCTGCCGGCATTTGCACGTCCCCAAAACCTCCGCAGACGAGCAGCGCGAAGGACCTTGGCACCTGGCAGACTTTGGAGGCAGAGAGCCTGCCATTCCCTGTCAGTCGGAGGAGGCAGGGCTGGCTGAGCCTTCGGATGCAGAGTGCCTGCGCGTGGCAGCCGCTGTGTCAGGTCCTGCACCACCCGAGTTCAAGGAAAGGGTCTCCCTCTTCAGAGACCCTCCTGCTCGGACAGAGTCCCACAGCAGCAGCTGCCTCTGTGAAAGAGCGGAGAGCCGCAGCCTGACTGAGTGGGCCTCCTCCGAGCAAGACGTTGCCTTCCAGCTGCAGGAGTGCCAGTCGGTGCTGGCAGAAATCCTCCAGGCCTTGAGTTCAGTAGAAGGTGTTGACAACGCCCACGTTGAGAAGTGGAGGTACACTATTTTATTTTATTGTTTATTAAAGTAATTTATACAGACCCCCCCCCCAACTCACTCTATACTAGCAGTCCCCAAACCTTCCGGCTTGGCTGACCAGTGGGAGAGGGGATGGTTTTGTGGGAGTGGCAGGTGTGCAAGTACGAACAATTTTGAGTGGCACACGCCACTCATGCAAATGGAACTGCGAGCGCAAGTGCCTGCCACTTGTGCAGCCCGGTTCTGAACCTGCACTAGAATTCCCCAGCCAGCCAATTCTGGGAGTTGAAGTGCACCTGTCTGAGGATAGTTGCAGTTGAGAAATACTGAGCTAGATAGGTGAGAGAGTGGGAGGGTTGGCTGGGTGGGTGGCGCTAGGTGCCAGTGCATCGCTTGATTCTCCCTTTTCCTCCCCTCCTTCAAGGGACCAGATTGCCGTCCTCCAGAAGGCAACCAAGATGCCCCAGACCCACATAGCCGTGGTAGGGAATACGGGGGCCGGCAAGAGCTGCTTGCTCAATGCCCTGCTGGACGAGGAGGCCATGCTGCCCACCTCGGCCATGAGAGCCTGCACCGCGGTGGTCGTGGAGATCTCCAGGGCTGCAGAGGGCAGCCCATATGAAGCCGAAGTGGAGTTCCTCTCCCGGGAGGTAGGTGCCGCCGGGCTGTCTCGGGCAGTGCCTGCCTCTCCAGGACCAGGCCATGGGGTGACCCAGCTTGGCAGTGGCCCCTGAGCCTGAAGGGCCTAGAGGAGCCTCTGGGCTTCGCTTGGGCTTGGCCACAGCTTCTCCAGCTGCAGAGAGGGCATCTTGATCCCCTTCCCTCCCAGGAGTGGAATAAGGAGCTGGAGGCCCTCCTGGAGGACATGAAGGACAAAGCCGGCATTCTGAAGAAACGCTGCCCGGATCGCAAGACGGAAGCTGGGGCTGCCTACAGCCGGGTGAAGGCTGTCTACGGGAGAGTGGACGAGCTGGAGAAGCTGGAGGACAAGGAGGGGGTGACCCAACATCTCGGAACGGTCAAACACATTTGTGCCGAGACGGTAAGCAAAGCTGCTGCTGGGGGCTCCCCTGTCCGGCAAGGAAGAAGATGGGCTTTGTGGGAGCAGGCAAGGGTGGAACTTTTGACTTTCATTTCTTACGCATTTGTTTCTGTGACTTCAGTGCCCCTTTCAATCCAACCGATTCTAAGAGGTTTAGAGTTCGAAAAAAGAACCAAAACATGAAAAGGCTACATTAAAAATGCATCAGGATAAAAATTCTTCCAGGAATTCAATCCAATAATATCTGCAGGGCAGTCTCACTCCTCAGTCCTTAAAACACTCCATGAAAAAAATGCCAGTCAGCCTCCTGAGCGTTGCAAGAAACAAATGCCCCTTACAGGACCTCTCGGCCTGTGCCCTCTCTTTGCCCACACAGGACGGGCAGCTGCTAGTTCAGGCATTGCGTAGAGCTTGGTAGGTGAAAAGTAGCACCCCAAATTGTGCCTGGAAACAAGCGGGCAGCCAGTGCAGCTCCACAGCAAAGATGTATGGTGACGAAAGTTGTTTTTTCCTAGTATCAAAAGGGAGTTGCGGCCTATATCAGTTGAAGCTACTGGAAGGTCTTTGAGGGCAGCCCCAGCTAGACTGAATTACGGAATCCCAGACATGAAACGACAGGGTGCAAGTGACTCATCACCAGTGCCTGCTGATCTACAAAAGCCCAGAACAGTGCAATGCAACCCCATCCAGAGCTCAGGTTGCAACCCTGGCAGCTCCCCGTTTCTACCTGGCCTTGCCCGCATTTGACCCGAGACGATTCTTCCTTTTCCTGGACCTGACAACCCCCCAGGCACTTCTACGGCATCTCCCTTGTGGCCTGGGGTGTAGAGATGCTCCTGGGAATATATATATATATATATATATATAAAATGAGATGGGGGAGGGCTGAGCCTTGGAGCGTCAGGTGCTGAAACGGCTCCGGGCTTCCTCTCGTCTTCTGTACCACTGTTGACCGGACTTGCCAATTCAGGAAGACGTGGGACCTCCGTGGAAGAGTCTCACCTCTGCAACAGACCCCCTGAGGTGGTCCCAGAAGGATTCCAGGCTTTCTCAGAGAGACTAAACTGGATGGGAAGCGTGGTGCTTCCTTCATCTAAGTCCCGCCATAGTCAATCCACGAGAGTCACTATTGTGGTTCCTGAACCACGTCCTGGCTGGAACACAAATAAAAAGGGTGATTTTGTACAAAAGTGTTTAAACAGTTCTTAAGCTAAACTACCTTTGCAATCCAAAGGTCTTTTAAAAATCTAAAACCTAAAGTCTAATGTTCCTGCTTACTGGCTGGCTTTCTAGGCTGCAGACTTCCGTATGAAGATTGAGAAATTTATCGATTCTCGTACCGACAATTTGCGTGAGATGAAAGGTGGGGAGTTTTGGCCCATTGTGAAGTGTGTGAGGATCCGTGTGGCCAAGGCTGAGGTTCTTAGGACAGGAGCTGTGCTGGTGGACCTGCCTGGGACCCGAGACTCCAACGCGGCCCGGGACACGACAGCCCGAGAGGTAGGCGCTTCTCCTGCCTCTTCCCTCTGCTCTGGGGCCGGGGGTGCTTCATCGCCATGAGTGTTTAAGTTCTGAGAAGAGGCTGTGTGGCCTTTTGTTTACGACCACAATTGAGCCCAAAATTTCCGTTGCTAAGATGATTGTTAAGTGAGTTTTACCCCATTTATGACCTTTCTTGCCATAGTCGTTAAGTGGATCAGTGCAACTGTTAACTTAGTAACATAGTTGTTAGGTGTCTCTGGCTTCCTCGTTGACTTTGCTTGTCAGGAGGTCGCAAAAGGGGATCACGTGATCCCCTTTTGGGACACTGAAACCGTCATAAATTCGAGTCAGTTGCCAATCATCTGAATTTTGATCATGTGACCAGGTGGAATTCTGCAATGGTTGTGGGAAAAAACGGTCATAAGTCACTTTTTTCAGTAGCTTTGAATGGTCACTAAACAATCTGCTGTAAATTGAGGAGTGCCTGTGATTAATTTGGGTGTGGCCAAGGCCAGAACTTTGGGCGTCTTGTAGAAATGGCTTCTTCTCTTTTGTCCAGTACCTGAAGGACTGCCATGCCGTGTGGGTGACCGCCAGCATCACACGAGCCGTGGACGACAAGACGGCCAAGGAGCTGCTGAGCGCCAACTTCCGCCGGCAGCTGTTTATGGACGGCCTCTACGGGAGCCTGGCCTTCGTCTGCACCAAGACCGACAGTTTTAGCATCACAGACATTGTCAGGTGGCGCCTCTCTCTCTCTGCCCGGGGGGGGGGGGGGGGAAGGGAAGCACACACACACACCCCAGGGTACCTCATGTCGTATAATGCTCTTGGGGTGTAAAGGCTGCCTCTGGAGTGAAAGCAGGAAACGGGGTTACCTGTCTATGGAGATTCCCCATCATCCAGTTCAGGCTTTTTTGTGTTAAGGCGCTTTTCCAAAAGGCAACTGGACTTTCTTGGTTCCTTTTCTTGAAAATGTTTTGCTTCTCATCCAAGAAGCTAAACTGAATTTTGAAATCTGAACTTTTTGAGAACTGAAGAAGCTTCTTGGATGAGAAGGGAAACATTTTCAAGGGGGAAAAAAAAATCTTAAGAATCTTCAGGTTTACCCTGTAATGACCCTGGGATGGCCGGCTGTTCTGCAGCTGAGCCTCCATTGTGGGCTGAGCAGAGGATGCCTTAAAAGGAGGTAGGGGGGAGGTTGGTGGGGCCCTGGGCTCGGCTGAGAAGCTCCTAAAGCAGAATTCAGCAGAAATATTCCTTCCCCCAAATGTTGCAGGGACCTCAACTTACAAGATAAGATTCGTCCCCTAGAAGAGGAGTTGCAAGAGCTGGAACATCAGAGAACTCAAGCGGAAATAGAGAAGAAGCACCTTTACGCACAGCTGCAGCAGCAACAGGTATTTCCTATCTGTCCCCTCCTCCGTGGTCAGCATGCAGCCGGACAGTCTCTGAGATACGGCCAGTGGATAGAAACGGTGGTTTGCTCGGCCATCAGTTCCCGGCTGGCTCTTCCTCCTGTCGCCCCTCAGGGCCAATTCAGCTGCCTGTGGACGTTTCCTCACTAGGGCGCTTCAAGCCGTTCGCATTTAAAGGTGGGAGGGGGGAATCTCACAGGGTGCCTTTTACCATCCCCAAAAGAAATGCACTTTTTGAGCCTCACTCAAGAATTCTGTGCCCAGCTGCAAATGACCCTCTTTCTGTGCAGCCTTTGAGAAGGGGAAGTGCGGCCGGAGATTCCATCTGGCTTCAAAGACATGACATCCTGGAGAAGGAGTTCAAAGTAAGTCCCCCCCCCTCCCCTCCCAGCTCCAGGAGATAAAAATTAAAAGCCGAGTGGTTTTCCTCCCACAGGATGGGAGTGCTCAGTTTCTCCCTCTGCCCTCCCTCCTCTAGATCTGTGCCTTGCAGAGGGAGAAGGATGCCAGGCTGCGTGCCATCAGCCTGATCTGCGTTCAGGCCCGGAATGAATTTTCCAAGCAGCGGATTTTGATGGATTTCAGTGCTGGTCTGCAGGTAAGAAGGCTCCGTGCTGGAGGTCAGGAGGATCTGCCGCCTGGCACGATCACCAAAGCTGTGGCGGTGCCCCTTGCCACTCTCAGCAGCCTTGTGGAGGGAGGCACCTTGTCTCGATCGGCGGGTAAGAGCAGGCCACGTGTGGTCTTGTGCAGGAAGTGTCCAGGAGAGCCGAGGGCGAAGAAGATGGTGAAGAAGAGATGGAAGAGGGGGACTCGGCTGGAGAGCAGCCTGTCAGTCTGGAGGTTTTCACAGTCAGCTCTACGGAGTATCTCAAACTTGGTGGGAAGCTGCTCTGCAATGGTCAACCTCAAGTTTTCCATGACGTGAAAGACACAGGTATTCCCCGTGGGGGTGGGGTGGGGTTGTGCAGCGCTCTGTACATGGTTTGCAGAAGGATTTAGTACTTAGGGATTGTAACAGCAGAATCCTCTGGATCTACCTGTTTTGCTACCATCTCATTCTCAACCGATCAATCAGAATAGAGCTAGAAGAGACCTTGGAGGTCATCTAGTCCAACCCCCTGCCCAAGCAGGAGATCTTATACCCTTTCAGACAAGTGGCTTTCCAGTCTCTTCAGTGATGAAGCACCCACAACTTCTGAAGGCAAAATGTCCCACTGGTTAATTGTTCTCATTGTCAGGAAATTTCTCCTTAATTCCAGGTTTGCTTCTCCTTGATTAGTTTCCATCCGTTGCTTCTTGTCCTGCCTTCTGGTGCTTTAGGGGTGAATTAGCATTGAGGTCACATCTTTAAATTGCTTTTGGTTTTATTTGGCAAATGCCCAGAATCACCTGCAAGTTGGCAGCCAGAGAAATTCAAATAATAAATCACCTGTACTGCATACGAAGGAGTCAGATATTAGTCAACAATTAAGAACAGTCTTCGGTACGGACAAAAGGAAAGTGTGCTCTCATTGGGACACTAATAAAGCACCAAATATCTGCTAGATTAAATGTGGAGTCCTTTGTCCTCTCTCAGCATGATTGTTTGCTCACAGACATTTCATTACCCAACTAGATAACATTGTCGGTGTGAGGGAGTGTGGGGTTTGCTCCTCTTTATGTACCTCAGCTTGCCCTGCCAGTGTTGGTAGAGTTGTAGAGTTGTGGTTTTCTCCTTGATGGTTCCTGGATTAGGGCATTGTTTCCTGCTTGATTGTGTGTCTGGTGCTTATCCCTGCTTATCTAGGTGTTGACTTCTGGCAAGGAGGTTTTTGGTCTTATTGTTTCCTACTCAGCTTTTTTATTGTCTCTTGAATGACGTGTAAATGTGATTTATCTGTATGTGTCTGTTAATGGCTGATTTGTCTGAACCTTTGAGGCACAATCCCGCAAAAAAAAAAGCCTCAGGGCAGGGGTTCCCAACCGGGGGGGGGGGTGCGAGACGATATTCCAGGGGGTGCGAAAACTTGGGTTTAGAAGTTTCAAAATTATAGTGTATATGCATAATTAAATGCATATAATTATTTTGTCAGCATTCCAGAACAACCCAATTCCAATCAAAAACTTAGATACAGTCATCATCTCAATTCTTCCATTTATTAGAGTAGGTATACTGGCACATCTGGGAAAACCCAAATCTGATAGTTCCGGGTTTTCCCTCAGTAAATCAAAGTCCCAAATCCATCCCCTGCGCCCATCAGTCCATCACATGGCCCAATCACCATCCCTCTCAACTTGAGCCATCACTGCAACCACTCCTCCTCCAGATGCAGGAACACCATGACCGAAGGAAAGAATGCTATTTTTTTAATTCTTTTTTTTTTATTATTATTATTATTTTTATAACACAATATAACAATACAAGACATACAACATGTATAAACGAACGCTCTTTACAGCTATTGCATGGTGATCTTATTCACAGTTTCCCCTTCTTTCTCTTTGTATTATTCCGATTTACTACTTGTCCACGACATTTTAATTACTATATATACAATATATTTCTCTTATTCATATTTATTTCCTATTTTTTTATACTTTAACATATCCTTTCTGTCTTTTTTAACATTTCTATCTTTTCCCCCTAATTTTCTTCTTCATTTTTCCTTCCCTCCAACCACTTATACCACTTGTGCCAAGTCTTATAGTATTCTGTATCCTCTTTTTCTTTAAGTTCTTTTGTCAGTTTGTCCATCTCGGCACATTCCAAGATTTTTTTATTAACTCGTCTTCAAATGATACATTTTCTTTCTTCCAATTCTGGGCATAAACTATGAGCGGCAGTTAAAATATGTAATATTAAATATTTTACTTCCTTCATAAATTTTTCTGTGAATATTCCTAGTAGGAACATCTCAGGTTTTCCATTTATCGGTTGTTGTATTATTTTCTCTAGCCACTTCTTGATTTTGGCCCAAATTTTTTTTGCCGCTGGACACGTCCACCAGAGGTGATAATATGTTCCATAATTGTTTTTACACTTCCAACATAATGGGGATTTATTAGGGAATATCTTAGCTATTCTTGCCAGCGGTAAGTGCCATCTGTGAAACATCTTCATCTGGTTTTCCTTGTATGTTGTGGACAGTGTCAATTTAATATTTGTTTGCCACATCTTTTCCCACTTCTCTAATTCTATTGTATGATTAAAATTTTTCGCCCATTTTTTTTTAAAAATTTGATTTATATGCCGCCCTTCTCCGGAGACTCAGGGCGGCTTACAATGCGTTAAGCAATAGCCTTCATACTTTTGTATATTTATACAAAGTCAGCTTATTGCCCCCACAAACTGGGTCCTCAATTTACCTACCTTAGAAAGGATGGAAGGCTGAGTCAACCTTGAGCCTGGTGAGATTCGAACTTACAGTAATTGCAGACAGCTGGTGTTAATCACAATGCTATCCGTCTGCTGAGCCACCATATTTAATCATAGTATCTTTTACTATTTCCTCTTCCATTTTATACCGTAGGAGAAATTTATATATTTTACTAATTAGTTTCTGCTCCATCCCTTGTATAATTTTATTCAATTCATTTTGTTCCAATTGTACCTCATTCAATTTTATGACTTATTTGTATTTTGACCGAATCTATTTTTCTTTTTAAGTCTTGTTCTAATTCTTGTTTTGTTTTGAATTTTCCTTGATCTTTTAGAATATCCCTGTACCTAATTATCTTGTCCCATTCTATTGAATTTGGGTGTGTTAATATTTCTGTAGGGGAAATCCAAACTGGTAATTTTGTATAACGGTGTTTTTTAATTTTAGTCCAAATCAGTAGCAATGGATTCCTTAATATATATCTTTTAAAATACCCATGTGTTTTGTATTGATCATCCCACAGGAATGCATGCCATCCCTCTTGCAAGTCATGCCCTTCAATTACTAATATTCTTTGATTTTTCAATTCCACCCATTCTTTCAACCATACTAGACTTGCCGCTTGGTAGTATATCTCCCACTCAGGCAGTGCTAGTCCTCCTCTATCTTTAAAATCTTGCAAAGTTTTTAATCTGATTTTAGGTCTTTTTCCCTGCCATATAAATTTTGTAATTGCTTTGTTTAATGTATCGAAAAAGATTTTATCTAATTTCACCGGTATAACCTGGAAGAGGAATAAGACTGGGCAGGATATTCATTTTAATCGTGGCATTTCTTCCCATGAGTGAAATTTGTAAGTTTTTTCAGTTGTCTAAATCTTTTTTAATTTGCAGTAATAATTTATCATAATTGTCATGTTTAATTGAAGAACCTCTTGCAGTGAGCCTGATGCCTAAATATTTTATTCTTTTAGTTGTTTGAATCTTTGTTATACATTCCAATTCTTCCTCTTGTTTTTTTGTAAGGTTTTTAGTTTTAATAATTTAGATTTATTTTTATTTATTTTTAGTCCAGCCACTTCACCAAATTCTTCTATTCTTTTTATCAAGTTTAGGCCTGATTCTTCCACAATAGAAACCACATGGTCAACAAAGGCCTATAGTTTGTATTCTTTGTTTTTTATCTTTAGTCCTTTTATCTCATGGTCCTCTCTAATCCTTTTTAAAAGCAGTTCTAATGATAGTATAAAGAGAAGTGGGGAAAGTGGGCATCCTTGTCTCACCCCTTTTGTTATATCGAATTTGTTGGTCATATCTTCATTAATAATCACCTTTGCTGTTCGTTTTGTATATCATATTTTTAAATTTGGTCCCAAATTCCATAAGATTTAGTTGTTTGGTCATAAACTTCCAATTCAAGTTGTTGAATGCTTTTTGGGCATCAAGGAAAACCAGTGGAGCTCTCTTTTCCGGGTGTACTTCGTAAAACTCTAGGGTATTCATTATTATTCTGGTATTATTTTTAATTTGTCGGCTTGGTAGGAAACCATTTTGGTCAGAATGTATATGTTTATTTAGAATTGTTTTTATTCTTTTGGCTGTAATTGACATAAATATTTTGTAGTCTGTATTTAACAAAGAGATTGGTCTATAGTTTTGTATTAATTGATGATCTGAATCTTTTTTATATATCAGAGTAATTAATGCTTCTGTCCAAGTATTTGGTATATTTGCTTGTTCTACCGCCTCGTTAAATATTTCTAGCATTAACCCTCCTATCAATCCTTGGATATTTCTATTTAACTCCACTGGTAGTCCATCTGGGCCCAGTGTTTTGTTATTCTTTTGTTTTTTCATTGCAATTCCAAACTCTGTTTCTGTTATTGGTCGGTTTAACATTTCTTGTTCTTCTTCTGTTATTTTACCTATATGTGTTCCCTCCAGATATTCTTCAATCCTTACTTCTGTTATCTCTTCCAGTGTATATAGTTTTGAAAAGAATGTATGTATAGTTTGCTTTTTTTCTTCTCTGTTGTATTGGGTTATTCCTTTGTCATCTTTCAATTGGTAAATCGTTCGTTTATATTTCCCATTTTTTAGTTTATAGGCTAACCATCTACTTACTTTATTTGCGTGTTCGAAATAATTCTGTTTTGCCATCTTTATTTTCTGTGCCACTTCTTTTTGAGTTATTAAATTTATTTTATGTTTAACTATCCTCCATTCCTGTTTTATTTTTTTATTTTGAGGATCTTCCTGCAAATTTCCTTCTAGTTTTTTAAGCTCTTTCTGAAGTTTGTCCTGTTCGTGTTTTCTTTCTTTCTTTTTTCTTGCATTATAGGCTAATGTTAATCCTCTGATATATGCTTTTAACATATTCCAAAGATTTTGAATTGACGTATTTTCTTTTTTGTTTACCCTGAGAAATATTTTCAACTCCTTTTCCAGCATATATTCTGAATATCCTCTTTATCTTTACATATATTTTGATTGACTGTCCAACTTTTATATTTTTTTTGTCCATTCCATTCTATATTTATCGGATTATGATCTGTCCATTCATTAGTTCCTATCCCTATTTTTCCCAATCCTATTTGTATCTCTGCTGTCATCCAGGCCAGATCAATCCTGGACCACGATTGGTGCGGGTGGGAGTAAAATGTATTTTGTTTTTCTTCATTGTGTGTTTCTCTCCACGCATCCCATGGGTTTAATTCTGTTGCCATATAAAAAAATTCTTTGGGTAAGATCTTTTTTTTTTTCCTATTACTATTATTGTCTTTTTTACTATCTACTATAGCATACCAGTCTGGCTTTCAACGATGGAAGCACTAATACACCCAAAAAATTTTAATACAGGAATTATTGTTAGCAGGGGTGAAATCTAAAAATTTTTTGCTACCGGTTCTGTGAGTGTGGCTTAATTAGTGGGCGTGGCTTGGTGGTAAGGTGAATGGGAGGGCGTGGCTTGGTGGTAAGGTGGGCGTGGCCAAGTCAATGTCACTTCTTTGCCCTTTTTTAACCTACAAAACGCAACACAACACAACTGGCTCACCCACAATATAAAAGCTGTGCTAGACCCAGCAACAAGCAGGAACCTCACATAGCCACAAAAAGCCCAAAAAACCAACTTTTACACTTTACACACACAAAATTCCACATACAGCTTTGTGAAATTTTATGTGATTGTGTAGTTAGAGTGAAACACTATAGAAACACACTAAATCTCAGAAAGCTGCACAAATATTTTATTTTATTTTATTTTTATTTTTATATAAAAGCAGCTAAATTTAAAACTTCCTAAACTTTAAATGGCTAGGTCTAAAAAAAGAACAACTAAAAAAAAACCCAATTAACTATTTTTTTAAAGCTCCCAAAGGGGAAAAAAACTTACCCAATTGAACAGGGGTCTCCAACCTTGGCAACTTTAAGACTTGTAGACTTCAACTCCCAGAACTCCTCAGCCAGCTTTGCTTTGCTGGCTGAGGAATTTTGGGAGTTGAAGTCCACAACTCCCTGCCTGCTTGATTGCAGGCAGGGAGATTCAGTTGCTTGCTGATGCAATCGATTGCAGGGATTACAGCAAGGCGTTGCGATCAGCAGCTAAAGTAAGCAAGCTGAGGGGGGAAAGGGGAGGGATTTTTGCTACCGATTAGCAGGCAGAGCCCTTTAAAAGGAAAAAAGTTTTTTTTCTTTTACATGGCTCTGGCGATCCAAGCTGAGTTGCCTGATTAGCAGGCAACTCAGCTGGGATCGTCAGAGCTTGGCTGGTCAGAGCCATGTAAAAGGAAAAAAAGGCTCTGATGATTGCGCGGCTCAGCTGGGCATGGGGGGCAGGGACAGGGATTTTTGCTACCGGTTCTCCGAACTGCCCACCACCATCGCTACCTACTCGCCCGAGCCGGTCCGAACCGGGAGCATTTCACCCCTGATTGTTAGACATAAAGATATTTTGACTAAAATGGGGGAGCTCAAAAACAAGCAAGAATTAGAAAAACGGGATCGACATGGCTTGGTATATACGACTGCAAATACAATCTAGGTATGAAAAAGATGCCAGTTTATATGGCTTTTATATGGAGTTGACAGAATTAAATAAGATACTAACAGGAACAGAAGGGAGGATGATAAAAAAACTATATAGCTATTTACTGAGTATTAAATTAGAAGAAGAAAAGGTGAAGGAAATAATGATAGCCTGGGCAAAAAAATTTGGTTATAGGATAGAACTAGCAAAATGGCAACAATTATGGGATAGAAATTACAAACGAAGATGTTTAAAGATAAATCAGCTAAATGTTGGAAATGTATTGGTATTAAATTAAGAAGAATAGATTAAATAATGAATATGATTCTAAATTTTAACTGTTATTGCACAAACATTGGTATCCAGATGACACACTGTTTAATGGAAAATGGATTATTTGTATTAAAATAAAATTTAAAAAAAATTATTTAAAAAAAATGAAACATCTGAAAGCAAACAACCAAAATCAGAGAGCACCAAGGACTCTAGGGTTCAACCCTGAACTTCAGAGAACCTCTAGAACAGGCATTCTCAACCTTGGCAGGTTTAAGGTAAGTGGACTTCAACTCCCAGAGTCCCAAAGTCACGGGTGGTTGCGAATTCTGGGAGCTGAAGTCCACATGTCTTAAACTTGCCAAGGTTGAGAAAGCCTGTAATAGAATAGAATAGAAAATATGGAATGGAATGGAATAGAATAGATTTTTTTATTGGCCAAGGGTGATTGGACACACAAGGAATTTGTCTTGGTGCGTATGCTCTCGGAGTACATAAAAGAGAAGATATGTTCATCAAGAATCATAAGGTACAACACTTAATGATAGTCCTAGGGAAATAATCAATATAAATCTTAAGAATACCAGCAATAAGGTTACAGTCATAAGTGGGAGGAGATGGGTGAAAGGAACGATGAGAAGATTAAATTTCTAGAAGTTTCTGCACATAACCTTACACAATATTAGGAACCAGAAAATATAATTTGTTGGGGATGAGATGTTTCCATGGCAAATGGGATGCATCAGCAGGTTTCTTGTGATCTTCCAAATAAAACCTTCAATGGTTCAACGCAGCCTCTTTCCTAGAGGCTCTTGCAGCCTTTGGACCATCTCACCGCTTGATCTTTTTGCTTGGGCTGCCAGGAAGGTTGGCAGAAGAGCTGGGCTAGAACGAATTCCCCTCCCTCCCTCCCTCCCTCCCTCCAGAGATTCCTGCGTTGAAGAAATTTGCGATGGACACAGCGCTGAAGCACAGCATGGTGGCAACAGAGAAGGTCATCCGGGACGTGGCTCGTGTCCTAAGCCAAATGGTGAATTATCTCAACAGCCAGAGAACAGAGGTAGGAGCAGCACTGAACATGCTCCCTTCCGAGAGAAATTCAGCAGTCCAAATCTTGACTGGAAGATAACAGAATAACAGAGCTGGAAGGGACTTTGGAGATCTTCTAGTCCAACCCCCTGCATAAGCAGGAAAGCCTATACCCGTGATGGCGAACTTATGGCACGCGTGCCACAAGTGGCACGTGGAGCCATATCTGTGGGCACGCGAGCGTTGCCCTAGCTCAGTTCCAGCGCACATGTGTGCACCAGCCAGCTGATTTTCAGGTCTTTCGGGCCCACCAGAAACAGGGCGTTTCTGGCCTCTGGACGGCCTCTAGGGGGAGCGGAAGGCCGTTTTCGCCCTCCCCAGGCTCCTAGAAAATCTCTGGAGCCTGGGGAGGGAAAAAACGGGCCTTCTGTTCCCACCGGAAGTCGGGAAATGGGCCATTTCCGGCCTCCGGAGGGCCTCTGGGGGGGGAGGCCATTTTCGCCCTCCCCAGGCTCCAGAGGCTTTCTAGAGGCAAAAAACAGGCCTTCCGGACCCACTGGGCCATCACATGCCAAAAGCGGGGGAGCACGCATCCATGCACGGAGACAGGGCGCATTAAATTATGAATGTGGGCATGCATGTGTGCGACCCCCCACTGCACTCCCCCCCGCTTTTGGTACGCGACGGCAAAAAGATTAGCCATCACTGGCCTATACCATTCTGGACAAGTGGCTGTCCAGTCTATTCTTAATTCCCTCTCCTTCTTCCTTCCTCCCTTCCTTCCCTCCCTCGCAGGCTGCTGCCCACCAGGCCCAGGTGCAGGAGATGCTGCAGCAGGCCTTGCAGGGCCTCCCTGCCCTCCTCCAGGGGGTCCTCACTGCCAGCTCTCAGGACCTCCGGCATGCCTTTGAGGCCCTCATCCTGGGCAGCCTGCAGAATGGCGCTGAGAAGGCCAAGCAACTCTCCGAGGTCATTGTCAAAGGCTGGGGCTCACCGGTAAGTGCTTCTTCGCCCTCAAAGGCCGTCTGGTCAGAGCCCCCCTTTCTTCAGGGATGCAGCCCCCTCCCAGAAAACAACCCCGGAGCAGCCGGCAGGGGGACCCTTTCCAAACATGAATGAAAGGGCTGCTGCTTCCCAAGAAATGATCCTGGAGCAGGCCCCGGTTAGAAGCCTCCTGGGATGGTCCATAGAGGATCCTGCATAGAATTGGGAGGACGTGATCCATTTTAGGAATCTGGGATGGTTTTTAATCTGTAGAATAGAATAGAGCTGGAAGGGTCTTTGAAGGTCTTCCAGTCCAGCCCCCTGCTCAAGTGGGAGACCCTATACCGTTTCAGACAGGTGACTGTCCAGTGTTTTCTTAAACACCTCCAGTGTTGGAGCAACCACAACTTCTAGAGGGAAACTGTTCCAATGTTTGATTGTCCTCACTGTCAGGAAATTTCTCCTTATTTCCGGGTTGAATCTCTCCTTGTTCAGTTTCCATCCATTGTTCCTCGTCTGGCCTTCGGGTGCTTTGGAGAATAGCTTGTGGCAGCCCCTGAGATACTGGAAGGCTGCTATCATGTCACCCCCTAATCCTTCTTTTCTCTAGACTGGCCAAGTGTTCTTCATATATTTCAGTCTCCAGGCCTTTAATCTTCTTAATTGCTCTTCTCTGCACTTTTTCCAAAGTCGTCTTCTAGTGTGGTGACCAAAAGTGGGTGCAGTATTCCAGGTGTGGTCTGCATAGTAAAATGTACCAAGGGCGTCTTCCAATCGACCATCGTTAAGCCTCCAGCAGGCTGCACCCGTCCGGGCCATCCCCAGCCAAGGGGCTCCAGCCATGTTTTGAGACCATTCAGAAGGGCAACTGGGTCAGACTCACCTCAAGGGGGGGAGGGTTTAATATTCCAAAGTGGGGGAGGCATGGCAGGAAAGCCTGCATGTATTCTTCCTTCCTGCACGTTTCCTGTTCTGCAACAGTCTTTTCTAGTTTGGTAGCAAAGTCCAGTGACTATTTTTCAGATTTTTGCTGGAATCTGGGATGTGGCTTTTTCACAGGAGGGGCTTCAGTCTGTCCCAAAGTCCTTTTTGCAGCCATTTACCATCACTTGGGGCTTCTCAGGCCATTGAGGGAAATCAAGGTCCACATTTGTTATCATTGACGAGTGTCAGTTGCTTACGGACTTCCTGCTTCAACCCTAAGCCCTGGATACGCATCTGTATCAGGACTCCACCCCACCAACTGTGGGCTCCCCTCAGGACCTGATTCTGAATGTGGGAGGGTGGAATGGAGTTGGCGTCTCTGACGGAGGCCTCTTCTGCCCCCCCCCCCCCCGCAGATGTTTGGCTACCCCCACGTGACCTATCGGGCGATCTGCAACCACCGTGGCGTTTACACCTCTCCCAGGTACCAGTCTGTGGATTTCAACAAAGAACTGGCTGACCCCATCCTCAAGGTCATCTCTGTGGCCTGGAACGAGGTCTTTAGGTAGGTTCCGCCCCCAGCAGCAGCCATTCCTCCTCTGAACCAAATGGACCCTTTGGCCAAGTCAGAGTGGAGAAACTGGACAGGAGGCCAGAGGTTGCCACTCTCCAGCCATCCTGGAGTACCAGCTTGGTCACACACACACACACACACACACACACACACACAAAATCACTGCTTCCAGGCAGTGCCTCGCCTGTTGTTCCCCCTCTCTCCAAGCCCAATCCTGGAAGGAGGTTAAGGAGGGCCCCAACAATCTGGTGCCAAAATAATTTTGATAATGCCTTCCTCTTCCTTTTATGACCAATCAATCACAAAAGAGATAAGTGAAATCAAAAGAGTTATTAAATAACTCCAAATATTATATATATATAAAGTCTTGTTTTTTAAAATAAACATGCTTACTGCTCTTGGCAGACCACATGATAACAGAATAACAGATTGGAAGGGACCTTGGAGGTCGTCTAGTCAAACCTCTTTCTCAGGCAGGAGACCCTGTAACGTTTCAGACAAATGGCTGTCCTGTCTCTTCTTAAACACTTCCAGTGTTGGAGCCCCCACATCAGTGGTGAAATCTAACATTTGTTACTACTTCGGCGAAGTGGTTGTAAAAAAATGCTTTCAAAAGGCTCTGACGATCCCAGCTGAGTTGCCTGATTGGCAGAGGCTTTTTTTCTTTTAAATACCTCTGACGATCAGGCAACTCAGCTTGGATCGTCAGAGGCTTTTGAAAGCATTTTTTCTACAACCTCTGAGCCGCGCGATCATCAGAAAATGCTTAAAAGCATTTAAAAATGCTTTTAAAAGTAAAAAAAAAAATGCCTCTGATGATCGTGCAGATCTGAGGGGGATGGGGGGGGGGGGGGGGCAGGGATTTTTTGCTACCAGTTCCCCGAACCACCCGCCTCCATCACTGCCGGACCAGGTGATCCAATCCGAACCAGGAGCATTTCACCCCTGCCCCACATAATGGATAATGTTGGTCCATTGTAATCTTGAGAGAGAGAGAGAAATTTTTTTCAAGTTATATCACTGCTCCCCCCAAAAATTAAGTCTTGTATCAAATAAGGTGCCTATGTAGAGAAATAAGAGGAAAGCACATTTGTAACTCTCACAGGCAAACTAAATTAAATCTTAAATTAAATCTAGAATAGATGTCTATTTCATAGGAATAACCTGAGTTCCCAATCTCTGCTTCTCTGTCTCTGGATATTCCCTAAATCCCTGAGGTGCTTCCAGCTGCTTTTTGGAGCTTTGGTGTGGCTTCCTTGTGGACCCAGCACTTCCAGCTCCTTCCCTCAAAAGCAGAACCTAATTTCTGCCCAGGAAGGGCTGGGTTGAGGGAACCTCCTGCGCCCACATGCCAGGCCCATGCCTAGGAGAGGGGATTCATTGGCTGGCATGCTCTGGCACAGGGGGGCTGCGGTGAGGGATTGCGGCCTGGATGCTCCCAATACCCCCATCCCAGGCGGCAAGGTGGGAGGTCCTGTAAGACAGGTAGTCCTTGAATTATGACCATAACTGAGCCCTGAATTAAGTCCTAAGTCATGCTGGTTATTAAACAGACATGACCAAACCAATTTTACGATTTAGTAGACATAATAGCATTCTTCCTGTCGGTCAAGGTCAGGGCGATCCTGCATCTGGGGAAGGAGTGGTCGGAGTGATGATGTCTCGAGATGGGACGGATGGCGGTTGACTGGAGCATGTGATCGTCGGAGGAGTGAGGGGATGGTTTTGGGGGTTTTGATTTACTGAGGGGAAAACCCGGACCTCTCAGATTCAGGTTTTCCCAGGTGTTGCCAGTTTACCTCTTCTAGTAAATAGAACTTTGGAAAATGCTTCCTTCAGAGTCTTTACTTGGAGTTGGGGGGTTTTCTGGAACGCCGACACGGGGAACGTCAGGGTTCCAAGTAATACATCCCATTCAGTAAGAACTCCGAGGCAGGCAAGTTCCTCAAAGAACATTTTTATTAGGACATATCAAATTGGCATATTCCTGGTGGAAAACCGGCTCTAAGTTGCTGCCCGCTTTTCACCCAATTAAAAGTAAAACTTTATCACTCCTCCCCCCCCCCGAGTCTCTAGTCACGTGGTCCAATCAGCATACAGCCCAGTTGCTAGGTGACCTCGGTCTCCACCTTTCGAACACCTGCACCAACGTCCTTGATTCCCAGGAGAAAGAATTTTATTTAGGCTGCAACACCCCAGCTACCTCTACGCCCCCCTCCCTCCCTCCCTCCCTCCCTCGGCCCCTTCGCTCCAGGCTGTGTCAGCCCTCAAGCCGTGAGAAGAGAAAACTACCAAAAGAAAATGGCCAACTGACAGGGTTTTCTCCCATCAGCGGAGGAAGTAGGGCAGGTAGTCCTCGACTTACAACCATCCATTTAGTGACAGTTCAAAGTTACAACGGCACTGAAGAAAGTGACCTAGGACCGTTTCTCACAGTTACGACCGTTGCAGCATCCCCAGGGTCACGCGATCAAAATCCAGCCGCTGGACAACGGGTTCATATTTAGAACGGTCGCAGTGTCCCAGGGTCACGTGATTCCCCTCCTGCGACCTTCTGACCAGCAAAATCAAGGGGGAAGCCAGATTCACTTAGCAACCAGGTTACTCACTTAACAACTGCAGTGATTGTATTAACCACCATGGCAAGAAATGTTGCAAAATTCACTTAACTGTCTCGCTTAGCAATGAAAATCTTGGGCTCATTTGTGGTCGTAAGTCGAGGACTACCTGTACGGATGCAAAGGGATCCCAGCCCCCTCCCGCTGAGGGGTTCCACCAGAGGGCTGCTCTTTGGGCAGGTGGCCTGGCCTGTGGGAAAGGGAGGGTCCAGGCAGCCAGCGGGGGCTCTGGCTGGACTCTCGGAGCCTGGAGGCTGCTTCTGCAGCACCCAAGAACGCTTCCCTGATGGGCTGCTGGGGCCCTTGGCCACCCTCTCCCCCTTCCGCAGCTCCAAGCTGGTCAGCTCCATCGAGGCCTTCATGGCTGCCCTCCTGGACCAGCTGAGTTCCTTCTTCAGAGGCCTCAAGAAGAAACTGCACCCACATGGTCCGGTCGCCAAAGCCCTGCGTGCGATTTACACTCAGCAGATGGAAGCCGCTCGAGCACGGGTAATGCTTGCATTTTGCGACACCCGTGACCCACCCATGGGTCCCCAGAAGGCAACAGCTGGCGCTTTATAAGGATGGGTTCGCTGGAAAGAGGGTCCCATTATGAGACGGGGGACTGACGGGATTTTCCCCCTCCTTTCCTTCCTTCCTTCCTTCCAGTTGCTCAATTTTACCCTGGATCAGATGAGTTCCATTACGAGAAAGCAACGGACCGTCTCCCGGCTCTTGATACCAACGATTCAGGCCAGCATGGAACCAGCCTATGCAGGTGACCTATCGCATGGGGGCTCCCATCATCTGTGGGTTCCCACTCAGTGGCTGCAGTGAAACCTGACGGTTGGCCTGGAGAAGTCTCCCTTCTGGAGCTCCGTTGGGTGGGAGGGCAGAGGAGACCATTCCCTTGGCTGGACAAAAACTAGAAGCAGCCCTAAGAAAATACTCATTTATGGCTTAGTTCAGAGGTGGGGAACGATGGTCCCTTTATGACTGGTGGACTTCAACTCCCAGAATTCTTGAGCCAGCCATGCTGGCTATGGTGCCTTTATAACCGGTGGGTGGCCAGCCATGCTGTCTCAGGAATTCTGGGAGTTGAAGTCCACAAGTCACAAAGGGGTCCTCTTTCCCCACCTCTGGCTTAACCTAATGCATAAATCTAGCTATAACACACACACACACACACACACACAGACACACACACACCCCAATAGGATAGAAGAGGCTCAGTTTGTGCACCAACCGTGTTGTAGGTCTGGCTTCCCTCCTCCAGGAATCCAGTGTTGGGGGACCCATTTGCTCAAAGTAATCTGGTTGCTCCTCTGAGGCACAGAATAACATGGCAAGGGCAGCTCAGTGTTTCTCAAGCTTGCCCATTTTAAGATGTGTGGATTTCAACTCCCAGAATTCTCCACACAGGAAGGTTTCTGCAGGTAGTCCTCAACTTACGACCAACATTTATGTTGCTAAGTGAAATTTGTTAAGTGAGTTTTGCCCTGCTTTAGAACTTTTCTTTCCACATTCGTTGAGTGAATCACTGCAGTGGTTAGTTAAATTAGTCACACGGTTGTTAAATGAATCTAGTTTCCACATAGACTTTGCTTGTCAGAAGGTCGCAAAAGGGGATCATGTGCTCCTGGGACACTGCGACGTCATAAATACAAGTCGGTTGTCCAGCATTCAAATGCAAACCACGTGACCATGGAGATGCTGCAACGGTCATGAGTGGGAAACACGGTCATAAGTCAACTTTTTTCAGTGCCGTCGTAACTCCAAACGGTCACTAAGCGAACTGTTGTAAGTTGAGGACTACCTGGCGTTAGCTGATCCCCCCCGGGGAAGGTTCAAGGATGCCAGATGGACGACAGGGCAGGACCGACTTTTGAAATCGCTTTGCAGCCTGCTCCCAACTCTCTGGCCCGGGGTATTTCCGAAGAATGAAAGAGGAGATGGAGCAGTTCATCCACCAGCAGAAGGATGCCATCTTCGATTCGGCTGTGGAGAAGATGCGGCAGCAACTGGACCTCGTCCAGGTAAAGTTACCCCAAAATGGCCAAACGTTTGTCAGGGTCTTTCTGGGCCAATTTCCAGGCCCCTGGGCTACTGCCGGCAAATGTCTTGAGGCAGAGGGGGGGGGGGGGGCAGCTGCACCGATGGGGTGATCCCTGGGCCCCCCTCCGTTCTCAGCGGGGAAGAAGTGTGTGGCATCAGCCCGTCCGGAGCCCCTGCCCAGTTATCCGAGAACCACTCAGGAAGAGAGAGAATGAGGTTCGTTGTCTTCAGATTGACCATTTCCTTGGGCCCCAAGGAGAGCCCTTTTCTTCCATCAACCATCCCATAGCTTACCTCACAACAACAACCCTGTGAGGTGGGTTCAGTTGAGAGAGAGAGAGAGAGACTAGCCCAAAGTCGCCCAGCCGGCTTTTGTATCTAACTAAGCAGTGGTGAAATCTAAAATGTGTTACTGCCGGTTCTGTAGGCGTGGCTTGGTGTGGGGGGGTAATGTGACTGGGTGGGCATGGCCATTTTTTTTTAACTTTTAAAACCATTTTTTCTACAACCTCTTCCGTGAAGAGGTTGTAAAAAAATGCTTTCAAAAGTCTCTGACGATCCAAGCTGAGTTGCCTGATCGTCAGAGGCATTTAAAAGAAAAAAAGTCTCTGCCGATCAGGCAACTCAGCTGAGATCGTCAGAGGCATTTAAAAGAAAAAAAGGGTTTTTTTCTTTTAAAAGTTTTTGATGATCCCAGCTGAGCCACGCAATTATCAGAGGCTTTTTTTTTTACTTTTAAAAGCATTTTTTCGTCCAAAGAGGTTGTAGAAAAAATGCTTTTAAAAATTAAAAAAAGCCTCTGATGACTGTGCGGCTCAGCTGGGCATTGGGGGCAGGAGGGATTTTTGCTACCGGTTCTCCGAACCACCCGCCTTCATCGCTACCGGATCAGGCAATCCAGTTCGAACCGGAAGCATTTCACCCCTGTATCTAAGGTGGAACTAGAATTCATCATCTCTGTTCTGTCCCTGTTCCACTCACGCACCCCCACAGACAGCCCAGAGTTAATAAGCCACACGACAAAATTCTTTGAAAATAATGCTGGCAGCAACCCAGTGGCTAGCTGCCAATTCAGACTTTACTCACACAAAACAAAGATTAGACTGCCAGCATTCCGATAAAACAGGCAGTTTTCAACAATACAAGGATTAATCCAAAGGCAGTCCGATAAAGCAGGCAAAGTCCAGTAACGCAGAGATCATGGATTATTTCTAGTTTTTGCTTGTCACAAACTGAACCGGCCACCACACCCATTTATACCCTGTGGGGTGTGGTCCAGTGACTCAGCTAATCTCTGGCACGCCTTCCCCTCTGCTGTGCACGCTTCTCCCTGCGCCTCTGGCGAGGGTCCAGCCAGCACTTATCTCCTTCGTCACTGTCCACCTGTGGCTGCGGGGACGTGCTTGGCTCTGAGCCTATCTTTTGGCCTTTGGTGTCCTCCGGAGGCATTGCCAGAGAGGAGGGTCCTGGAGAGGGAGGCCTTGCCAACTCCTCTTCCTCACTCTCAGAGTCTGCATCTGTTGATAGCCCAGGCTCAGGCAACGGAGCCACAACAATCTTCTGGTGATAGGCCCAAAGTCACCCAGTTGGCTTTCATGCCTAAGGCGAGACTGGAACTCACCATCTCCTGGTGATTGGCCCAAAGTCATCTGGCTGCTTTCGTGCCTAAGTTGGAACTAGAATTCACCGTCTCCTGGTGTTTGGCCCAGCTGACTTTTGTGTCTAAGGCAGGACCAGAACTCACTGTCCCCTGGTTGAACCCATTTTATTCCCTAGAAGAAACATGCTGGACCTATTTCTCACAGCCACCACCTCACATGGGCTTGGAAGGGACCTTGGTAATCTAGTCTGACCCCCTCAGGCAGGAGTCTTCAGACTGTTCAGACCAATGGCTGCCAACCTTTGCCAGTGATGCAGGCAGGTGTGCCGTTGCTTTGGGAGCTCCAGTGGTCAGGAAAATCCTCCTTTCCTGGATCTTTTCAAAGCTTCCGCCTGTTGGCTCTTGTGCCCACCAGCTTCCCTCCGTCAGCCTTCCAGGACTGGAGAATGGCTGTCATGACTCCTCCCTCCTTTGGACTCAATGTCTCCGTTCTATTCTTTGTTCCTCCTGGTATTTGGCCTCCGAGCTTGGTGTGTGTGTGTATGTGTGTCTTCTGGCTCTCCAGCTTCCTAGCCCCTCGGAGGACTCGATCCCCCCCTCCCGGCATCCACAGGATCTTCTCATGTCCTCTTCACGGTCTCCCAGGCAGCCTCAGAGAAATTGGGTCATTCTATACACTGATTTCTGCACTTGAGGGTTCGTGGGCCCCAGAGTGCTCCCTCGTTTCACCTGGCTGCCTCCCGGGGGTCACACCTTCCTGGGAGAGGAGGCACCCAGCATTCCCCTGGCCAGCTGGCTGAGAGGGACAGGCAGTCCTCGACTTACAACCGTCCGTTTAGTGCCTGTTCGAAGTTACAACAGCACTGGTAAAAGTGCCTTATGACCATTTTTCACACTTACGACCATTGCATCATCCCCATGGTCATGTGATCAAAATTCAGGCACATTCATATTTATGACGGTTGCAGTGTCTCAGGGACACGTGATCCCTTTTTGCGACCTCCTGACAAACAAACTCAATGGGGAAGCCAGAGTCATGTTACTAAAACTTAACAACTTAACAAGTAATCCGCTTAACAACTGTGTCAGGAGACGTCATAAAATGGGGCAAAGCTCACAATAAATGTCTCACTTAGCAACAGAAATGTTGGGCTCAGTTGTGGTTGTAAGTCAAGGAGTGCCTGTAGCCTTTCCCAGGCTGAGTGTCGATCGGCTGCACCCCATCCTGGCCCCTCCCGGCCTAGTGAAGACCGCAACCCTCCCCTCTGGGCACGAGCCCCTTCCCGGGCTGCAGAGGCCACGCTGGTCAGGGGGCTTCACTCCCACTTTCCCTTCCAGCTGTCCATCTGCTGCAGCTTACAGACTGTGGCCCAGGAGCTGACCACGTCCATCGGGATGCAATTTGAGCCGCTGCTGAAGCCGGTCCAGAAGAACAAGGAGCTCCTTCCAGGTAAGGCAGGCCTCAGTCACCTGTTCTGTTGCTGCTGCTGCCCCGAGGGGGGAACTGCCCCACAGCAAGGGGGAAGAGGGGGAGGCTGCAGCTGAGCATGTGCCCTGCCTTGCAAAGCAGCTGGAGTCCAGGCCTGGTGGCGGAGGGAATTCTCTCCTGAAATCTGGGGCGCATCTGATCCCATCGCAGTGGAGGCTAGGCTAGAGGGGCAACCCTTGAAGACTATCCGGAAGCTTCAGCTGGTACAGAATGTGCCCGCATGAGCAACCTTTGGTGCCCCCAAAATGGCACCGGTAGCACCTTTGCTGCATGAACTGCTAGGATGCCAGTTTGCTTCTGGGCCGAATTCAAGGTGTGGCTTGTGTACCACCCAGAGTCTCTGTGAGAGAGAAGGCTGGTTTCTAAATGTAAACAAATTAAATAAATAAAAACTGTCTTGATTCAACAAACAGCATGATTTACAAAAAGCACCAGGACCCCGGTTGCAATCCAAGGGGCCAGGACGGAAGGGCCATGGGGTCCAACCCCTGTTCAAGATCCAACTGTATTTGTTTCTTGCAGCCACATCACATTGCCAACTCCCACAAGTGCCCTTTCTAAGCCAAGGACCAAAGTCCTATACCCGTGATGGCGAACCTATGGCATGTGTGCCACAGGTGGCACGCGGAGCCATATCGGTGGGCACGCAAGCTCAGCTCCAACATGCATGCAGGCACCAGCCAGCTGATTTTTGGGTCTTTTGGGCCTACTGGAAGTCAGGAAAAAGGCTGTTTCCGACCTCTGGAAGGCCTCCCTTGGAGCCTGGGGAGAGTGAAAAACGGCCTTCCGGTGGGACCAGAAGTCAGCAAACAGGCCGTTTCTGGCCTCCGTAGGGCCTCTGGGGGGGAGGGAAAGCCATTTTCGCCCTCCCGAGCCTCCTGGAAAGGCTCTGGAGCCTGGGGAGAGCGAAAAACAGGCCTACATTGCCATGCATGCCAAAAGTGGGGGGAGCGTGGGGGGGGTCAAGTGCGCATGCATGGGGGGTGGGGCGCATAGAATTGTGGGTGTTGGCACGTGTGCGAGCGATCCCCTCCCGCACTCCCCCCACTTTTGGCATGCGATGGCAAAAAGGTTAGCCATCACTGTCCTATACGCTGTCAGACCTGCCCCACTCGGCTCCCTAGGAAAGAAAGTCCCTCGACTCCTTATGGTTGAAGTGATAGTTTTTTTTTTAAATTAAGGATTGTTGGTTGCAATAGAAGCAAGCTAGAACTAAAGTTCCCACGTAAAAGGTTACAGATTTTCCCCTTTGTCCCTCCCCCCTTGACCAGTTTGTCTTCGGCCGATGGCTAGCCGCACAGGTGTTTTGAGAACTGCTGAGATGTTTGGGGCAATCCCCATTCCACTCCCAGGCTTCGTGGCCTTGAAGTCCGTGCATCTCTGATCTCCGTCAAGATGTCAGTCTCCCTCCTTATTTCCCATCTCTGCCCCATACATGTTTATTCCCCGTTTGTCCCCTGGCCTTGGATAGCAGGATACTGGCAAAGCACCAGCCAAAGATGGCAGATCTGTCATACCCATAAATACAGCTGGGCAGTCAGTTGATTTCCGAGGGAAAAACTCTGCACGTGTCTGTGTTTCCTTCATCTGGTTACTTTCAGCCCATGTTTTTAACCTCTCAGGATATGGACGATAGCCATTGATTTATTCTGATCGGCCGTTTGCCTGTCCTGATCATTTTGAATTTCATTTCTTTCATTATCTGTCCCGACCAGTTTTAGTCTGTCTGTGTGCATTTAATCAGGTTTCCCTCCAGCTCTTTCTCCAAGCCATTACTGAAAATGACTCTCCCGCTTTAATCAGCCCCCCTGATTTGGACAGCCCAGGTGGAGAAGAGTGTCCCCCTTTACTCCATGGGATGGGGCTCTCACCCAGCTGTGGTCCCAGGGGGCCCTTCAGGAGCCATTAAAGGCTCCAGTGGTTTGGAGACCACACAGTAACCAAAGCAGCCCTGATAGATGAGGAATGAGTCTGTATTTTATATTGGGGGGTGGGGGGATGTAGGAATGTGACCTATTTTACTGTGGGTTTTATATGATTCTTCAGTATATTCTTGTAAATGATTGAAAGCCCTACTGATTACAGTGAATATGCAGGGAGTCGTCGACTTACAACCACAATAGAGGCCAGATCTTGCTAAGCAAGATGTGTTTTGCTCCATTTTATGACCTTTCTTGCCACAGTTGTTCAGTGAATCACTGCAGTTGTTAAATAAGCAGCACGGTTGTTAAGTGAATCTGGCTTTCCCATTGACTTCGCTTGTCAAAAGGTCTCAACCCAGGACACTGCGACCGTCATAAATATGAGTCAGTTGCCAAGCGGCTGAATTTTGATCACATGACCATGGGGGCGGCTGCTTCAGTCGTAAGTCTGAAAAACGGTCATCAGTGGCTTTTTTTCAAACGTTCACTAAAAGAATGTTGGTAACTCAAGGACCACCAGTAAATGGAATAAATGAAATTAAACAGCCATGTCTGAATCTTGTGGCATCCAATAATACACCTTGTGAATACAATTCTGCAGCAGCCACTTACCTCTTAATTGTCCTGCCACCCAGCCCACTAAACTTAACTAGCCTAAGGCCACGGGGGGGGGGGGGGGGCCTCTTCCTTGGAGGCTTTCCTGAAGCCCAGCTATCTTGTGCCTACAGGACACAGTACTATGCAAAAGGGTTAGGCAGTTGTACAGAAATGCTGTAAATTAAGAATGCCGTCAGAAATAGAAGCGTTAATAGTTTATTTTTATCAATTAATAAAATGGAAAGCAAATGAACAGAAGAGAAATCCAAATCAATATTTGGTGTGACCACCCTTTGCCAGTTCTCTTAAGGGAAAATTGCCATCATGCACCTAGTACCAATTCTTGATTCTCATCCTGGGACGTTGCAGCCCGGAGAGGTAATTTTATGCTGCTCTTTTCCAGAACTTCAGCATCTCTGTGCTAAAGTGGACAAGATTTGCCAGCGCTCGGGCGTGGATTACGTGCTTCCCACGGCCCCGCAGCCAGAGGAGCAGCCTCCCGGAACGGAGGCCAAACCGCCGGGAAGTGGGGATTGCATCAGCTTTCCGGCCACATCCATGGATGTCCGAGTCGGAGGACTCTCTCTTCCCCGCCTCACGGCCATTGAGGTAAGTCAGGCCTTGCATTGGGATTCGAGGGGAAGAGCAGGAAGTTTTGGGAAGACGCCAGCAGGGGCCATCGGGGTTTTCAGCAGCCGTGACAGTGAAATCAGTCCCGGGACTGGCAGAATCTCCTTCCAAACTGCACTGGGCTACTGCACCTACATTACACCAATTCTCCGCGAGCTGCACAGGCTCCCTATTGGTCTCCGGTCACAATTCAAGGTGTTGGTTATTACCTTTAAAGCCCTATATGGCTCAGGGCCAGGTTATCTTCGAGACCGCCTTCTGCCGCTTAGCTCTCAGCGACCAATAAGATCCCACAGAGTTGGTCTCCTCTGGGTCCCGTCAGCTAAACAATGCCGGCTGGCGGGCCCGCGGGGGAGGGCCTTCTCTGTGGCTGCCCCAGCTCTCTGGAACCAGCTACCTCCTGAGGTCCGGACCATCCCCACCCTACTGGCCTTCCGAAAAGCGGTGAAGATCTGGCTTTTCCAGCAGGCTTGGGGCTGTTGATCTCGCTCTTGCGATCCAGCGAGATCCGGCCATGAATGGCGTGAATTTATTTATTTATTTTATTTTATTAAATTTCTATACCGCCCTTCTCCCGAAGGACTCAGGGCGGTGAACAGCCACAAGATAAAACACATAAATACAGAAATTTAAAATAGATTAAATAGTGAATGAGTTTTTAATGTTTTTAATTTTTAAATGTTTTTTTATAATGATTTTTTAAAATGTATTGTGAGCTGCCCTGAGTCTTCGGAGAGGGGCGGCATATAAATTGAATTAATTAAATGAAATGAAATTTGGCTCAGGTTTTGCTATCAGTTGCTGTGGAAATTAGGGAGAAAAAATGCTGGGGGGGGGTGGCAGTCTCTGCATCGTACATTGGGTGAAACCCCCCCCTGCCCCCCAGCTCTAGCTGTGCCCCGGCGTCCTGTGGGCAGGAAGGCAGAAACCATCCGTATTTCACAATTCAAATGCTTCTCCATCTTGCAGCCTTTGTTATTGCTGGATTATTTTTATTAGATTTTATCCCGCCTTTATTATTTTTTTCAGATAACTTAGTAGGACAGCAACCCTATCTAACACACCTTCCTCCTCCTATTTTCCCTAGAACAACAACCCTGTGGGTTGGGTTGGGTTGAGAGAGAGGGACTGGCTCAGGTCCTCACCCGGTTTCACGCCTAGGGCAGGACTAGAACTCTCATCTCCTGATTTTTAGGCCAGCACCTGCTAACAATTCATGGTTTGGTGTCCATTTTCCCTCCCAGCAGAGCCCAAAAACTGCTGAGCCACCTGAATCCCAAGTGCCTTCGGCTCCTGAGCCCATCATAGCCATTGGTGCTGGGCAGCAGCCGCACCCCTCTCTTCTTCCCTGACACCCCTATGGCAGGAAGAGAGCAGGGGAGGCGGTCCTGCCACAGTTGGAGAAGAAGGCCAAGCTTCAGCCCCTGGGGCCTGCCGGCTACCCTTGGCTGCCGTAAGTTTTTGTATTTTGGGTTGAATTTGGAATAGGTTTGGTCTTCCCCTAAAGGCTGGAGCCCACAGGCCAGGCCCCGATTCTAGGACAGTTTCAGTGAGAAGATGCTCCCTGACCATGGAGGAGGCTCACAGGTGGGTTAACATCCATGTTCAGCTGGGGTATGTGGCGGGGGAGGGGGGGGCAATACCTGTGGCCAAAGGTCCCCCCTTGTTTGCCTCTCTCAGCGGCAGCAGCTTTCCAGACTCCTTCAAACTGTATAAAACTACCACTTTTATAAATCCTTAGTAAGGCCACACTTGAAATACTGCATCCAGATTTGGTCACCATATTTCAAAAAATATGTTAAAACTTTGGAAAAAGTGTGGAGAAGAGCAACTAAGATGATTGAAGGCCTGGAGACTAAAACATGTGAAGGAACAGTTGCACGATTTGGGTTTGGCTAATTGAGTGAAAAGAAGGACTAGGGGTGACATGATAGCAGTCTTCCAGTATTTGAGGGGCTGCCCCAAAGAAGAGGGGCTCAACCTATTCTCCAAAGCAGGTCTCGGCCCCCGCCTGCTCTGCCTTTGATCAGAGACCCCGAGCTGGTTTTTTAGCCCAAATTAGCCACAGAAGGCAGGAGTATTTATTAGTTATTTATTAGTAAATTTATTTGCTGCCCATCTTGTATTCAAGAGAAGCTTACAACATAAAAACATTAAAAGACATTAAAATGATCAATTATAAAACAACAGAGCAGATAAAAGCATGAACACAAGATGGCAAAGGAGGGAGTCGGGATTAGGTTATCCTAGGGGCGAAACAGGTTCAAGTATCAGTGGGAGCTGGGCAGAGTCGGCAGGGCCTGGCCTGGCTACCCCTTCTCCCTTCTGCCCTTCTCCAGGTGCAGCCAGAGTGCAGAAATGAAGCCCACGTCCTCTTCCGCAGCCCTCCTGGGGAGCTGCAGCCCACAAGGAGCCTTCCGTCCAGACAGCCCTCCGTGCCCGGTAAGTATTCATGGTAGCCCCAAAAGCCACACTGGAAAAGATGCAGGCTCCCCGAGCCCTGGGTCGGCCCAGTGTTGGGGGGAATCCACTTCAGAAGAAAGGGGCTGCTTGGCTTTCCTTTCTGCATCCCCTTGAAGGAAAGGGACCCTCTCCTTGGTTGCTTCATGTCCCTCCTGCTAGCATCCATCTTGATGCTGTTCATAGTGGTGAGGAGATGAGGCACCAAGAACACACTTGTGGCTAAGATGAACATGAGCTGAGGAATAACGAAGGCCACACCGATCTCCTTCGAGAGTAAAACAGGTGGGAAAATGTAGAAAACAGTAGAAAATGACTGTGCAGGGAGTGTTGGAGAATGGTCTCAGCTGTAGTTGGGAGAAACTCTTCAGTTTGATGATTAATTTCTGTAAAAGCACAGCAGATAAATGGGGGGGGACAGCTAGAATTTGGCATCCCTTTTGCTGGTCTCCCACCCATCTAGATCTCCTCCGCTCCCTTCTTCCTGGATTGTGAGACTGGCCTTTAACAGGAGGCTGGCTGGCTGGCTGGCTGTGGCTGTGGCTGTGGCTGTGGCTGTGGGGTGCACTGGGGGAAGACTGCTGAAACCCCCAAGGAAAATGCCTCTGGTTGCTGGGGCCAGCTAGCACCAGGTGGCATTTGCCTGGCAAGCCAGCCAGCCAGGATGGCCAAAGGCTGACACCAATTCAAAGAGCCAGTTCGGCCATCAGAGTCTACTTTTGGGAGTGATGGGTGGCCGAGATGGGGTGGGTATCAGGCAGGGGTGAAATGTAAAATTTGTTACTACCGGTTCTGTGGGCGTGGCTTGGTGTGGGGGTAATGTGACTGGGTAGGCGTGGCCAACTTTTTTTTTTTTTTTAACTTTTCAAAGCATTTTTTCTGCAAATGCAAAAAAATGCTTTGAAAAGCCTCTGCCGATCAGGCAACACAGCTGGGATCGTCAGAGACTTTTCAAAGCATTTTTTTTACCACCTCTTCCGCCGAAGAGGTTGCAGAAAAAAATGCTTTAAAAGCCTCTCTAATGTTCCCAGCTGAATTGCCTGATCGGCAGAGAGGTTTTTCAAAGCATTTTTTTAAAAGCCTCTCTGACGATCCCAGCTGAGTTGCCTGATCATCAGATAGGCTTTTAAAAAAATATCTGACAATCAGGCAACTCAGCTGGGATTGTCAGAGAGGCTTTTAAAGCATTTTTTTCTGCAACCTCTTCAGCGGAAGAGGCGGTTAAAAAAATGCTTTGAAAAGCCTCTGATATCCCAGCTGAGCCGTGTGATCATCAGAGGCTTTTATTTAACTTTTAAAAGCATTTTTTCGGCAGAAGAAGTTGTAGGAAAAAATGCTTTTAAAAAGTAAAAAAAAAAAAAAAAAAGCTTCCGGTGATTGTGCGGCTCAGCTGGGCATGGTGGAAGGGACCGGCGCGCAGGGATTTTTGCTAACGGTTCTCCGAACCACCCGCCGTCATTGCTACCGGATCGGGCGATCCGGTCCAAACTGGGAGCATTTCACCCCTGGTATCAGGGCAGCAGCTGTTGGGAGAGTCCAGCCAGCAGGGTGAGGGTGGAGAGGCCCAACAGCAGGAAGCAGCCAGGCGCAGCAGAGGAACTCTGACTGGAAGGGTAGGGTTGGGTGCCCTCTTGGTTCTTCAAACTCAGCTGCTGAACTTTCGTTTTCAGATGGCTGAGAACCCTGACGGTGAGCCACTGGCAGTGCCCTGTTCTGCAGGTACAATAGCTTTTGAGCAGCTATTAGCTCTTCCTAGCCCTGAATCCCACGCCGAGCAGCTGCCTTTGGGGAATCAGCCGCTCTTTTTCCTCGCCACAAGAGAAGGACCCATCTGGTGTTCTCCAGAGTGCAGAGATGTGGGTGACCGCAGGCTTGGCCTCCCTGGCTGTGGACAAGGAGGCTGGGCAGGAAAGGCTCCTCTGGCATTTGGGGTTTCACCCAGGGCCGGCTCTGCGTTCCAGGTCCATCCCGTTCTGTTTATGGAGGAGGAGAGTTTCAGCTGGAGGGAGGGAGGCAGGACAGAGAAGCTCTTTGTTCTGGAACAGGCAACCTGCAAGTCTTGGGCTTTTGGCAGGCAGGAGGCCTAATCCCTTTTCCTAACCACAGCAGGTCTCTGGGTCGGAGCCAGCCAGGGAGGATGCAGGAAGCCTCCAAGCGTCACCGTGAAGGAAGAAGAGGCGAATCTCCCACCCCAGAAGACCCGGCTCTCCCGTTTGCTTTGAGATGTAACTCTTCCGCCTCTGCACACACACAGGCACCGCTCAAGCCAGGGGAAGGGTCGGAGCCCCCTCCCCTCATGTGGTGTTCTGGCTGCCAAAAACCTATTTCTGTGCAGAACTGCCTGTGCAGAAGCCACGTGGCCTTCCTTCCTCTCCTCCTCCCTTCTCTTCGGAGCTTTGGCCTTGAAATGCAGCTCTTCAAGGGCTCCCTGACTTCCTAGGAGCATCCAGTGCTTCTCCTGGGCAAAAGTAGGGGGACGATCCCCATCACTGGGAGCTTAACTGGGGAGAGCTAGAGACGGATGGCATTGGGGGGGTGTTGCCTGCCAATGGTTACAAGCAAGGGAAGTGGGCTTTGAAGCCACAGCCCTGTCTCCTGTCCACAGCTGCTGAAGGAGGAGAGGAAATTCTTAACATTGCCGGGCAATGTTCTGCGAATTGTCCATTCCATTGGATTCTCTACAGTTCTGTGTATTTTGAAGATAAGTTAAATATAAGTGAGCTTCCAATTCCCAGAATTCCCCAGCCAGCATGCATTGAAGTCCACACCTTCAAGTTGACCACGTATCTTAAACTGCCGTGGTTGAGAAATACTAATCCAGATTATGGTGATGGTACTTACAGTTGAAAGGAGGGGAAAGTTCTTCTGTGCAAGACAAGACAAGTAGAAATCATTTTTTCCCTGTAAGCAATTGGGGAAGGTTTTTCCTCTGCTGGTGGGCTTCCAGTATTCATTGGCCTACAGTGGATTTCTTCAGTAGCTCTTGCTATTTTGTTCTGATAGCTGTGGTAGTTGTTTCAGTATTCATCTTTATTAGGGTAACTACAATTCTATTTTTAAAAAACTACAACGTTGTTTCTAAAAATCAATAATAGTAAAGGGAAGGACTGTAAACCTATAAATGGTATAAATAATAGAATAATAAAACAACTTGCTGGATTATAAGACTACTTTACAAACAAGGTACTGTACTGAGTATGGATACCAGGGGTGAAATTCAGCCGGTTCTATCCAGATTGCGCAATATGGTCACCCGCGTGGACGTCATGACGTCCCTTTTTTGAGATGATTTTCAGCTGCGCGTGCGCAGAAGGCTTTGCACACATTTGCAAAGCAGTTGGGAAGGTAAGTGAATTTCACCCTTAATGGATTTGCATAACATATATTGGGATCAGTAATTGGTGCGGTGTGAACTGAAATCACTGGTTCGGGAGTGATGCCAACTAAGGTTTCAGGGAATGATACTCAGTCCTGGATTCTGTTTGGGCAAATCCTGACTCGCCTGCAGCAGACAAATAGCTGTGAAGATGTGCCCTAGCTATGTTTATGTTAATTACGTTTGCATAATTAAGCATGCAAACACAAAGCAGTGGTGGCTGGGTTGGGCAATCCTGAGCAAAAGCAGAACCAGAGGGTACAGAGGCAGACCCTGGAAATAACAAGAGGACAGTTGGAAAGGTTTTGATAACCCACCTGGTGACCTTTGACACCCCCCCCCCCAGGCCAGCATGCTAGCTTCACAATCTCTTCGATACAACCAGGGTGTTTTGCTGGGCCATCAGTTCCCGCCTGATTCTCCCTCCTGGTGCCACTTGGGACCAGTTATGCTTCCCATGGAAGTTTTCTCAAAGGGCATTTTAATCAGTTTTCATATAATGGACGTATATCACATTTGATAATGTGAATGGAATGAATGAATGGAAGCCAAAACTTCATGAGTTTCCAGAATAAGGCCAGGCCTTGACTTGAACCAATGGCCAATGAAGTGTTGGCTGGGCAGGCAGAGAGGTTTGGGGAGGAGGTGCCAGGCAGACGCGCTCAAACTGCTACCACCATCGGGAAGGAGATCTAGAAGCATAGCCAGCCACGCAAACAGGCTGAAGAAGAGTTTTTATCCGTGGGCTGTCGGACTTCTGAATGTGAAATAACTACATAGTACGATGGGCTTGCAGGGCCGGCACAGCATGTAACACGTTCACACTGGTGCAATAGGCCTGGGTGCTTGTTAATACGATGTATGGAGTTAGGGATTTTCTGTCTTCACTTGAGTTGTGTTGTGTTGAGGGGGTGAATCCCATTGTGCAGTGACAGGAAAGGTGGTGGTGGTTATTCTTCAACCACCTTCTCTCCTGGTGGGGTGGGCGATGCAGGAGGACGATGGATAAAGCCAGCCCCCTGCCTTGGCCTGAGGGGGGTTCTACGGCCAATGGCCCAACTGAGGCGGAGAGGAAAAAAAGGCCGTTAATCCCGACCTTGTGACTCCATACTGGTTGGGGGTCCCTTGAGGGTCGGTCCCGCCCCCTCCCCCTCGATTCCTGGGGAGGCCGGCAGCCTCGCCCTTTCCCCGGACTCCTCCTGCGCTGCTCCTCTCTGGGCACCGGTCGAAGGGCCCGACCGGGAAAGCGGCCAGGACGAGGCTCCCAGGGACTCCCGCCGGGGAGGCAGCCGGACTTCAACTCCCGTGAGGCGATGCTCCAGGAGGCCGCTTCCGATTGGCTGAGGAGGCCTCCGGTCCCCCTCCGGTCCCGGGCGCGGATTGGCTGGATTGGCGGGCCGGCCGATCGCGGAAGCGGCGGCCCAGCATGGAGGAGCGGGAGGCGCGGGAGCTGCTGGCCTTCCTTCGCCCGGAGGCCCGCGGGGAGCTGAGGGGCGGCGCCGTGGAGCTGGTGCTGGGGCTGACGGGGTCCGCCGAGGGCCGCCGCCTCCTCCTCGCCCGCCCGGCCTTCGTGGAGGCGCTGCTGGCGCTGAGCGGCGACCCGAGCGCGGCGCTGGCCGAGGCCGCCTTCCACGCGCTGGTCAACCTGGCGGCGGAGCCGGGGGCGGCCGGGGCGCTGCGGGCGGGGCTGCCGGGCCTGCTGCGCCGCCTGCTCCAGCCCGCCTTCCCCCTGGCCGCGCCGGCCTGCGCGCTCCTGGCCAACTGGTCGCGGGAGGAGGGCCCGTGCCGGGAGCTGCTGGCGGAGCTGCGGCGGGGCGAGGCGGGGCTGGCGCCGCTGCTGGAGGCCTTCTGCGCCCACGACCCCCGCCCCGGCGCCCCCTGGCACCACCTGGGCTCGCTGCTGGCCAACCTCAGCCGGCTCCCGGAGGCCCGCGACGCCCTGCTCCGCCGCTCCGGGTAAGCGCCGCGCCGATGGGGGGGGGTCTCCGCAGAGGCGCTGCGCGGCGGCTGAGCGGCTCTTCCCGCAGGGGCGCGTTGCAGAGGCTGCTGCCCTTCCTGCACGACGCGGGCTCGGCGCTTCGGCGGCGCGGGGTGGCCGGGACGCTGCGGAACTGCTGCTTCGACTACCGTGAGTGCCGCCGGCCTCGCTCGGGCTCTGGGCGGGGAGCGCCGGCGCCGCCTCGTCACGGCTGTCTGCTTTTCAGGGCACCACGAGTGGCTGCTGAGCGAGCAAGTGGACCTCCTGCCCTTCCTTCTCCTCCCCTTGGCCGGCCCCGAGGAGTTCCCGGAGGACGAGATGGAAAGTGGGTGCCTTTTCCGGGCGGGGGGGGGGGGGGGGGACGCTTGGGGGCTGCCCCGCCCCCCCCCCTTCGTTGCCCCTTCCCCCCCCCCCCGAACCACCCAGAGCTACCCCTGGATCTGCAGTACTTGCCAGCCGAGAAGCAGCGAGAGCCGGAAGCTGACATTCGCAAGATGCTCCTGGAGACCCTCCTGCTGGTAGGTGGGCTGGTCAGGTGCGGGGAGGGTACTTGGGGGCTGCTGCTCTGTGCCCAGGAAACTGCCAAGTGTCCCCTGGAAGCAGCTTCCTCTGGGCCATGGGGCTCACTCAGATTCCCAAGATCTCAAGGGTCTTCCCATCCCTTCCCCACAAATCCCTATGAATCAAGTCTCCCCCCAGTGTGTCCCTCTGTGCAGGAAAAGAGGCATCCTTGGCCTCCTGGTTGGCTTCCTTGCATCAGCTGTGCTGTGGGTTTTGAAGGGGAGGCTTGGAAGACCCAGGCTGGGTCTCTACCCTCACCCCCAAGAGCCTGCCCCATGGAGCCAGGCTGCTGTATTCCCTTTCTGGCTTTGGGCAAGAGAGCCAGAGATTTTCTGCCCCCAAGAAAGTCCTCCTTTGACCCTCCCACAGATGCAACACCCCAGTCCAATGGCGGCTTCCCTGTTAGAGGCCCCGCAGCCAGTCACCCCACCCCCACCCCCCCTCTCTTTGACAGCTCACAGCCACCAAACCGGGGCGGCTCCTGGTGCGAGAGAAAGGCACCTACTTTGTCCTGCGAGAGTTGCATAAGTGGGAAGGGGACCATGGGGTCCGCGCTGCCTGCGAAAAGCTAATCCAGGTGAGTGGGGAGTCAAGTGGGCCTCTGGACCCTTCCCTTATGAAGAGGGGGCAGGGAGTTTGAGGCCTCGGCCGGTTTGTCCTGTGTAGGTCCTGATTGGCGATGAGCCGGAGGCTGGGATGGAAAACTTGCTGGAGGTGAAGATCCCCACAGAGGTGGAGCAGCAGCTGCAGCACCTGGACCAGGAGGAGGAGGAGGAGGAGGAGGTGGTCTTGCTGGAAAGAATTGCATGAAAGTGGAAGGAGCCCCCCCCCTCTCCACTGGTGGGGGAGAAAGAACTTTCTTTGTTGCTGGTCCTGCCATTTGGGCACCAAAATCCCGGCACCTCCTTTGTTGCCAAAGGCGCCCCTTGGCACTGCCTACTGACTGAAGGCCGTTTCTCTGCAGTCTGGGCAAGCGAGAGAACTGGCATCCCTCCAGCCCCAGGAAGAAGGGAGTGAAGGGGGGCTGGAGCTCCTCTCAATAAAGGCTGTGGTGCACTTCTCTTCCTGGCCCTGCCCTCCTGCCTCGCTCAGGGAAGTGGGAAGCTGCCCCAGGTGCCTCTGACTGGCTGACAGGTGCTCCTTGTCCCTGTGCCATGTTGTAGGCACACAGGTGGGCACTTTCTCTCATCTGCAGGGGAAAGGGGGTCTCCTGGCTGCCAGCTCTACTCGTGGGGGAGGAGGCAGCCCCTCCGCTACTCTGAAGGGGCAGTACCGCTGATTCCCATTGAAACGGTACAGGGCAAAAAGGGACAGGGAGCAGAGGTCCCAACTGCTTTCAGGGCAGGAATCCAACCAGCCAAGACCCCCCTCTGCTGTTGGCCTCCTGCTGGAGACTTGCCTTCCCCATCCCAGAGGGCCTGGGTGGGTCCTGTGGGCCGTATGTGGCAGCTGGGGAGACAGAAGGCCAGGCACAACTTCCGTAAGCGGTTGTGGAGGGATAGTTGGGAATGTTTGGTCACATGAAGGGATGCTTATGTTTCAGAAGCCCTGAATTAAAGGGGGGGGCATGCTTGGGGCAGGCTGGCTTAGATGGGACCCCCAAACCATGGGGGGGGGGGGGAGGGAAAGCCCTCCCCCCTCCGGGGAAAGCGGGGGGGGGGCGGAGGCGGGGGGGCGGGCGAAAGCGGGGGGGGGGGGGGGGGGGGGGGGGCTGGGCCTGGAGCAGCTGCTGTGGACAAGCGCAGGGTGGTCGGGGCCGCGGAGGAAGAACGGGCGTCAGACAGCAGCAGCCGCACACAAAGCAACGGTACACTGATGTATATGCAGAAAGAGCGGACAAGCGCGCGTGCCGACGGGCGGAGAGCGGCGCCGGGGCCTGGCCGGCCGCCTCTGAGGTCCGGGGCCGCCGCAGGGCGCACGCATCGCAGCAGGCAGCAGCCCGGGGCGACTCTGAATAAGCTTTAATGGGCTGGTCCGGCGGCGTCGGGCCGAGCGCTGCCCCGGGCCGGGCGGGCGTGGCTGCCGCGGCGAGCGGGCCGGGCGTCGGGGGCGCCTCACGGGCAGGGCGTCATGCTGTAGAGGGAGTGCACTTGCTTGGAGAGGCTGGCCGAGGCGCTGCCCAGGCCGGCGGCGCGGGCGGGCGCCTTCTCCCCGAGCCGCTTGCTGGTCACGTAGGCGCTGGCCGAGAAGCCCGAGCCGGGCTTGCGGAAGTTGGGCAGGTGGTGGAAGGGCTGCAGGCTGGTCAGCAGGCTGGGCCGGTAGAGCGAGAGGCGCGGCGGGCGCTCCGTCTTGCGCGGCGAGGGCAGCTGCAGCACGCAGTTGGCCGGCGTGACCGGCGGGCTCTTCTTCTCGGCCTTGGCCCGGGGCGGGAAGGCCCCCGCGGCCGAGGAGGCGCGCGCGGGCGGCAGGACCTTGCTCTCCTTGGCCGGGCCCTCGGCCGGGCTCTTGGCGGGGCTCTCGAGGTCCGGCAGCTGGGCCGAGGGGCCGCCGACCTCGCCTGCAACGAGACGGGGCGGAGGGGAGGGGGCGCCCGGTCACGGGTGGGGCCGCTGCCGAGCCCGACCTTCCCCGCCCCCGGCTGGCACTCGACGGCCAGGGGACACGAGACCCTCTGGACGCCTCTCCGGTACCTGGTGCCGTCTGAGGCTTTTCTTGGCCCAGGGAGCACTCCGGATGGACTCCCATGGAGCTCATCACCCGGTGGAAGATGGCCGAGGTAGCCGGGAGCATCCAGCGGTGCGTGGCCACCTGCTGCAACCCCAGGCGGGCCGCTGGCTTCAGCTGCAACAGGCCCTCGATGAGATTCTGGCATTCTGGAGAGAGGGAGGGGCAGGGAGGGGGAGGGCGGGAGAAGACAAGCTTGGCCACCCCTTCCCACCTGCCAATCCCGGGAGGCGCCGCGACCCCCAGCTGGAATTCAGGGCTAGATGAGCATGGAGATGCAAGTGGACTTTCTCTGGGTTTTTCCCTTCGAAAAGGTTTCCTTCCTTAGAAGCAAAACATTTTCAAAGGAAAAGCCAAGGAAGCCCAGCTGCCTTTTGGGACTGGAATTCAGGGCCTCCCCAGCACAGCTGCTTGCAGTTCCTTTTGCCTCTCGGCTGTGACGCCCCACAGGCAGAACCTGCTCCAAAGCACAGACCAAGCCAAGCCCCCTCCGCCCCCACCCCCACCCCCACCCCCTGGTGGTCAGATGTCTCTGGGGCTCTCTGCTGTGGGGCCCTGCACTGTGTGTCCCCCCAGGAAGCTGCTGCTGAATGATAGCTGCCTGAGGGGGAGAGAGGGACTGGGGGGGGGCTGGGGGAGAGCACTTGCTGTAGGATCTTCCTGCTCCCACCAAATGTAATGACCACCAGGAGTCATGGCAGGACCGGCCAGAGCCAGGCAGCCTCTCTGATCCTCTGGCCCTGCAGCCCCCTCCTCAGAACTGAATTCCGGGGCTATAGAGGATCCCAGCAGACCAGAGCCCTGTCCCACTGCCTCAGGGCCAGCTTCCCCCTCTCCCCTGCTGCTGTCCCTGGGCTTCACTTCCTCCTGGTTTTATGGGGGTTGTCAAGGACCAGGGACATTTGTGGGTCTGAGCCAAGCCCACCCTCTGGCAGCAGAGGGAAGAGCCAGCAGGAGGCACACTGTCCTCTACCAACGCTGTTGTGTGCAGCCACAAGTTGAGGGCCCAGACGGTGTCATTCCCGTTCGGGTGGGCGGGGCAGATGGGGATGAGGAGCCCTCCTGCCTCCAGCTGAGCACCTGGGGGCGGGGGGGGCTGAGACGTCCCCTCGTACCTGGCGAGATCGGCTGCCGGAAGGCGAGGCCTTGCTTGATGACGTGGATCATCTTGTGTGGCTGGCGCTCCTTGAAGGGGAGCTTCCCTGTCACCATGGCGTAGAGGATGACCCCACTGCGCGAGAGGAGAGGGTCAGGAGGGGCCTCTGGGTCAGCCTGGGCCCTAGTCACATTTGGCCCCACCCCCGCTGTGCTTACAGGCTCCATAGGTCAGCCAGCTCCCCATTGTATTTCTTGCTCATGAGGATCTCGGGGGCGGTGTAGGCCACAGAGCCACAGAAGGTGCTCATCAGTGAATTCTTCAAGGAGTAGCGGTTGGCAAAGCCAAAATCTGCAAGGAGGGGGAGCCGTCAGCTTCTCCACTGGGCCCTGAGCCCAACCCCTCAGATACTGGGAGGCTGCTGTCCTGTCCTGAGATGATAACTGAACTCTTGAGATGTTAAGCTAGGCTGGTGAGGAGGATTAGGGTGCCTCTACGTTCCCCAAGTCTACAGCACTTCACGGCCTAATTAACTTCCTTTGGGCCTGGATCTTGCCTTGCAAACGGCCAGGTGGGAGATCAGAGCCTGCTGAAAGGAGAAGCTGCAGGCTCTGATCTCTTTGCCTGAAAGAGCCGCTCTTGCGTTTAAAGACAGCTTGATGTAGGAAGCCCAGATCCTCTGGGCTCACCTGGGGAGGGTGCCACCTTGACCCCTGGGGCTGCTCTGTGCAGTTCTGTAATCCTGCTCCCTTATTCTGCAGGTGGCAGAACGAGGCCATCCCATTCTCCTCCCTCCCAGGAAGAAAACTCACCTGTCAGTTTAATGAAGCCACGTTCATCCAATAAAATGTTCTCACACTTCAAATCTCTGTGGGGGAAGACGAAGAGTCCCATTTGTTGACCAGCATGGATGCTTCTTCCCTTGCTTATTCCAGCCAGGACAAGGGACAGTCTGGCCCAGGATTTGGGTCACCCCTGCCTAGCGGGCATCTTCAAATGTGGCCAAGAGGGGTTTCTTTCCCACTGCAACTTCTCAGGTGCTGGAATCCATGGGATGCTGCCCACTGAATAATCTTGCTTCATGACCATTGCAAAAATAATCATATAATCCAGTGGTTACGTGTTGACTTGCTTATGACCATAATGGCTTGCGACCAAAATTTTGGGCTCAGCTGTGGTTGCAAAGGAGACCTACCTTTAGACTTATCCATAACCCTTGACTCTACTCCTGTGAAGTCAGATTCACCACAGAATTCTTTTTAAAACAATTCAAATTTGACTACTTAACTCCTCTCTGGCATAAAGAGATCCTTCTAGCTGCCCTGAATTTCTGAGCTTTTTAAAACATTTCTGATAGTGGGTTCCAAGAAATAATTCAACAAATACTAGACTAGAATCTTCCACTAATGCAGAGTTTGTCTCCCAGTCAGAGTTGATAAAGTTCCTGTTTATCTGTAAATTTGTCTATATCTGGCATTACATGAAACAATTTGGAGAATTGCTGTGCTCCGCGATGCTCTTCCTCCTTATGTGGGATTCGTTTTTTGCATAGAGGTTTTCAGGCCATGGGCTGATATGCTGGGACCAGATTGCTGCTCCCTCATTAGAGGGAGAGAATGATCTTGCCCCTCTGTGGCTTCTCAAGAGTCCTGCTCGAGATTTTAGCCCTGAGCAACAGGAATTGTGCTGCCTGCGGTTGCTTCTTTCACTGTGTTCACTGCCTGCCCCCCCCCCATGGCTATGGTTCCCAAGAGGATGCCAACCAGTCCGGACCACCGCCTGCTGCTGATCTGGAGAGGTTTCTGGGCCCAGAGAACATCTGGCACATACCAGCGTCTCCCTCACTCTGCCATGCATCTCTTCCTTCTGCCCGCCTACTCGTCTCACCTGTGGACAATGCCAACATTGTGACAATGGGCAACAGCGCTGACAATCTGTCGGAAAAGCCTGCGTGCCTCCTCCTCCTCCAGGCCAGGGTACTCCCTCCGGTCAGATGTGGCGTTGATGTGCTCCAGGAGGTCCCCCCGGGAGGCCAACTCCAGCACCAGGTAGGTGCGCTTGCTGTTCCGATACATCTCGTAGAGCTGGATCTACAAGACAGCCGAGCTTTCACTGAGCATGGAGTCAGGGAGCCCCCGGCCTTTCCCTCATTCCACACTGGCCTCCTGGGGCATAGCGATGCGGCCCTGATGCTCCGATGCACCAGAATCCCTCTTGCTTTGGGGGTTCATGGTTCAGGCAGCAGCAGCAGCAGCAGAATGTAACAGGGTGGGAAGGGAGCTTGGAGGGCTTCTAGTCCAATGAGGAGGTTACTTGTTCACACAAGGACAGAGGAGTTGTGTTCTCTTCAGTGACTGCTTGCTGGCAGAGCACCCAGGAAGCCATCACGGAAGAGAATCCGTCTCTTCTCCATCTTCTGCACAAGATGTTCTTCTGGCCTTGGAGGAACCTTTTCCCCTACTGGATTTCATGGCCTGCTGGAGCCCAAGACAGGACAGCAACTTCCCCTGGCAAAACGTTTCTGATTAGGTGACCAGCAGCACCAGGACTATTTATTTATTTATTTATTTATTAGATTTCTATGCCGCCCTTCTCCCGTAGGACTCGGGGCGGCTCACAGAATAAAAGACATATAACAATAAATAAAACTAAAAACATCCAAATGTAAAAACCCCAGCAACTAAAATCTCATAACAGATCAGGGAATTTGCTGAAGAAGCCATGTCTTCAGTTTGGTGCGGAAAGTGCGGAAGTCGGGGGCCGTCCGAAGCCCGGTGGGTAACCCATTCCAGAGGGTCGGTGTGGCCACCGAGAACGCCCTCATCCTGGGGGCCACCAGCCGACATTGTCTGGCCGATTGGCACCCGGAGGAGGGCAGTCCTATGTGACCGCGCTGGGCGGTGGGAGGCCGGTAGGAGGTGGTCCTGCAAGTACCCCGGGCCCATGCCATGTAGGGCTATCTCAGGGGAAGCTGTGGTGGGAGAGGGGCTGGGGGGAGAACATTGCTGAAAGATCATGTGACACGCGTGTGCAGTGGGCATAACTTGGACGGGCAATTAGTTTTCCCACATGAGAAACGTGGATTGCTGTTGGCGGGTTGAAGGAAGAGGGCTGTGAAGAGGCGTAGCCTGCACGCCTCTGCCTCTTCACATGGGTACATTGCAAAAAAATCGCCGTTGCCTTCAAAATAAAAGGGATCCCAAGGGGACAGCCAAGGGGCCGGATGTGGCCCAGGGCCAGTGAAACGCCCAGGTCTGGTATAACTGGATATTGTCTGGAGGCAAATGAGCAGTGTAAAGCGGCCCCGAGGGCAAGTGGGAGCAGTTTGCCTCTGATCCTGGGCTTCCAATTTATGGGAGCCACTCAGCCGTTCTGATCCCTGTTCTGCAGTTAATGGGTGAAGAAGGATTGTCACGAGCAAGCAGACAACAGGCCTGTTGGTGCTCGGGATGCCTCATTATGGGATCCAGCAAAGGCAGCTACTATTGTAGGCCTTTGGTGGCTGTATTGACACACCCCAGGCTCCCTTCTGGCTTTTTCAGAACATACGCATACAATGCTGCGAATTGGATCCCATCTTGTGTTGCACACGCTGCCCCTTTTGCCGTTGGGGGCTCTCAGACACACTTTTGAGCACTTGTGGTGTTGGGGTGCTTTACTCAGAGGAGGCCCATCAGGGTAGGGGGTTCCCCTGCAGAGACTCACCACATTTAGGTGCTTGTAAGTAACATTCAGGGAGTAGATTTCTCTTGGAAGGAACTTTTTGGTGTATTCCACAGGTGCCTCTGCTGTTGAAATTATCTTTATAGCAACCTGCGGGAAGAGGAAGCAGAGCGTGAAGCGGGCGCTGGGAAGAGTCCTTGGCCATGGAGCTTCAGGGCTGAGGAACGCTGCGCCACCGACCCTGCGGGACCTTCCTAACCAGGGTGTGGAAGCATCGCATTGGCTTCGGCGGCCCCAGAACAAAGCATTTGGAGCAACAGAAAAAGAGAAGAAACAAGAGATCATATTAAAATAATCAGAATGGAATGCGATCAGTTTCAACAGTAAAACGAATTACCAAAATATTTAAGCGGTTTAAAAGCTTAGCCGCTGTGGCACTAGCAGCCCATTTAACCACCTTCTGGAGAGGTTCCTGATCTGTCAGTTGAACACACACACACACACCTTATGCTAATAAGCATCAGCAGTTCAGGTGGCCGCACCAGGTAGCGGGAGGGTCTCCGGCAGAGCAGGCTGCTGGCTGCCTCTCTCTTCCAATGGGCCTCCAGCTTTTGCACAGTCGTTCTGGCACGGAAGGTGGCAAAGCCATCCCCGATTGAACCAAAGGATACTCACAAAGGGGCCGGTGTAAGAGAGCGATCTCCCCTGCTGCATACAAGCAGCATACGTGTGCGTGTAAAAGGCAGCTGGACTGTTTTAAGACCTGGGAGTTGAAGTCCACAGGTCTTAAAGTTGCCAAGTTTGGAGACCCCTGTTTTAAATTATGAAGAAGCAGCGGAGCAGTCAAGGCCAGCTCCCCTCTGGTTCTGCTAGGATTTTCCCCTGCGGGGCCAGTCCGTCCATCTCCCTGGAGCAGCTGCTCCCTGCCTGCTTCTCACTCCCTGCAAAATGCCAGGGCAGAAGATGACTGACCCTTTCCTTCCCTTTGTGTGCCCTGGGATCAGGATGGATCTACTCCAGCCTCTGGGGATCTGGAAAGAACCACCATTGACACAGGTGGGCAGGATCCCCAATCTGCCTCTCTCCCCTGATCCATTACCACCTGGGACGTTCCTGTTCCAGTCAGATCATCTCCAGCCACTGTGGACTTGTGTGATCACATCATCAGCCACCTCTAACACCACGCGATGTAACAGATTCGTTTACTTTAAATGCTTTTATGCCACTTCAGTCATCTGATTCTAAGCAGCTTACGAGTAGCAAAAAATATGACACAATAATCCTCTTTATATGAAAAATGACCACGACCTTATTGCAGTGACCAGTGTGTGGGACAGCAGGTCATCCCAAACTTGGGTAAAAGCTCCCTGGGCAGGATTCCTGCAGGGGACATTCATGGTGTCCAAGCCCCTCATCGCCCTGCAGGCGCTCTCTGGGGGTCCAAATTCAATCCATGCTGGCTTTGTGCCATGTCCACCTCAGTGCTTCGAATTGCACCTGGAAATAAACTGGCAACTCATCAATCTCTGGACCATCGATCAGCGGGACAGATAAAATTATGATGAACCCGGGGAGAAGGCAGGCTGAGGTCAGGTCAGGGCCAGAGGGACTGGACAATATATCTTTTCTTTTTGTGTACACCAAGAGCGTATGCACCAAGACAAATTCCTTGTCTGTCCAATCACACTTGGCCAATAAAGAATTCTATTCTATTCAAAGAATCTGGGATGGGAGTTCAGAGAAGCAACAAAAATGGCCACTGAAACTCTTTGATGCCCCCTGCAGAACAATTCGGATGAAAACATCTACAGAAAAGCACCTCATCACACGCCAATGACAGAAAATAATTCCGAGTAGCAGATGGTTCATTCTGGGGCATTGTTCCCTCTGCTGCCCTCACTACAGCCAAAGCCTAAAATGATTCCTTCTTGACCCAGCAGGACAGGTGGGAAAGCTCAACACAGCCTCTGAGGGGGCTTTGCATGCCGAGAAGCAGCCCCCCTCCCATTCTGGGCATCAAGTCCACCAGGGCTAAAATAACTGCAGATGAAAATTCATAACTTCTATTGATTCCTTTTTTAACAAGACCTGATGTGCATAACAGTTATTGATAATCTTTCTCCTGCCTTTTTATAAAGTTGCCCAAGAGTTCAGTAAAATTCTGGGGATCAAACTGCATGATGTCAGCCCCACCCAACCGCCCCCCCAAGCAGAATTATGGTCTGTGAGTTACCCTTGTGTGAAAGAGTACAGGCAGCCCTCAACCCACAACTGCAACTGACCCCAACATTTCCTTTGCTAAGTGAGACAGTTAAGTGAATTTTACCCCACTTTAAAACCTCTCTTGCCACAGCTATTAAGTGAATCACTGTAATTGTTAAGTGAATCTGGCTTCCCCATTATTGACTTTGCTTGTCACAAGATCACAAAAAGGGATCACGTGTCCCCGGACACTGTAGCTGTCATAAATATGAGCCAGTTGCCAAGTGTCCGAATTTTAATTATGGGGATGCGGCAATGGTTGTAAGTGTGAAAAAGATAAGTCACTTTCTCAATGCTGTTGTAACTTTGGACAGTCACTAAATGAATGGTTATAAGGCAGGGGTTACCTGTAACCCAAATGAAATTGTATTCTGGCCAGGTTCCTGAAGCTGTAGGACTACCTGAAATTCAATTTGAAATGGTGGTTCCCAGCACCACAGAATTGGGGGACCCCGTTAGAATCCTTTATGTGAGAATTCTTCTGTGGTGGACATGCACCCCCTTCAAGAGGCCTTCCATTCCACCTTAATTGCCCACCTTGGCCGAAGGGCTGGGAGAAGGATATGGAGATCAAGGATCTCAGTCCTGAAAGCACTTGGTTCAAGGAGGCCTTTTGGAAGGAGGATCTTGAAGGGGAAGGGAGAGCCAGTCCGCAGGGGCAGGAAGTGAGAGCTTTAACCAAGAATGATGGGCAGCAGCACCACCTTCATTTACTGAATGGCCGGAAACACTTCCATCAGACTGAACAGGTGCCATTGAGTTGTGCTGACTGTCAGTGCCTCACAGAGAGACCTCCGGGAGGATCGGTCCCAACCGAGTTCTTTGGGAAGTCCAACAGTGCCCCCGCCCCACTTCTGAGTCCACCCCCCCTCCTCCCCGTTGTCCTACTCTTCTCTTTCCATTATATGTTAAAATATTACATAACTGGCTCCAGATCAAATCTGCCTTCATCAGCTATTGAGAGAAAGCGGGTAATGGCAGGAGAGATGGCAGTGGGGCATAAGCAGGAGGGCAGCCTCATCTGGGCCAGCCCCTCCCACTCCCTTGAGCCTCCTCCTCCTCCCCCTCCCGGGGCTCACCATAGAGTGCCGCTTATTCCTGAGGTCTGAAGCCAGCTTGTAGTTCTGCATCATTTTCTCCTGGGTGGCGTAACCCAGATAGACTTTGGAGAAAGCCCCCGACCCGATTTTTTTGGAAGAGAGGAGGTAGCCATTCTCCTTGCTTTCCCGGACCTGTTCCAAGAACGTCCTCCTGTCGGCCTCGCGCTTCGAGAAGCTCTTCATGGCCCCGAACTGGCCCAGGAGGGGATGGCCCGGCGGCCGGGCTGAGGGGGCTGCTGGAGGAGGGGCTGCCGCAGGGCTGGGGGAGAGGCCGGCAGAAGCACAGTTCAGACAAACACATCAGCTCTGCAAGGGGGACAAGCACAGCGTGTGGGTCCTTCTTAGCACGGTGCCTTTCTCATCTTCTGGGTGGGTGGGTGCTGCCACTGGCCAAGCACAAGGAGTGGCAGTCCAAGGGGTTCCTTGTTGCTCTGGACAGAGGAGTTTCCACAGTGACCGGCTGGCCCAGGCATTCCAGAGGCAGCCTTCTAGAACCGAGGCACAACAAGCAGTTGTAGAACTTCGGATCTCGGGTGGGGGGCCCATCGCTGCACTGGGTCTCCACCCCCACCCCTGCTGGCCGAAGGGCCCTTGGCACAGAGGCCTTGGGAGCACCTCTTGGGCAGAGCTTCACAGAGGCCGGGTGAGTCACAGATTGGATTTATACATCTTGCTAAACTGGGATGGGTCCTCTCTGGTCCTGGTGTTCAAATTCAGCCCCCGCGGTTGGCTTGAACACCAGGATTCTGTGCTTTCTGCAATCCCAGCCCAAGATGAGCTGTTCAAGAAATCTGGATGGAGAAAGTCGCCCACCCTCTGCCTGGCTATTCCCCCCTTCCATCCAGTTGTGTCTGATTCTCAGAGACCGCTGGGCACAGTTTTTCAGAAGGGGTTTGCCATTGCCTCCTTCCTAGGGCTCAGAGAGAATGACTGGCCCAAAGTCACTCACTGGGCTTTGTACAAAAGACAGGACTAGAACTCACCATCTGCCGGTTCCTAGCCCAATGCCTTCACCATTATACCAACCTGCTCCTGTGGCTGGCTTGGCTGAGGCCAAAGGTTGGCATGGGCAGCTGCAGAGTTGCACCGGGGCTCTGTGCACCCAAATCTTTAATCTGGACACACCTCAGGGGATGAGCTAATCTGTGAGTACTGCCTTTTATGAACCTCTCCGGAAGCCTTGCAAAGGCAGGGAAATCTGTCAGGAGTCCCATGGGAAGATGGGAAGGGATCTGGCACTTGAGAAGAGGAGAAGGCGGTTTAGAAAGACAGCCTTGAAAAGTGGGTGAGACAAGCAGGATGTGAGTTAACGGGGACAAGTGTCAAGTTCTGCACCTGGGGAGAAAATATGAATTTAGAATCGTGCAACCCGGCTGGCTGGGCACACGTGAAAGAAATCACAAGCTCAACACAAACCCCCAGCATGATGGATGCATCGGTCAAAAGGCTCGTGTGGAGGAAATGATCCTCCCACTCCACTCTGCCCAGCCCCCCCCCACCCGGCAGAGGAAGGCAACTTGGGGTGGTGAGAGAGCTGGAAAGTGGGTCCTTGCTGCAGGGACATTGAGAGGAGGTGGTCTTTGGGTGACCTTAGAAGGGAAGGCCTGGCAGGGGACAGAGAGGAGAGAGCAGCCCTGGGTGACCGGGGTGTGGGGGGGATCTGAGGGTACAGAGCAGTTCAGGTAAGATAGTCCCTAATGGTAGAGGGTCTCCTGCTTAAGGAGAGGGTTGAACTAGAAGACCTCCAAGGTCCCTTCCAACTCTTGTTATATCATTCATTACCTAGAGCCATGATGACAAACCTATGCCATTTTTGCTGGGCACGCAAGTGTTGCCCTAGCTCAGCACCAGCGTGCATGCACACACCGGCCAACTAATTTTCAGGCCTTCCGGTCCCACCGGAGATCGGGAAACTGGCTGTTTATGGCCTTCCGGGGGATGGGGAAGGTTGATTTTGCCCTCCTAGAAAGCCTCTGGAGCCTGGGGAGGGGAAAAAAACAGGCCTACTGGGCCCACCGTGCCATCGTGTGACAAAAGCAGGGGGAAATGGGGGGGGCCTCATGAGCATGCGCGGAAGGGTGGGGCGCATTGAATTATGAATGTGGGCACCCGCACCCATGACACCCCCCCCACTCCCCCTGCTTTTGGCACACGACGGCAAAAAGGTTAGCCATCACTGACCTAGAGGCTGGGAGCTAGAGAGACAGAGCACGGACATCAAGCGGAGGCTTAAGGCGGGCAGTGGTCACCTGGCCATAAGGCTGCAGGCTGCGGTCCTCGAATGCCAGAGAGCAAAAGAGAGGGAGACACCTGCTCCCTTGCAACCCCACCCACCTCCAAACCTCGGTGACAGTTGGAAGGTGTTTTAGCAAGAGGCTGGGCCAGGTGACTCTGCATGCCTCGTCTGGGGGAAACATACAGCACTTCTAAAACAGGCCAACAGCCAAGAGCTCATGCCAAAAAAGCGACCCTGGTAGAAGACTGCAGATCTGAAACCAAAGGGCTGAGCTTAAGTCACGCTAATTGTCTTCTACGGAACCCAGTAAGGCAGGTTGGAGGCTTCGGGAGGCAGAACCGGCTCAGGCCATATCGGCACGGGATGGATTTTGTGGGGAGGGGGAGGCACAGCCGGAAGTCCCGCTCGGGAAACCAGGCCGTCCAGAGACGCCACACCAAACGGCTAACAAACGGGCGCCGGAGGACCTTCCCTTCGGCTATTCTGGGCTGGCTCAAGGCAACGCACCGCCCTCCGATCACGCTCCGTCTAGCTTTGCTGGCCCCGTTCGGGCCCCCTCCCAGCGCCCAGGAGCCGAAGCAGAGAAGCGAGGCAGCGCTTGCAGAGCGCCAGGGGCCCCCAAGGCAAAGGCGGGGGGGGCAGGTCCGAGCCACATCTGGGGCGCCTCCTCATCCGAGGCTCCGGAGCAGCAGGGACCGAAGCAGGCAGGGCGGTGGGGCAGCCCCGGGAAAGGCGGCCAGAACCGGCGCTTTCCCGCAGAGGCCGCTCGGCATCTCCCCCCCCCCAGCAGCTCCGCAACGCCGGTCCCGGGCCCCGTTTCATTCCCGCCGGGCGGAGCGCTGGCGTTGCTGCCGAAGCCGGGGCTCCTGGCGGGAAGGCGCCGCTGCCTTCGGGCTGGAAGCCTCCGCGGCCCTGCGGGACGGAAGAGGCGGTCGGACCCCGCCAGCCTTCAGTGGAGCAGCGCAGCCCCGCCGCCCCTTCGGGTCCCGGCGGGCAGGAGGGGCCGCCGTCCTCCCGGGGCCGAAGGAGCCGCCGGCCGGCCGGGGAGCGGGGGCGCTTCTCCTCCTCCGCGGCCGACATAAGCCGCGCAGAGCCGAGGCGAGCCGGGGCCCCCGCCGGGCGAAGGGCGCGCCTGAGTGGCGCAGGGACGGGAGGCCACCAGGGGATCCCGGGCAGAGCCTGCAGCGCCCGCCCCGCCCAAGACCGCGGCGGGGCGGGGCGGGGGCGGGGCTTGGCGGCCTCCAGGGGCGGGCTCGTCACGAGACACTAGTGGATCTCCGAGGGGCGGGGGCGGGTTGGCGCAGGCGCGGTAGCGACGGACTGCCGCTGCAAGTCAACGGGGGTGGCGCCCCGAAGCCGCCGCTTCTCCAACTGGGCGCCCCTCGGCCCTTCGGACGCCCGTCTCCCTCCCCGGCGGCGCCCGCGGCGGAGCTGCTCTTGCGCTGGTAGGTCGAGGAGCCCGGGGGGCGGGGCGTGGGCGGGGCTGCCCAGGTGAGGGCGTGGCCTTAAAGACCCGGAAGCGCTGCTCCCGCCCAGGTGAGTGAGCGGCCGTCCCGGTCCCGCCAGCAGCAGCAGCGGCAGCAGCAACGGAGGCAGGCAGGCAGGCCAGGGAGGGAGGGGAGGGAGGGAGGCAGGGGGGGAGGGAGCGGGGGCGGGCCTGAGCGGGGAGGGGCTGCCGGCGGTGTCCTCCGGGCGGCTGAGCGGCGCTTCTCTCTCTCTTCTGTCCCGCAGGAGGCGAGCGCTGCGCTGGGCTGGGCTGGGCAGGAGCGGGGGGGCCGCAGGAGAGAAGCCGCGCCAGCCCCGAGCCTTCCCTCCCTCCCAGAAGCTGCGGCGGTCGGAGGATGCCCCTGGCGCCGGGCGGCCCCGCCACACTCCCCGGGCGCTCGGAAGGCGTCGCAGGGCGCCCTTGAGGCCTCTAGCGGGACCCGCCTGGCTCCGCCGCCCGCGCCCTCCCCGCTTTGCCCGGCCAGACTCGGAGCGGCAGCTGCCCAGCCGGAGCCCGGACCATGGCCGAGTCCCGCGTCAAGAGTAAGTGGGGGTGGGGGGGGGGTCTCTAGGCCACGGATGGACTTGGGGGTCCCAGAATTCCCCCCCCCCCCCCGCTGGCCCCCCCCTCCTTCCTTCCTCTGGGCTCCGTTTTCCTGCCCCCCCCCCCCCCCCCCAAAGGGCTCTGCTCTCCTGCCTGGAAATGCCCGGGGGCCGCCTTGCCCCCCCTCTTTTACTGGGGGCTTTTATAGAGACCCTGGGGGCCCAACTGTAAGACTGGGGGAGCTGGGGAATTCTGGGAGTTGAAGTCTGCAAGTCTTAAAGTTGCCAAGTTTGGAAAGCCCTGATATAAACAAAAGATAAACATAAAAGTGTGTAAAGAGAACTTAGATAGGAAAAATGCAGAGAGCAATTAAAGAAATACCCTAAAAGGAAAAGACAGGGCCGGGACTTCCAATCTCCTCTGCAGCCGTTACAAAGGAGCGTTACTCTTCCTCCCTGCTTAAGGTTACACCGCAGGGATTCCTTCGGTCTCCTGTTCAGCCTTTTTTTAAATTGGCAATTCCAGAAATCGCCTTTTCACTTCTTTCTGTAAATGAGGTTTGTTTATTTATTTATTTATTTTTCGCATTTCTATGCCGCCCAACTCCCAAGGGTTTCCAGTCTTTTATGCAAGTATCGCTGGCATGAATGGTAAAGACCCTGTTGCTTCCCCTGGAGGATGGCAGTGCCCAGCGGGATCTGGGAAGGGGCTCCTGTGTGCAGAAAGGGGCCTCTCTGCCAACTTGCTACCTTCACAGAAAACGTGGCGCCACAGCTGGGCTGCCGCACTTCACACCCTGGCCGCCTAGGAGAGCAGGAGGGGGAGGTTAATTCACGCTTGCCTGGAGTAGCCGCTGAAGAGAGCTCCACAGCTTGTAACTCCCCCTCGGTTGTGCAGAGAAAGGGGAATTGCCTCGTATTTCCTTCAGCCGTGGTGTCGCTCCCCTTCCGGTGTGCTTAACTATCGCACAGGGTGAGCAGCTGCAAAGCCTCCGTGGCTCCATTTCCTTGGGAGTCGAGCGGGGCCCACAGCTTCCCCTGGGGCTTTGGCCGTGGGGCATTGGGGGTCCTGAAAAAGGCCTCTGGAGCCCACCTTCCTTTCTCGGCTCCACCGAGCTGCTGCCAAGTGGACGGCAAACTCAGTGCCTCCAGCAGAGCAGAGGAGCGTTTCCAACCTGAACAAAGGCTGGGAAAAGCCACCCAGAGTCACCTGGTCGGGAAAATTGGCAGAGGGATTTAATAAATAAAAAGTAAAAGAGATGCTGCCTTTGCTTACAGCGATAAGCAGATAAGCCAAAGGAAGGTTTGGTTCCCTGGCAGATTTCTCTAAAACTGGAGTGTGAGCTAAGATGTGAAGCTCAGCCTG